TTCACTATCATTTCATTTCAGGTTTATTGTTGCTTAATATAATTGTTATTTTCAACTATTCTTTTTTAATTATTCTTTTTTACTTGTTTCAGGGATTTCAAATCATTTTATATAGTAGACAATGGAAGTCCGAACCAGTAAAATCCATCACGAAACATTGTCAATCACCTTCAAACAATCAGGAAAAGTATTACTTATAAGATTCATGTCATAAAAAAAATAATTATTAGGAATGGTATTGAAAATTACCTCACCAGAGTATACTCAGTTCAGGTTTACATTATGAATGGATTAAATCAAAATTCAATAATTGTATCATGTTAATAAAACAGTATTCCTAATGCAAAAAGTAGTTATTTTCGTAAAAATGAGTCAAGTGTGAGTAATATTTGCTTGTTAGTTTCTCGTCGAGCTGTAGCTGCAGTTTCCTTCGACCAGGAACGGAACAGACTTGGAGCACCTATTTTTCTAATTTTTAAAATGGACTTATACTATCTTGTGGACATAGACAATAAAATTTATCGAACTGGACGAATGAAAAACCCACCATTCGGTATATTAACTGAAAATTTATTCCGTAAGGCAATCAGAGATAGAAGTCCTTGTTTTTCCCTCTTTAATGATTCCAAACAAGTTTTGTAAAAGCTCTTCAGCAGAAAAACTATTGTAAAAAGTCTTCAATACTAAAATCCTGAAAAAACAATTTCCATAATGGAAATTCATTCAAAAGTTCGATTCACTAAAAGGTGAATCTCATATGCAATTGAAAGGTTCGAAATGAATTTTCATTCCTTCTTAAACGAAGGGTTCCGTTAACCAAAAAAATCACGAATGAATAACGTATTCAAGGAAATGGCGTCGCTCGTTCTGGAAAAGTGGTTGTGACCCAGTAGAATCCTCAGGAAGTGTAACCTTTTATGGAACTCTCAAAATCTATACATGAAACTAAGTCCGAAACGATATCGTTCAAATTCTTGAAAATGGACCACATGGCTCACCATCAAACAAATCCCCTCTCGAGATTCTCGTTCATCATTCTCTTTTCCTAAAAAATGGCACCACTCCTTGCCGTTCTCATGATCAAGGATCACCTACAGCGCAAGTCTATTCTGAGGAATTCACACAAATAATTTTGGCAACACCTCATTCCTGACTTTCGATTTAACGGAAATAGAAAATCTACCTCGAAGGGATCCGAATGAATCGGTCCTATTGGAAAGAAAAACTTATCAATCTGTACCAGAAACTAATTATCATATGTGTAATGAGAAGTGAAAATCTTAGCGAGGCAAAAGGTGTAAATTGGATTGCCTACTCCTCAGAAACTTTCTTTAAAATCAATTAGGATTACCTTCGGTGAAATAAAAATTAAATGAAAAGTACAGTAGGTTTTTATAAACGCTACAAAGTGTTCAAGTGACTTGGCACATTTGATTCCACGAAGAGCGGTGCATATTAGAAATACGCGACGGACTGTGGCTGCTCATCGTTTTGAGGTTCAACTCAGTACACTTCGAACTTCATTGTTCAAGAACTCTTTCATCTGGAGAAGATTAAACTTTCATCGCTTTCACCGCAGTTAAATCTTATATACAAGATTCAATTAATGTAAGAAATAAGCAATGAATCAATAAGAAATAACAATTTTATCGAGCATAAGTATAATATTAATAGGATATCAAGGGTTCAACGGCATATTTGTCGTACACTTGCACCCATTTGCTATAACTAGCATCTCTTGGATTGACTTTCACTGCCAAATTTTCATCAATTTCCATATATCGGTAGTTGCTGGGCTTAACAGTAGGCCATCTCAAATGTTGAAATAATTCTTCTTCTCTTGGTGTTGGATTACTAAACAAAAATTAGCAATGATTGAGTTATCTCATATGAGAAATAAATTTATAGAGTGAGTATATTGAGCCTAGAACATTACATTACTGAATACTAATATCATGTGATATGTGATGATGATTAGTAGTATATCGATCATTTCAATTCTAAAAAAAATCATGCATTACATCTACAGTCCATACTACTATTATGAATGTGGGTGGGGATGAAAATTCCCGATTCTCTTTCTTGATGATCATGTACGCTATACAAAGAACCTACCTGCACATTTCAAAATTCTAGGTTCAGTAACTTCGGCTGTACTTCAGTATAAGAGTGCCAGTCAATCAATAGTTACCCACTTATAAAATACTAGTTATTCCCCGCTGTATTACCCGAGTTACCGTGAGAACCTCCTCTCTGTGTTATTCCAGGTCATGATCTATTTATATAACAACCTACATTTGAATCCGTAGAGCTTTTTAGGCGTAAAGAAGTCAAAATCGTAAATACATACATTTAATTCATTCATCCTCACAAACTGTACGCATATATAATATAAGTAGGAGTAGGATTACTGGGATTACCAATGTATTTCATTCCAATCCTTTAATTTGTTTTTGCTAATGCTATTCAATATTGTATAAGTGGGAATCTATTGATCTACTGACACTCTTATATTAACGTACAACCGAAGCTACTCAACCTTGAATCTTGAAATATGCAGGTAGGTTCTTTGTATAGCGTAAATAAGCATCAAGATAGGGAATCAGGAAATTCCACCCCCGCACCCCCACCCCAAGGGGGTGAAATAGAGATTTAAAGATTATATTTTTTATCTTGATACACTCATCTCAAACAATATTTATAGTTTCAGCATGTTTGGTTTGTTTATGAGAGGCATTGTACATAGTTGGAATTGTTCCTCTTGTTTGACGATTTTCTGCTGTCAAAAAAATGAATCAAATTATTTGAATCAAATTTTTCTGAAAAAATTCAATAATTGTTCAAAAACACTCGAAATATTGACAGTGGCATAAGGTGATTGTACTCTGAGTCATAAAAATATTCACAAATGGGACAAGCTTTTCACAAAAGGTCGAGAAGATGTGAATGGTGACGCTCGATGTTGACGCCTTGCCCATCAACAACCAATAAAAATGTTCAGAAACTGAAAAAAATTGTAATGGAGGATCGTTGCTGAGGATATCGGCATATCGGTTGGCTTATGCCATGCAATTTTTCCGGAAATTTTGGACATGAAGCGTGTCGCAGCGAAGTTCGTTCCAAACTTACTGAATTTTTTCCAAAAAAAAACGTCGCATGAGCACCGCACAGGAATTATTGTCCCACTCGTCCCAATGGAAGAGCCCACCACAGCCAAGACGACTGCTATTGCTCGTTTGTAATTTTTTAGCCGGAAATAACACCTCAATCATGCCTCAGCCACCGTACTCACCAGAATTGCCACCCTGCGACTTTTTCCTCTTGCCATGATTGAAGAGATCCATGAAAGGACGGCGTTTTGCGACGATTGAGAAGATAGAAACCGAATCGCTCGGAGAGCTCATAGTCTAATCAACAAGTTCAAAAACATGAGAAATAGAGATAAAGGTCCTAAAAATATGAGCGATAGCTCTTTCGATTTGGAATCACCTCTATAAAAATGTTTTTGGAGGATTTTGATGTAGGTAAAAAATTGCAGTTAAAAAAATGGTATTTTTGAAAAAAAAATATGAAGAAAGCTCGTTAAAGAAGAGGAAATTTCCAATAAAAAAGTTTCGACTCCCGAAACTCTATCTCCATTATTCATAATTTTAATTTGACGTTGAAAATAGGATTCTACGCGGCTGTTACGGCAGGCGCGCGCTGCCGCTAAAGAGAGTTTATCAAAAGAAATAATTTTTTATGACATAAAATGTCATTTTGAAAAAGGGACTTTTTTATCGGAAATTTCATCCTCTTTAATGACATTTTATGTTATAAAAAAAATATTTCTTTTGATAAACTCTCTCTAGCGGCAGCGCGCGCATGCCGTAACAGCCGCGCGGAACCCTATTCTCAAAGTCAAATTAAAATTATAAATGATGGAGATAAAGTTTCGAGAGTCGTGACTTTTTTTTTGGAAATTTCCTCCTCTTTAACGAGCTTTTTTCAAAATTGCCTAAATATTAATACATTTTGAGTTATTAACGAAAAAATAAATACATTTTTTTTTAACCTTATTTTGTTAATGACAATTGCAATTTTTTGCCTGCACCAAAATCCTTCAAAAACATTTTTCTATCGAATGATCAATCGCTCATATTTTTATCTCTATTTTTCATGTTTTTGAACTTGTTGATTGAACTATCAAGAACATACCAAAAAGTGCATATCAGACCTACTTCGAGGACTGGAGAAAACGTTGGTCTGTCGTATCTAAGGGGGACTTCGAATGGGACATAATTGCTTACAACTATTTTGATATATTTGCAGAGTATAGCAAACACTTACAGGTTATTCACAAAGTTTGTGATGAATCCTACGTAACGATTTAGCGTTGTCACATCCGATTTTGGGTAATCAGATAGTTTCGAACCGGCCCACAAGTAATTTCCTTCTTCCCCGTGCTGCACTCTTCCACAACCTAAATAAGTAGTCCCGATGAGAATTCTGACACTACTTTGATGGCAATACTTCCATTTGTAAAACACATTGAGGTATTTTGAGAAAATTTGTTTTGAAGCTGAACATGATTCACATCTAATAGTAATAATGGAAATCGCTACTGCCGCTCCCAACAGAAAGTATAATTGGCGATAATTCGCTTCAATTTTCAACCTTGCTGGAATTTTTTAATTTTTTGTTCAATTTTTGACCTACCTAAATAGAAAGTTTGTTCCTTAATGAACATATTCACTCAGAAAAAGTGTTTGAAATATAATTTATTTCAATTGAAAGTTCTATCATGAAATTTCTCCCCGTCTCAAATGAACATTCCTGAAAAAATAGGTTCAGCTTTGTTATTGGCACAGTTTCGTAACAAAATCAGATCTGGTGACTGGTGTAGATTTCATAGTACACATTTCACTGACCTATCGAAAAAACACCATGATATCGAAATATTCCCAAAAATTTCGAGCAAATCTTATTATCATAAAACCTCTCTGTAGAAGAATCACAAACCAGCATAACAACTTTGCAATCAAATGTGTAACTTATAGTGTAGTCCTACTTTCGTGTGAAATGTTTATCAAAATTATTTTTATATCAACTACTGCTGGGATTCGATTTTAAAATACAGTATACAACTCAGTATAGAGATGAAATTCATAGAAATATTCAATAATTCCACGATATGAAGTGATAACTTCTTATGGGATGGTAAACCGCTTCGTTTTCTAATGCGTTACAGCGCTAGTTTGTCTGGCTTTCCTTTTTCTCACGCATATGTCAGCGGAAGGCAGGCTCCTCCTCTCACGTCGGACAGACGCTCAGTGTTGACAGTATTATAAAAATCTAACCAGCACGTAATACTCTTTCATTATGTGGAACATAGCTCCAAAATGATGATACCAACTTTGTGTATGTATATTATTAGTATCACTATCCAATCCTACAGCTGATTAATGGGAAACAGATCGTAAACAGATTATTTTTTGACAATTGGCTTATGGTACTATGATACAGGGGTTTCTAACAAAAACTTGACCCCCCTCTTAAATCAGAAACGGACGTGTAATGGAAAATTTCAAAAAACACGTCAATTTTCATTTCCAGGAGAACCAATTCAGCAACTACACACCAAATTTTTTCAATGACATTGGGTGATGAGTGATACATCATTTGAAAGGTCTTCCGTCTCTCTATCACTCCAGTAATTTTTTTCGAAATTGGTTCATTCGTTCTTGAGAAATTGAATGTTGAACGTTTTATTTAAGAAAAAACAGAAAATTGGCTGTCGCTCATTTTATTGACGAAATCAACAAAAGTAATACCAAAGGCAACACAATCGACGGATAGTGTTCAAAATTACCTCCATTCAGTTCCATAATATATAATAATATAGTCTACTTTCAAAAGCGTTCCTTACATTATTGAAGATGTCCGGAATCAGAAATAGGCATTCCCAAAAAATTCTCTGTCGCAGATCTTCTAGATTTGCAGAATGTATTTGATACGTAGTAAACGTTTTGAAATGAACGACACTGTTAGTTTTTTCTGCACTGATAGTTTTTTTGAATCTAGTTGTCGCAGAACAAAAAGTTTATAATTGGCCACTGCTACTTCTTCATGAATTATTATTCAGTCATCCTTGTTCACTGTGTTCCAACATGGTTCATTCTACTGAAGGAAAAGTAGAAATGGTTACAACCTGACCCCGGACATCTTCAATAATGCAAGGAACGCTTTCGAAAGTAGACTGTATTATTGTATAGAACTAGATGGTGGTCATTTTGAATAATTCATCCGTTGATGTTGTTGCCATTGATATTACATTTGTTGATTTCCTCAATAAAATGAGCGACAGAATTTTCTGTTTTTTCTTAAATTAAACGTTCAACATTCAATTTCTCAATAACGAATGGACCAATTTCGAAAAAAATCACAGAAGTGATAGAGGGACAATAGACATTTCAAATGATGTACCACTCGACCCCCAATGTCATTGAAAAAATGGGTGGGTAGTTGCTGAACGCAAGGGGGTGAAGTTCCGGGTATGATTTCCATATCAGAATTGGTTTTCCAGGAGTGGTCAAGTTTCCGTTGGAACCCCCTATATATGTAAATTAACGAAATAATCAATAAAAGATTTCATCAATAAATAAGCTTTCCTAACATCATCATAGTAATATACATGAAATTTAATCAATAACCTGAGCTTTTCTCAAGTTGAACAATTTCAATATTGAGTAGTTCAACTAAGATTAGTTTAAGTTATCACTTCTGTCGGGCATCTCGGGACGAACCAATTTTTTTTCGAAAGACTGAGAATGTTACCAATTGGAGGCAAGTGAAAATATTTTACCTGGATAGCTCACATTATTTTTCCCTAGTCGGCCGTGATAAGAGAATTCATAGACGTATACATCGGAGTAACTTGACTGCAATTCGGCAAATCGTAGTATTCCTCTGACGAACTGGTCATCGCTAAGACACTGAAAAATTAATAGTTCTTAATTCCTGCTCATTTTCTATATTAGACTATATTGTTAGATCAAGATCTTCAGATGATGTGGTGCTGCAGGTTTTTCCGGGTTTTCCTGCAGCTGAAAAAGCAAATGCGCCACTGGAATCAATGAAGTCGCCCCGGAGCGCCAATTAATTTTTATTGTTGTATTTATTTTATTTTTAATGTCATGAATTACTAATTTATTTTTAGAATAGAACAAAAATTAAGATAATTAAAGAATTTTCATTTTATTAGACTCTAAGTATATCAATCAGATTTCATTTTCAATTCAACGTGACCATTACCAAAAAGTTAGGTGTTTTTCAATATAATATATCTATTTGCTATTTGACACTATATTGGTTAGAGAATATATGTAGTGAATATGAATTAAAGTTACACTGTCGTTCGTAAGATGGAAAGAATTGAAGTGATTTGTTTTCAAAGGTTATGAGGGCAACTATATACAGTGCATTTCTTTAATATCCCCTCCTTTTATTTTTTGAACGCGTCAACTCGCAATATTGAAATTTGGGATAATGAAATTATTGCATGAATACTTCATTTTGAAATGGAACTGACAGATGAATCTTCAAAGATGGCGACTGGGTGGCATCTGGGAAAAAAATTAATAGAAAAGGGGGGTCTTGTGATACATCATTTTGAAGCTACTAACGGATAATTCTCAACCTTAGAATATGAAATCAATATATCCACCTACTACAAAATGGCAGAACATTTAATAATTTCCTGAAGACAAACACATTAACATCAATATTTCTAGAAATATTCATTTTTTTATCTGCCATATGGCAATTCCAACAACCCTATAAGGTTTGTTAAGTTTTTTTTGTTTATAAAAACTTCAAAAATTGTCAGTACGACAATGAATATCATTGTTCAGTTAGAATATTCTCAGTTAGTTTTCAGTTTTACTAGTAGAAAGGTACCACGTCAACAATCTCCAAAATGGTCAATTCTCGTCCATTTGAAGAATAAATTGAAGCGATTTTTATTTACGGTGTGACGCGTAATTTTCATGAGACCGAAAAGATTGTCAATGAACAATGAACAGCAAGTGCAATTAATTGGTGATATGGTAGTAAATCCTGAACAGTCTACTTATTCCGTCGCTAATGTTTGTGAGGTGTCTCCTTCTTCTGTGTGGAGACTTTTGAAGAGGAATAGGTATTATCCATTCGGAATTAAAATGGTAATACGCCAAATAACTGAAGATGACCCTGATCGAAGAACAGAATTCTACGAAATCATGACGGAAACCATTGTAAGGCAGTGACGAATGTACATTTTTTCAATACGGCAATGTTCACATACAAAATTGCCGTTATTGTAGTGACCCCAACCGTCACGTTCTTCGGGAAACACATACCCAATATCCATAAAAAATTAACGTGTGGGCAGGAATATTGGAAAACCATATTGTAGGACCTCTCTTTATTGATCATTTGAATATGCTAGAAACTACTGTTGACCCTCTCATCACTGAAATATGTTTAAAAAATCTGTTTAAAATCTGTTTTTTCCCTTAACCAGCTGTCGCACCCCTACGAACGACAACCCTCAGAAGTCGAAACTTGTGCGAGCTAAGGATTAACGAGGTCTTACCTTTCAACGTGTGATTCCGAACACGGGTTGGACGGTAGCAAGTGAATATCGATCGTTCAGACTAGGGCTTGAACCACCTACCAACACGGCAGTCAATTCGAGTGAGTGAACAAAGCACCCACGCCGAACCGCTTGGCTACCGACTGACTACCGAAATGGTCGAAACGAATCCCAATGAATTCGATATGTATATTGTATTTAAACAAGATGGAGCACCACCACATTACTCCAGACAAGTAAGAAACTATTAGGATACCACTTTTCCTGGTCGTTGGATTGGCCGTCGAGGTCCTACAGAGTGGCCAGCCCGCTCGCCAGATTTAACACCTTTGGACTTTTTTCTTTAGGCTATTTGAAGCAAAAGGCGTACGAAACCGAACCTGCTTCAATATTGGATATACGGCAGAAAATAATAAATATTAGTAGAGACATTGACGTTACTGTGTTCGAAAATGTTCAGCGTGAAATATAAAATAGGCTGTTCATATGTCAAGAAGTTCAAGGCAACCATTTCGAGCATCTTCTGCACTGACCTCAAGCTTATTACCTCATATTGTTCAGTTGAATGTCAATGGATTCAGACAATTATTAAAAGTTCCGCCATTTTGTAGTAGTTGAAGATATTTACATTATATTTCAGGGTTTTGAAGCATTTGTCAGGATCTTCAAAAAAATGTGTCTCAAGATCCCCCTTTCCATTTAATTTTTTTCCCAGATGGCACCCAGTCGCCATCTTGGAAGTTTTATCTGTCATTTTTACTTCAAAATAAATTATTCATGTATTCATTCAATTATTCCAAATTTAAATTTTTTTGAGTCGACTGTTCAAAAAATAAAGGGGGGGGGCATAAAAGAAATGCTCTGTATATGTTATTTTAGGTTATTTGGTGTCCATCATTTAGTCATAATGGATACACAGTTCCCAATAGAACACCCTGTATGGTATTTCCAGAGATATATGCAAGATTGAAATTGAAAATGTCAATCCAGCATATATCTGGGAGATGTGTATACGCGCATTGAATTGGATATTTGTGACTACTATGTCAGTAATCAATGAATGCCTGAGTTTGATATCCAAGATACTAAACCTTAATATCTCCCTTTCCGTGAAATATGAAATATTTTACCCGAATTACGGCCCCAAGATCATCTGTGAAATTACTGGCTGTATATATCCTCTTAATTTCTGTTCCAGCTTCAATTGAGACATTTGACTTGATATTCATGTCTTCATTGATGAGGTATGCTGAGTTATGGTCCCAAGATGATGATTTTGTTGACAAGTATTTCAGATCTGCAATTGAATATGTAATAACAAATATTAGATTGTTTAAAAAAGTTTCATTCGTTTTCATGAGTCTACATTAAACTTTAATATATCAGTGCACTTTCGCCAACATGACACAAGTCGATTGATTGCGTTAGCATAAAAATCGTGTGATCGGGATTCGATGAAGTCGACGAAGGCCGTTCTTGCCTGGTCCTGATTGGTTTGGTGAGAAAATTATCGAAGCGCTTGGAAACATTGTAGTCGGTTTGCGAGAGGTCTGGAAAGTCTGGTGGTTGAGGCAGAACTTCAACGCTCAATTCGTTCAATTTTTGAACGTTGATTTGTGAAACGTGCCGATGGCCATTGTCGTGGGGCGGGATCTGACCTCTTCTGTTGATCAGTGCTGGCTGCAGCCTTCACACTTTTTAGTATATTTCGCTTATTGACTCACAACAGGACTCTGCTGATATGGTCTGGGTCACTTGAAAAAAGTTATAGCGTTCTTCCGTCTTCCCACACACCGTTTGTGGTGATCAGTCTCCCGCAGGGTCATCAAATCCTCGTCCTGGAGTACTAGGGCGACCAATTTGGCTATTTCGGCAGCGCTTTGGTTCAAATTGTATTCATAGAGAAACTTGGCCGAAAATTGCCTAACGATATCATGAATAATTGAAATTTGTAATAAAATTGATACAATCAATGTATAAAGTTCAAAATTCTCTATATATCAGTAAATATCACGACACAGTTGACTAAATACCAATGAAAGGTTGCCTTGTATGAAATCCACAGAAAACTCAAACCTTGTATGAATATACTAAAACTTCAGCTGATGGGATAATATTTATAAAATTTGAAGACTGTTTCTAAAGAACTGTGCTTTTTTCGATAAATAGTCTTGTAGAAACACTTCATTGGAAAGAAGGAGAAGAAGAAGAACTTCATTTTCAGATAGGCAAGCCTAATATAAACATGAATAATGTACTCCATCAAAATCAAAAATTTATCATACTATTTTTGACTGAATAACAGAAAATCCCCAAAAAAATTACACACAAAAAAGCTATATCGCACATATTCTATCATGGATGCACTTTTATCTATTCATTTACACAAGTTCATCAATATATTTTGAATATAAATTATTAGCCTCAATTCAATTTATCGTTTTGATTGTTATCAAGGTAAATCAGTTTCGTTAATTTTAATTTTGACTGTATTTATAACATTTTTATTTTGTTTGTACTTTATTGTAATGCTCATCGCCTAAGTTTTAGTGATATTCAGTTTCAGTTTATGTGTTTCAAGGAACAACTCAACATTTTTCAGTGAATCAATCATCTTTTCGACAGCGACTTGAAAGGTTTTATCGTAGGTGATTTTCTATGTAGGTAAGATTTAAGTTCACTCATATACTATTGAGTGATTTCAAAAAGTGATAGTATGTATTACTTAGTGCTTCCAGCTATATGTTTTGGTTACATCACCTAGAAACCTCAAAAAGTTTTAGAAAACTTAATCATTACACTGCGTAAATGAATAACACTCTTTGTAAGAGAGGATGAATGACACTGAAGCTATCAGCTATCTCTACGGAACCTTCGCTTGAAAAAGCTAATGTCTTAGCGAAACATGTGATATATTTTTCAAATAAAGTTTGTAGAGATCAAATCGTTGAGGTGCAGTTTTTAAAATTAGAGATTTCGGTTGCCCTCTCGTCGTAGCATCGCCTTATCACGGTAATGCGGGGCTCTGCCGTGATTGATCTTTTTTTTCTAGCTACTCGTGGGACTTTTATTTATGGACAGAGTGAACTAAAAAATTCTTTCTGTCGCTGAGTTTACGGAAGAGATGGATGTCGAGCTTACGACTCCAACTGACCTCCCTGTAAATTTAGATCAAGAGCGAGAGCTTCTCAACTCTCCAACTCCTGATCCAATAACTGAACCTAAAGAACAGGTTTATTGGTGCAGCCAGGAAACGACTGAGTCGTCTCCTCGAGAAGCAGGGTATCTTATGAAACCGCCTTGCACTAAATTCTTGCGCGGCCTACGCAGAATCTGTTTCAAGTGGAGGAACAAACCCCCATGAGCAGGTTAGCAAACGTTTGCGCTCAAGTGATGATTCACCAATACCAGATGCGAAAAAGCCCTGCCTACCCCGCTGGGGACCGAATCATGTTTTTAGAGTTTGGCAGAGCCGTACTCTCAACAACTGCCCCGAAAGACCACTCACCATACAAACTAATCGGCTTCGTTAAGAAGCTGGGTTTATTTGATCGAGTGTGAATAGGTGTGAGCCACAATAAACCCTTGCGGGTTGCACTGGAGGGTCGAATAGACTCACTCACTTTGGGCTCAACCTAACCTAAGAGGATATTACCATAGAAAAGTGTAAAAACGAATATTTGAATGTTTATCACTACAATTTCTCAAAGCAATAATCAATATTCTCTGTGAGATTGGCCAATGTACATGTCACTCATGTGAGTCATGAAAAATAATGGAAAACCTACTGTTACTCAATATAAATGAACCTTGGTCTCATTCAAATCGATGCAGGAATGCTGACCGAATGTTCACTCCATTCAGTTATATCACTCTCACCTGCTGCTTTAGAAATTTCTTCTTCAGAATTGAATCCGATCAACAAAGGTACTTTATTGATACGTCCGTGTTTGACTGCTTCATACATTGACTCAGTGATGAAGGCACCTTCATGTTCTATTTCAATAACGGGACCCCATGCCTGAAAAATTATTGAACTCTCAGAAGTATAGACATCATCATCACATATAAACACGATCAGAAAGAGCTTGAAAAATTCACAGCTATTTTGTGTTGAATTATTGTTGTTTTTGGTTATTGCCTCACAATGAAAGTAGTTTAATTTGTGAAAAATTGTTTATTATACTATATTATTCTAAAGAAGACAGGAATGTGCCTGGCCTGAAAAATTTTGTATTTCCTTGTTTTACTTATTTTTACGGAACTATTCATTACAGTATGTCATAATATTATTAACATATTGGAAAATTTCCCCCAAAAATTAATAAACAAAGGTTTTGATGAAATTCATCCACTTTCTATTTTTTTATTCAGTTTTTGAAAAAAAAGCAAATATACAGTATAACCACATAGCTTAACCTAGAACAGTTACCCATTATATTTCTTACATGCAAGGCTCTCGAAAAATCAAGATCAGGTCAGTCAACAGAAAGCCTATTTTCATTTGTAGCAAATGACTGCAACGAACTAGCTCTAACGTAACAACGATTGTGTTACGTTACAGCTAGTGGAGGTGAGATGCGTAATTACTTCAACACAGGTAACCGATCCGCCGTTTGCCGGATTTCAAGTCGTTTTTCCATATGAGTTGATGTCCCATAACCTACCATCGAAAATATTCAGCTTGTTGCGAGATTACCGTAACGTAAGAGAATGAGGTAACGAAAAAAATCCGCATGCAACAGGCTAATATACGCGATATCTGTATAGCCGTCATAACGTATCGCCGTACGACGGCGAAAAACCACAAATGGTACTTCGGTAATAGTTAAGGCTTGTCAAAATTGTCACGGATAATATAACAGTAATCCTCATCAGTCGTAACGTAACATAATCGAGGTTACGTTTCGAGTCATTTGTTACAAACGGATACGTGTCTTCAGTCGTCGCATGAAAGGATTGTTACTTCCTCTGCGTGTGTCCTTAAGAAAAAGTCAACACTTTTTCCAAGCTGTACATATCCAAAGATATTTGTAATATTCGGATATGAATTGGGCCATCCAATATCTCAAAGATGATCTGATTTGGGCTTCATGAATCATAAGAGCTACTGAAATATTTATATTTTTTTAATGGGGTTTCTTATTTTCAACAAGCTCCATATTCAATGCTTAATATACCTCATTTTACAATTTGAAGTACCTATATTTCAATTACATGAGTTTGTGATGAATTGAATTACCTGAGCTTATGTGCCAGTTTCCACATTTGAAAAAATATAAAGTAACGGAGAGTTATTCAATTCTAATTGACCATTCAGTAAATTACCCAAATTCCTCAGTCTATTGATTTCTAAACTTTCTAGAAGATTGAGTTTCAAACTCTTCTCTTCTAAATGTAACACATTGTATGCATGATTGAATGCATGTCCTTCTGCCAAAATGTGGTTTGCAAATGTGGAATAGGTCTTCCTATTTACAAAACTACTTTTATGCTCTTTAATTTTTTGGGAAAATGTTCTCCCTATTTGGCCAATATACAGTTTTGGGCAAGAGCTTATATACTCCTAATCTATGCGACACCATAGTTTTATCTTTATTGTTTTTAATAAATTTACTTAGACTATAATTCATTCTGTGAGCTATGTTCACGCATCCTTTATTCAAAAAACAAGCAATATTATTGGTTGGTTCACCCAAATATGACGATGTCCTATAACTGACGGTATTACATCTTGAATGTGGGTAGATCAGGTTCATGGCTTGCTTTTGTAGTTTTTTGGAAAGAATGAAGTCTTTAATATCTACCTTATAAACGTTGTTAACCGCGATTTGTTTGATCAAACTCAGCTCTCTCTTGGAATTACTCTCAGACAGTGGAATATTCGATAGTCTGTGAAGCATACTATTGAATGCATCAACTTTATGCTGGTAAGGATGTGTGGAGAAATTATGTATGATAATGCCCGTGTAGATACGATGATTAGTGGAAAATTGCAGTTTCATGTTTATTGTTATTTTTCGTAATGGTTTAGTCAAGAAAATTCATTGAATTATTCACCTCCCTCTCAACTATCATAGAATAAGCAAGTGTCAAATTGCTATTCAATCCGGATGACTATGAAATGGAAATGAAGGAGTGTCTGTGACGAAATATAGTGCATCGAATAACTCACATTGTATTTGTTCTGAGTATCATGAATTTTCTCTGCATCAACACTCAGTAAGAGTTTCAAAAGATCCTCTGTAGAATTTTTACTGGAGAAAGACGGGTTTATTGCTCGTGCAATGCCATAGGCCCTATCAACGGCATGATTCCTTTGGTTAGCCCAGATACAAAGAGCTGAACCACTGTTGGCAATTGCAGCTCTAAAAAGACCTGTGAAAAATGAATAATCAGCTTACATACAGTATAATCATGAATGTATCATATGAATAATATGAATCATAACTCTCACAAATACACAATCATAAGTTCACATTCAATTTCTAAAAGACATAGTTGACAATGTTCAACAAGGCATGACTTCCTGAGAACGTTCACCTCAACTTTCACTTATCCTGAAAGCACTGAATATGAAGGTCATATTCTTCAATGATCTGCAATATTCTTAAAAATGTTTGGTTTTTTATAAGTACCTGATGACGATGGACTGAGGATGTGATAAGTTACAGAGGCTCCCCCAGCGCTCTGTCCTTGAATTGTAACTTTATTTGGGTCGCCACCGAAGAGATGTATATTGTCATGTACCCACTTCAAGGCCAATTTCTGGTCCTTCAGTCCCATATTTCCTGGTATCACGTCGTCACCAGTAGAAATAAAACCTGAAATCATGAATGGCTTAAAGTGAAAAACTATCATTGAAAAGTTGAAGCGTCCCTAAATAGTTATTTGAATACCAATAGTTCTGATGACGACAAGCAGGGGGTTCTTTGCTTTGTTTATTTTTAATGACATAGCGGACGGGGGCTGTACATGGTGATCACGTCAGCCCGCACATTGTCTATGTTCGAAAATAAAACGCATTTTTAGGTATTACGTTAAGGTATACCCGAGTAGGGGAATCACCGTGCGCTATTGACTTCTCTAAATATGTTGCGCCGCGCGAACAAGATCTTCCTGATTTCCTAGACATTGAAAGGTATATAGAACATATGCGTGAAAGCCAATACTTACTTCAAATTGTAAAAACTAAGGTGTCGTCTAAAGGTGCGTATTCACCAAAAAAGCGAGCACGAGCGAACAAGAATGAACGAGCATTCTGCATCAATAATCGTCTGGTGAGTACGGTCTAGCGAGCGAGCGAACGTATGCTTGGTCTCGTTCAGAAAAGATCGAGAAGAAGGCGGTACATCAAAAGGTGCTCGCACAAAGTAGATGGATCAACTACGACTACGAACTTGAAGATATTCGCTCTGGTGTAGACGAGACATCAATATGTCGGGCAAACATGAGCGAACATGCGTGAACACGAGCAAATATACACGAATACTCGCTCATGCTCGCTCGTGCTCGCTTTTTTGATGAATACGCACCTTAAGACGTGGCCTATATACCTTACTATTTAACAGCTCATTCAATTTAGCTCTACGCTCAAATGCGTTACTCAAAGATTTCCTGCATATGCCTCACACTTATCCGTCCGTATAGTTGAAGCTATCAAATCGAACATGCAAAACGTGTGGTCTTTATCATGTTTTCGTCAAGCCACTAAATCGTCACATCGAGAATGTCCTTGAAAGAGTTAACATACACACTGATGTCGTGCTAATGAACTGATGTGCATCATTCAAAATTTAGAGGACCACAAACCTGAATGGCTCGATAAAAGCTACGTAGATATTCCAAAATCGGATAAAAGTGAGCAGATATAAAACATTGAGCAGCTAACATCCAATGTCATCAGAAACTTAGAATCATGGATTCGGGTGTCATGGACTGAAGACTGTTAATTGGAATTGATATGTATACCAAAAATTTTAAATGAGTTTGTTTTGTTTTTAATATTTCATGAGATTATAATATTTGACCTTACTCTTAGTTGAATGCCGTGTCAATGAAGTTTGCTTAAATGAATATTATGTGCGGTAAAGTCTTTTATCCTGAAAGCATGGGAAGTGGGGTAAGAGCTTTGTTTATTTTTGTGGTCAAGGCAAAGGGAAGGGGGTAAATAATTGAAATAAATATGCTCACGTAATACTTAAATGACCCCTTAGAAAAGAAATTAAATTTTTTTTTGAAAGGTTCCAAACCAAGTTACTTCACGACGTTTCGATTGTCAGTATCCACAATTGCCTTCGGGTGATGACTGGACTATTTCTCCGAAAAATATCTATGAAGGCCATTTAAACTCTTTCACCTGTCCCCTCTTACCTCTCTCCACTTTACCGGCTTAGCGAGAGTTGGCCGTTTTTCCGCTTGATTACAGGTTTCCAATTGTTGCGTCGTCACAAAACATATATGCAGCTTATTGGAACTTCATCTTAAACCAGTGTTCTTCCTTGTGAATGTAATCAGATTGGTACCACTTGATGTTATGTTGATGAGTCGATTTGCTGGTTTCTCCTTGATGTGTGTTTCTCTTATGCTCGGCAAAGCGGACTCGCAGTGGTCTCTTAGTTTAACCGATATAGAATTTATCGTACCCACAGAGCATCCAGTGAATGCAATTCTTGAAATCGCAGTCTGCTTTTGGTGGTCTGATTTTCGTAATTAGCTGGATCAGTTTCTGATGTTGTACTTGGACCAAATTCTTCTCATCCTTTCCGACAATTCTCTGACGTAGGGAAGGGCAAGCACTGGATGTGACGGCTTCTCTTCCTTGTGTAGCTGTTGTTGTCTTCTAGTCTTATCTGTTCTTCCTCAGATTTCAAATCATATTTGACAATGGAAGTCCGAACTAATACAATTCACCATGAAACATTGTCAACCATTTTCAAACAAACATTCAAGTGAGATTTCCACCCTACAGGTTACAAGACCGCAACACGGTTTCACTATACAATGGCTTTCCCAGGCGTGTATCCATTATGAAGAGTTATTTGAATACGTTATGGATTTTTATCGAGTATCTCCCAATTCCATCACATATTTTGAGCGGATATTCGAAACAAAGGTCAAAAAAATACAAACCAAAAGAATTCGACAGAAACCGAAGTAACGAGTAAACGAAGAACAGCATTGTATCAAAATCAGATGTATTTGGTGAATGTCGACACGACAGAAATAGTGGGTAATAAAACGGGTGATTTTTTAAGAGGTATAGGATTTGATTTTCAAAACAACACAAAAAATTTGATGAAATTCATGAAATCTTCTTTGGAATCGATAGAATGATCAATATAATTCAATGTTTGAGGATGATTTCATGCAAATTTTCGCGGCTCCGCTTTAGATGGCCCATGCGCAAGGTCCAATTTTGGCACACTCTCTCTAACATATCGACCGGTATTTCACGTCTAAATGCTTCAATACTGGTTTATCCTGTAGACATGAGCCTTAACATGACTCCACAAGAAATAATCCAAAGGCGTTAAATCATACGATGTAGGCGGCCAATTGACAAGCCCCAAACGTAAGATAAACTGTTCAGCGAAGGCGGTTCTTAATTGGGCCATTGTTTCGCGTGCCGTGTGGCATGTGGCACCGTCTTGTTGGAACCACACGTCAGGTATATCCAATTCTTCCATTTTGGGCAACAAAAAGTCGTCAATCATCGCACGACATCACTCGCCATTCACAGTAAGTTCCGGCCATTGACGCCTTTGAAGAAGTACGGCCCGATGATGCCTCCGACCCATAATCCACACCAAACAGTGACTTTTTCGAGATGCATCGGTAGCTCTTGCAATGCTTGTGACTGGTCTTCACTCCAGATGCGGCACTTTTGCTTGTTAGAAATGAGCCTCGTCGCTGAACACAATTTTTCGATAGAAGTGTGGATCTTCCTTCAACTCTGCTAGCTCCCATTCACCAAATGTTAGACGTTGTGGGAGGTTGTGTGACTTCAATTCTTGCACCTGCTGTATCTTATAAGGTTTCACACCCAAATCCTTTCGCAAAATTTTCCACGTAGTGGAGTAACAGACGCCCAATTGCTGCCAACGGCGACGAATCGACATTTCACGGTCATCACGAACACTGGCGGATACAGCCGCATTATTTTTTTCGGTCCTCACTCTACGTATGCGTGTTGGTGGTTTAATGTCCAATATTGTAAACTGGGTTCAAAATTCAGTTTCGAATTAGTTCCGAATAGCTCCCTCAGTAGGCCGACAAAACTGTTCACAATGCACTTTCTTCGCCGAGCATGAATTTTGATAATAAAATTAAATAATTTGCAAGCGTTGTTCATTCGTAAGTCGATTCACGGTTGAATTATAGACCAAACTGAACAAGTTTGACAATGACACAAGACGCGATTCGCGCGCGATCTATCAAAAACAGTGTTGTCAAAAAGATACCAGCAAAAAAATCTCTCATTATTATTTACACAAATAGAACATAAAAAAATATGTCATTTACACAAAGATTTACAGAATCGGTGTTTCTGGTTAACCTACCAACAACAAAAACCGATTCAGAACGGCTCTCCACCAATATTGGCGAATCCAAAACAAGCACTATTTCCGAGTTCCAGAACTGAAACTCTCTTCTTGACACGCGTTTCACCAACTGGAAATTCTGCTCCATCTTTTGAAAACGCCAAATGACCTATACTTCATCTCCTGAAGATATCAATTAGACCGGTGAAATACGCGTCGAGAAAATTGTGCAGTTCTAGTGTTTGGGAACGGAACTTGTGACGGAGACGAAATGAACAGTTTCAAACTGATAAAGACATATCTTCATGGCCACATGTCGTTGTATTGTACAGAAACATGAGAAAAACACATTTGGAAAAATCCACACATTAGTGCAAAATAACTTCAGAAAAATCTTTTACTTCATGAAATTCTCACGAATTTTAATGGAAGGATTAAGGAAGTAATCCTGAACAGAAGTCGGACTCATTTAATATTGAAGATATAACCTGAAAAATTATTTATGACGTCATCTTCTATGTTTTTTCATCACTGACATTACCAATATCGAAATGTGGAAAGAGAAAATCTAGACAAAAAAATTACCTATTCTGACCTAACCTAAATAATTTTTGGTGATTAATAATAAGTTTCATTAGTTTCAAGAAACTGGGCGATAATTGAATGAAGAAGATTATAAGAATTTGCATTTTTATGGAAAATGTAAGTAACTGAAATATTTGAATTGCAGTAATTTATTGCTGTAGAAAAAACAGTGGAGACAATATCACACATCTTTGACAGGCTATATCTCTTGTGACCCACTGTTTGAAACCTTTGATGTAGTTACGAATATTATGGAGTTTTATCCCAACATCAAACTGTTATTTTCAACACCTCGACACGTGTTTCGATCACCAAGTGATCATCTTCAAGGGCAAGATTAATCTAGAGGAAGATCAATCTTCCTCTTGAAGATGATGACTCGGTTATTGAAACACGTGTCAAGGTGTTAAAAATAACGGTTTGGTGTTGGAATAAAGCTCCAGTAATATTTGTGCTATATCTCGAAAACTAATTGACCTCGAATAAAACAAATCTGAATTTTTGTCATCATGTAGTATTCTGTATATTACCCAGGAAGCTCTCCATCCAAAAAACTGTCATACTCTGAAAAATGGTTTCAAACAAAAAAAAATCTCACCGAATGGACCGACACGATAGTTGAAGGTCACTACCACAATTCCTTTCTCCATAATATAGTCAGGACCAACTGTATCAGTGGACGCGAAACCGTGAGTGAAACTTCCTCCATAAATGCTTACCATCACAGGTAAACGGGGGTTGGCACCAGGTTCCTTTCAAAAGTTACAAAAAAAATTAATGAAATGATTTTGACCACAATCAATAATCATTGATGCAAGAAATAAAACAGAAGAAAAACACTTCGAAAGTTCATAGTACTGGGAGAAAAAATTGATTTCTCGAAATTATTTCTTCAACTCCTTTGATTAATCAGACTTTCATAAATATAATTCTGAATAAAGTAGATCATTTCTCGAGCTCAATTTCATTTATGTTATTTTCAATTGTAAATGAATGTAATTTCAGTATTCATCAGTAGTGAATAAAAAAGGTATGTTTTTCAAAAAATCTCAGTTATTATCAGTTCATCTTTGTTTCTTTTTCAATTTTCCATCATATGCCACGAAAAAATATCACGTTAATTGCCGTTAATGAATTGAGACACATATCAAACTTAACACATATCGAATGGTTCTCAAAAATAAATACCTACCACTGTTGTGTATACATTGATGTATAGACAATCCTCAGTTTGTGGCCTATGAGTTTTGGTGCTAATCTGATAGCATATTTTGGTATTTGAAGTTGCATTGAAAATCCCGTTCCAGTTTTTTGCTGGCTGAGGATCCTGAAGAAGAAAAAAATTGTCAATGAAATATATGTCTGGAAATGTCTCGGAATATTGGTTTCGTACTGTGCAATTTCCCACCATCATTACTGACGAGATCTACGGCGGATCGAAACAGCAATGTTTGGTGTCAAGTTATAAATAAGTTGTGTTTGGGCTCTGATTTTCAAGTTTTTGCCTTGCAGTTAAAGTTACAATGACAGACAGAAGACAAATCTCGTCGACAGTCGATGTCAAAACTTAGCTTTGCAACTCACCGCCTTGGAAAGCATCTTTTATGTTTTATATTCAAGGATTGAGTTCCTTGTCAATCCCATAAATAGAGTGTTCATAAGCAGAGGTGTCATCACCCTTATTTAAACCAAAAATAAACTACTAATCTGAGTTTTCCGAAGTTAGCTTATGCTGTAACCCATAGAGTTGATTAATGTAATGATTCATTTGTTTTTGTGTTGGAGGAAGGAGAGTGTAATCCCGATCATGAAAGTATTGTTGTTTATTATCCGCTGAAAAAAATTAACGTCGGCCGCCGCTGATCTTCGTCAATCGTCTGTCACTGTGACCAAGATTGCGCTCCATTCTACTTATGCTTTCCGATTGTTCTAGGTATTGTTTAGCCTCGAAAATATTCTAATCGGCTTCCAAAGACTTCCATTGGGATATATAAGCGCTACCAATAGGCAAATGAGGGAAAGCCTAGTTGAAAAAGCGGTACGAAGTGAGTTGAAAAGGCTTTAGATATTTGAGTATCACTCTGAAGTCCAGTTGGCAGTATAGTAGTGAAATGAAGTTGAGCTCAACAATACAGTATAGTCAATTATTGTCGAACCAAGAGGGAAAAAGCATACAGTATTCTTACAGAGTGTATCGCGACAATTAGAACCTGGTCATCGTTGTCAGGAGAGGAAAAAATCCTAACTCAATGTCTACAATGTAATTTGGAAATTTCAACTTCAAACTCAGAATTCAGACCTTTCCTTCATTATAATGCAATATAACTTTTCATCCTTACCTATTTAAAACAGTTTTTTCCAAATGAGAATAAAATACTGAATGCACTTTTTGAAGCAATTTCAGCAATTTTTTTGGGTAGTTTGAGGAGAATATTTGTGAAAGACTCATTTCAGGTTGATTGTGAACTACTTTGAAATTAGTATGTTACCTACCTTGAATCTCAAATTTCCAATGGGAGGAACTGCATACGGTATTCCCTTGTAAGCAAAGAATGGCTGTTGTTTTCCCAGTGTTTTAGAAACGTATCCACGAATTTTTCCATTCGGTAGTGTGATAATTGGTTCCTCTAGGCCCAACTGTTGAAAAATTGAATGTTATTCAACAAACTATAAATGAGGTCATCACTCGGAGAATAGAGTTTGTCAAAAACCATTCGAGCGAGTCATGGCCATTTCTTTTTAGTAGAATACGGTACTTTTTCTATGACTTATAACAAGTAACTGGAATGAGTGATTGAAAGAATGGAATGCATTCAGTATCCATTCAACTCACAATCATTAACATACGAACCCAGAGATCTACCGTTACTCCAACGAGATCCTAAGAAATTAGTTTATCACCTAATTTCTGGTATAGTAAACTCGTTTTACTTTCTAAGTTGAGAACAATTTATTTTTTAGCGAATTCTCGGTTCATTGATTGGGTTCAAGGTTTGAGAAAATGTTGGGAATCAGGTGAATTCTCAAGACTAACTTGGAAATGTTGTTTCAAAGGTTATGGTCATGTGTTTCTGTTTTTCATCACCCACCATACTTCCCAGACTTCTAACCAATCGAATACTATCTATTCACGCACTGGTAGAACCTCCACCAATCAGTCTACTTCACCTAATCTGGAGCACCCACCTTTTATAGGTATTCACTGTGGTTTAACAGGTTAAAGTACTCATTGAAACATACAAAACTCCTGAAATAACCTAATGATTGAAGATGATCACTTGGTAGTCGAAACACGTGTCGAGGTGTTGAAATATATACTAGTAATATTAATTACTACACCAAAGGTTTTAAACAGTGCATCACAAGTAATGATTGATTCACAACTGTAAAGTAATGAATTTACTAATCTGTCATTGACCTCGAAATTGGCGAGTTATGAATCTGTTCAAATGTGATGGTTTTTTAATATTACTCAACAGGAGACAGTCACATAATGGACCTTTTTTTCAATAATCATAGAGAAATGCAAATGTTAACTTCAATTTAAGGTGATCACTTTTTCTTACCTTTACAGTTGAACCAAAAATGGGTAAAGCCAATGCAATTAAAAAACCAAATATCATGATTATCTGAAAAATATCAAATGAAAAGCCATGTTCGACACAATCTTATATATCGTAAAACAATTCAAAATATATCGGTATCAATAGATAACATTTTAATATAAAGATTTGATGTACTCGTATATCATATCTTTGTTCATCGAATAGAAGGATCTTTTTTGTGACGATTACTGATGTAAAACAAAAATTTTTGTGTATCATGAATGTTCAGTCTTTCAATGTCTAAAACAATGTTGGGAAATTTGAAATATATGGAAGAAAAGTTGAAACTAAACTAAAACAATGAAATAGAAGATAAGAAACGATGAAATGAGAAATGAAAATGAAAGTATGCTAATTTGTGAAAAATAGGGTCTCATCATTCGAACTATTCAAAAAAGAGGAAAAAAAGTATGTACATAATCACCCAGAAAAATATCCAATTTTATACTGGAATAAATATCTACTTATAATTATATACATTGTCTATATAAGCTCTTCACATATACTACTGGACGTATTCCAAAAACACTTTATTGTGAGATTTTCACTAAATTGTTTTACAAAAACGCAACACGTGTTTCGCCATACAATGGCTTCATCTGGCGTGTCTTTCAACTAATTCTACACATTCAATACTATATATATATAGTTTATGGAGTACCTGAAATCAAAGTACCTGTAAACGAAGTACCTTAATTTTAAGTAGCTGATATTTTACCTGAGTTTCTAACGAATTGAATTACCTGCACTTATGTTCCATTTTCCACATTTGAAAAAATATTCAGTAACGGAGAGTTATTGAGTTCTAATTGATCATTCAGTAAATTACCCGAATTCCTGAATCTATTGATTTCTAAACATTCTAGAAGATTAAGTTTCACACTCTTCTCCTCTAAATGTAACAACGCGTACTCATGATTGAACTCATGTCCTTCTGCTAAAAGATGGTTTGCAAATGTGGAATTGGTCTTTCTATTTACAAAACTACTCCTATGTTCTTTAATTCGTTGGAAAAATGTTCTTCCTGTTTGGCCAATATACAGTTTTGGACAAGAGCCACAAGTCAGCTTATATACTCCTGATCTATCCGACACCAAAGTTTTGTCCTTATTGTTTTTAATAAATTTACTTAGATTATTATTCGTTCTATAAGCTACGTTTACGCCTTCTTTCTTCTTTCTTCAAAAAACGGGCAATATTCCTGTTTGGTTCCCCCACATATGTCAATGTCTTATAACTAACGTTATCGCATCTTGAATATGGGTAGACCAGATCCATGGCTTGCTTTTGTCGTTTTTTGGAAAGAATGGAGCTTACAATATCTACCTTATAACCGTTATTAATCGCGATTTGTTTGATCAAATTCAGCTCTTTCTGGAAATCCCTATCAGACAGTGGAATATTCAATAATCTGTGAATCATACTATTGAATGCAGCAACTTTATGCTGGTACGGGTGTGTGGAGGAATTATGTATGATAATGTCCGTGTACGATGGTTTGTGGAAAATTGCAAACTCATGTTTATTGTTATTTTTCGTAATGGTTAAGTCCAGGTAATTTATTGAATTATTTACCTCCCTCTCAGTGGTGAATTTTATTGACGGGTGGATGGAATTGGCATCTTCAATGAACTTGCCTAATTGCCTATCTGTACCAGTAAAACATACTAAGATATCATCTGTACCAGTACAAAAAATTGTTGGCTAACTGATTATATGGATTTCATACTCTATGTTATCCATGAAAATTTCCGCCAGTAAGGGACTCAAAGGATTCCCCATTATTAGTCCTTCATTGCATGAAAAGAATTCTCCGTCAAACTGGAAGTAATTTTGAGACACACAAATGGTGAGTAAATCAACAATCTCCTGTTTTATCAGTGGATTCACGTGGTTTTTGTCTAAGAGACACTCCACTAGTTCAATTGTTTCAGTTGGCGGGATACTGGGAAATAAATTTTGGATATCGAACGATATTAATTTTGAGTTATCTGGGAGGATTACGTCTTTAATATTATCCACTAATTGATAAGAATGATTTATACTAAATTTAGGCTTGAAATTGGTATAGGTTTGAATCAATTTAATCAGGATTTCTGAGATTAGTTTTATGTAATTTAATAAGAGAATACAGTTTTGGTGGTTGTGGATTCATGATCAATGCTCTACATTTCCATTCATAACCAATTCTATTGTTTTGAGAGTTTCCTTAACCTTTTTCTGGTACATAGTTGTCGAATCCTTCCTCAGAATCTCGTAGCTTCCTGAATTAAGGAAATCTAGAGTTTTTCCTATGTAGTCCTTTTTATTTAATGCAATAACCGTTCGACCTTTATCTGCTCTTGTAAAAATCACTTCATTATCTTTAACTTTTTGATTAATTGATTTTGCAATTTTACCTTCTCTATCAGACTGAATTTGATCAACCGGTTCAGATTTCAAAATGTTTGCCGCAACATGTTTATTATAACTACAGGTACCTCTCAGAGCCAGTTCTGTTTTTATACCTAAACATTCTATGGTCGTAGAATTAATATATGGTTTTATGTTATGACTGAGACCTTTTTCTAATAATCCCGTTTCATTCAATGCAAATTTTGTGTCGGATAGATTTACAAATCTGTCGAAAAACTTGTGATTAGAATAGTTTTCCAAACTTTGGGCCTGTTTCTCGGTAAGTTTAAACTGAATCAATCGTTGGAGTTTATTCTTTTGTATCAGATATTTTTTATGAATTATATCATTAACTTTTTCACGAGCATCTGTGTCCAAAGTTTGGAATTCTATATAATGCAATCTGAATAATAATTCAGAATGTATTACTTTCAAATAAACATTAAATATATCTCTCTTACAATATAAGAATTTTCTTTCTACCTTCATCCATTTGTTTCTTCCATGATTGATTGCTTCTTGGGCTGCTATACTTCTATTGTTGGTCTTCAGGGCGGTAAATTTGGGATGTACTCTGTTTTTTATACATTGGTTGAAAAACCAAATGTTTTGTGTCGTTAACGCACATCTTAGAATTAGTTTAAAAAACCAAATGGCCAAAAAGCCCGTAGGGGCTTTCTTCAGATTCCTTTTTTATTGTTTTCTCTGTTTTCTATCCCATCCTCTTTCTATATTCATCAATAAACTTGCATTTGCCATTTGAATACAATTATACATATACATACATACATACATAAGACTTACAAACGCCATGCTGATTTAGACATCACAAAACATGATATAATTGCGTAGCGTGAGTTTACTCCAGTGAATCATTTTAAAACTTGCCTACAAAAGCCCCGTATATATTTTGAATATGTCACTAAACTTGAAAATAGTGTTAGTGATGGCCACTGTATTCTTTCTTTTCTGATTGTTGCGGAATTGAGTTTCATTTTCTATTATATTTTTTCACGGTTTCAATTGATTCATCCGAATAATTCACCAAATAATTCTCAAACAACTACTTTCACATGAGCTTTGAATTACACAAAAATATTTTCCCATTCAGTTTGTACTCGAAACATTAATTAGAAAATTGAAACAGATTTCACCCATAGGCCGTAATGTACGGAAGAGAGAAGGGAGATCGATTCATGTTGTACCATAATCACTGTGAATTCTTTCAATTTTCAATATTATTAATGAATAGCATTATATTCTTTCAGAAAATTCAATAATTGTCATTTTCTCATAGCAATTGCTTCAATATTTCCAGCTTCAAACGTATGATATCTCCAAAAATTGCATACGTGTTGACGCACTATGATCTGACTAACTATTTTCAAACATTGAAAATTCATGTTATTTTGATAGCCGCAGTATCTTCAGTTCGACAAAGTTTTTTGGGAGATAAATGAAAATACATACATGAAAAATCATCATCTAATATAAATCAACATAAGCTAATCAAATAATGTACACTTTCACGGCTGGTGATAGCTGTATGTAGGCTATTTTCGGGGTTTTCTGATCATGGTCTTGTCATGCAGGTCTGAAGCAATAGAGAGTCAAAAGGATAGGGATAATTTCAATAGAAAAGTAGAGACAATGAATATTAATACAAGTTGGCTACCTATCCTGAGAGGTTCACGAACAGGGCAGATACAATTATACAAGAATACAATTTAGAACTATATGAATGAAGCACCCAGTACGGAAATTGTAATTAATGCGTTGGATACAACAGAAACAATGAAACAATGAAAATGTTTACCGCAGTTGTCGACGAAACGTCAGGCATAAAGACTTGCAAACCTTGATTAGAGAACCCGTAAAATAGCCTCAATACAACTACATGAGTTGTTACTAAAATGTTGTGAATGGTGGTTGACCGTACTTTTCGTAAAGTTCAACCCACTTCTGATACGAAAATTCCCTGGGGTTTTTCTTGACTTCCGGATTTTTCTCAATGTCAACATAGTACATTTCTTTCTGTGTCATTTTTGGCAGTGTGAAACTGAACAGTTCGTCCTTCTTCGGCGTTGGGTTTCTGGAACCATAAGAGGTTGTTAAATCTCGAAAAAATATATTCAACAGTTTTCTCACAGATATTTAGCAAAATTAGTAAAGAGGCCTATGTAAAAATCCATAGTTTTCACATCAGCTTCAGGAAAATCATTCAAATTTTTAAAGTATGTCCACAGGTATTTCATGTCTTCAGCGTGGCCTACTCCAGAAACACCTATTAAGTAGAAACGAATTAATGAAAAATGTTCAAAATTTTAACAAGGGGGTGAAATTACTCTATATTCCAAAATCAAAATTGAGAAATCAACACCAATTCACAATTATCTCAAATGCAATTTTACAATTCTAAAATAGTCTATTACCTTGAGCAGCAAAGTAATAAATCAGTGTATGTTTCATCGTCTTTCAAATGTCAAAGAGATTTTCATAGTTGTAGTACAAGGTGATATATGAACATATGGAACACTCGCAACGAAAATTAACAGATTTTTTTATACTTTCGATTTTCGATTTGAATTTTCAATACTTTCTATGAAAGCACATTAATGTATCACATACCTAATCTGACCAAATCAGAATATGAATTAATTATAAAGCCCTCTGTCAAGGAGTTGGAACCCGTTCAGCAAAAAGCTGAGCCGCAGATATAACCTCACTTCTGCGGAAACACAAGGATAAGCCAATGCATGGGGTCTTCTTCAATGACACTGGAGACCTTGACTTCTCAAGATGCCTGACGTTCGGTTTGCTCAGGTCGAGTAACTGAGGGGCTCATCATGGCTTGCCAAGATGGTGTCTTCAACATCTTAGTCTACCGCAGTCGCGTGATGGGTATAGAGGTTCCTGAAACAAGGTGCAGGGCCTGCCGCGAGGCACCCGAGACCCTAATGCACTTGCTATCAGCATGTCCAGCATATGCAGTCTCTGTCTATATCGTTCGATATTACACGGCCCTAAAAGTACTATATTACCATCTACGGCACTCTTACGGTATTGACGAGACACCGGTGTTGCCCTACGCTCCGGGGGAAATTGGATCCGCTGTGGGAAACGAAGAGTGCCGAATTAATTGGAACTATTCGTTCCCCCCCACTCAGGCTCATACAAGCTAGTAAACCTGATGCAGTCCTTCTCGACCACCACATTGGAGTTTACATTGGTGGAATGATGTCCTCTCTACTCTCAAATCTTAAAATCATACCGGCTTACTGCACTAAGGCAGAAATTTCAGCCGGACAGATGCACAAGGCTGTCTTTCTTGGCTCACTGCACTTGCTCAGGGCACATGATTCTCGGACCCAATGCGCACTTACTCCACGATGTGGGGAGTGATCGTTGGTTCATTATGCTGGCGCGCCCTCCCGAATATATCGGGGCTTCGGGAGATAGGGCCTGATCATTGCCAACTACGGTGAAAATAATAATAATAATAATAATAATTTTTATTTTTCATTAGATAACCTGTATTGGAATCGTCAAAGTACACACGAAGCCATGACACAATATTCAAAGTGTGAGCAACACCATTATTATTAGAACAACAACAAAATTGAAATAAAATAAAATACAGCACAGAATTCACTTATTACGAATCGGAAAATTCTTGCAAATTATAGAAACAATTCTTAATCAAATAATTCTTTCGCAAGTTACTGAATTTGAGGTTATTTATATATTTTAAACTCCTAGGGAGCCTATTGAAAATAGTAAGACCTACCACTGAGGAACAATTCAATGTTGTTTTGTATTGATGAAACGAAACATGTAGATGACGTTTTTGTCTAGTGTTAACATTATGAATATTACCATTTGAAGGACATCTATCGTTTTTAAAAACATAGAGTGACAATTCAAATATGTACATACAGGATGGGGTTGAAGTTATAAATTTTCAAAATAGATTCCTACAAGAAAATGTACTAGGAACTTCTGCACTTACACTTCAACAAGTGTTGAGCAGTCCGAAAGACAAGACGTTGAAAAAAGAAAAGTCTAGGATTCACGAAATAAGCTGCGGGTAATACAAATATGAAACAACAACAAAAATCAATTGGCAATCCGGGGCGACTTCATTGATTCCAGTGGCACATTTGCTTTCTCAGCTGCAGGAAAACCCTGTAGCACCACATCATCTCTTAGATCCTGATCTGCCAATGTCCTCTCTTTCATAAAACAAACTCTAGGGTGTCTCCAGAGGCTCCAATGAATTCAAGACATCGCCAGAACACTTAGTGACCGGACTATCGTCAAACTCAAACCAGTTCGTTTCGTCTTTGACCAGTTCGTAATGATAACCACATTCAATGCCAGAACCACAATGAACAATGACTGCATGAAGATTATAATAGTCTTCTGTTAGATTGAAGTGTGAAAGGAAATATATTGGTCAAACCAAACGGACTATATTAGTTCGCTACAAGGTACATGTTTCGCATAGACCGGAGAAATCTAATATCGCCCAACATGCCACAGAATTAGTGAGGAATATTTAAAATTTTTGAGACCAGTTCATGACAACAGGTTCCTGGATGCCTTCGAAAGCTTGAAAATTGAAAAGTGTGGAATGAGTTCCCTGAAAAACGAATATTTCGAATAGCCCTTTGTTTGGTATTATACGTAAGAATTCTAAATATAAAAAACACGAAAATAACACAAAAAATAAACAGATACGAAAAATAAGAAGACAAAACGTAAACGGAATGTACAGCATACAATCGTCGGGCTGCAACAAATTTTATATCGGACCAACAAAAAAAAACTGATCCAGAGGTTCGAAAAGCACAAAAAAATACATAAACCCAATAACATATAAATCAAACTTCGCAGTTCACGCTATACGAAACAAAGATAACTTTCTCCAACCAAAAAATATTAAACTCATTAAACAAGTCAATGAAGAAAACCGTATCTGGGAAACAGACATCCATAAATTCAAAAGTCATAATTCACTCATCGAGGAACAAATACAAATCGAAGCACAACAAGACGCAATATTCAATATACTGCACAAAACAATACACATTCCTAGGAACACTGACCTAGAGAAATACCAACAAAAAGGATATTACCTACCCAAATACAGGCAAATTTAAAGAAACATTCAAATGAAAGGAGAGGACAAATACCTGCACTAAGCCGTTTTAACCGTATAAAAAAACAAACAAGAAGACAAAACGTTCAGTTTGAGTAGAGCCATGAAGATGATTGCACAGTCTGCTATCGAAAGCGCTCGCATATTATGATAATTAGAAGTTATTAAAGCTCCGAATCCTTTTTGTGAACAAATTCAAGTATTAAAATATTGCAAATAAAGGAATACTAGATGCATCAATCAAAAAAAATAGATAGATATCATCAAAAAAATGTAGGTAATAGTGACTGAGAAGAAAATACATAACAAATTGAAAAACTGGTGATAGGTTCTACTAACAGTTAGAAGTTAGACCAATAGCATATCAAAACACTAACATAGTATTCAAATTAAGTCATGATGATCTCCTGAGGACGCTAATTTGGTTCGCGAAACGCGCGTTGAGAAAGTGTTTTCAAAAGAAATAAGGATGTTTAAATCATGCAAAGAAGACACAAACTAGAAGGAAAAGCTCCCTCAAAACAACTTCTCTCATCTGTTTAACATCTGTTTTTCCGTTAACCAGCTGTCGCACCCCTACGAACGACAACCCTCAGAAGTCGAAACTTGTGCGAGCTAAGGATTAACGAGGTCTTACCTTTTAACGTGTGATTCCAAACACGGGTTGGACGATAGCAAGTGAAGATCGATCGTTCAGACTAGGGCTTGAAACACCGACCGACACGGCAGTCAATTCGAGTGAGTGAACAAAGCACCCACACCGAACCGCTTGGCTACCGACCGACCTATATAAACACTGAATCACAATAATTCGATTCATCTGATGAAAACACTCCACAATTTTGGCTCATACCTAATATGTTCTCAAATGAGTATACCCATTTATTATTATGTTTGTTGCAGTTTCCAGTGGCCTGAAACACAGGCCACTGCAGGTAATACACAAAGGATAATACACAAAAGGATAATTACTTGTTCCTATAATTCTTCTCAATTCAAGACAGCATGTAACTTATTTGAACTACTGAATTTCAAAATGTATAGAAATGTTCGATACTTGATGAAAATCCTAACATTAATAGAATTCACTGTAAGATTTTCACTATGAGGAGTTTAGAAAATCGCTATGCAACGCCTTCAAGCAAAAATGGTTTTGAAGTTGAAAGACTGGAGCCAATATCTGATAACCAAATTGTCGAAGATTCCATAATTTCTATATTTTTACCTTCATTTGATAATCCGTTATCAACAATCTTTCCTTGAAACGAAAATTGGTAAAAATAGACGTCCGTGTATTTGGATGCCAGTTCTGCAAATCTTATGACTGCTCTGATATACGTGGTGTCACTAGAAAACTAGAGAAACGTCATTAGTTTTCTCATTCATTAAGAGATGTATGGAATATTATCATTCTCTTTGAGAATGTATCAAATCACCTGAATAGATTTTCCCAAATGTTTACTGAATGTCTCATTAGTGTAGATGTCCTTGATTTTTTCTCCAACGAGCTGAGGATCGACTCCTTTCTTTAAGTTCATATCTGGCAGATTCTTAGTAACGTCATACGATGTTTCCACAAATCTCTGCCATTTTTGCAAATCTGAAACAAATTTGGAAACAGTCGTTAATAGTAATTTCATAATTTGTAATTCATAATTCGGACCTCCTAAATGTGAGATTTGTTCTTCTGAACAGTAACCAATGAGTAGCGGAACTTTGTTGAATCTTCCTTCTTTTACCAACTCATGCATAGGCTCTGTTATAAAAGCTCCTTCGTGAGGTACTTCAATGACTGGAGAGAACTTCTGAAAATGACAATGACGTGAAATAATTTTCAGAAAGATTCGGGTCTGAATTGAAGACAATACTGAAGACAATACAGATATTACTAGTATTTGTAAACTGTGCACCAAATTCAGAACTGAAATGTTAGCTATCAAATTCACAGTTTTATTTTCTGTAAGACGTTCACTACATATTTATAGTCAGGAATTTCTCGGCACAAACAACAAAAATACTAGCTTCAACGAAGTAGAAATATGCAATTTACACTCACATGATATTTATTACCAGTTGCCGCGATGGCTGAAGAGTTTACTTTCAATAAAAACTCAAGAAGTTCTTCTGTGGACTGTTCTCTCGTAAAATTTGGATCAATGGCAGCAGCGAGTCCATAAGCTGTATCAGCAGGATTACGTTGATGAGCATAGCTACATAGTGCTGAAGAACTCTGAGCAATTGCCGCTCTGAAGAGACCTGAAAATTATAGTGCTAGGTCGTGGTTTCAATTCTTCAGATAATTTCTACGGTTTTTCGCATTGCAGGATTATGTCTTATATAAACAAAGTGAAAAGAGTTGACGTAGGTGAAGGACATGAATATATTGATTTGATTATTTTCATGACGTTATTCACCATACTCAAAATTTCCATCATATTTTGTACATAATTTCTGAGATATAAATATGATCCAGGTTATGTTGTGTTTACACAATGCTGGATATTAGAAAACGTTTTTATGTTTATCATCCGCAAAAAAACAACGTATCCTGAACTTATGCAAAAAAAACGCCAGTGAAATCTCAAAAAAATATCTTTCATACGACGGACATCAATTCGACGGAAGATACTGTTTTCTTCAAGGGCACAACACAAGCACTACAGAAAAATTCTTAAGGCGCTATAATAGCGGTGCCTGAACGAGAGTAGCGATTCACATTGGATTTGAATCGCTGGAGATTGTCGCAATTCTCCAAATGAAAGAGTTCTTGAACAGTGAAGTTCGACGTGTACTGAGTTGAACCTCAATACGATGAGCAGCCATAGTCCATCGCATATGATATGTTCCTTTCACTTTCCGTGAAAGTATAGAAGAGGGGCAAATCTCCAACCTTTCTTCAATGGTCCAGTCTATCATGTTGCATGTGATGTTCTCGTCTCCAATCAGGCTAATGGCTCTTTTTTGGTTCAGAGCAGTGTTCCAAATTTTTGAAAAGCTGCTTTTGACAAAATGGTTTAGACTTTCACGGCTGAAGTTTTCAGTGTCATTGCTTTTCGAGCTTGGAAGCCATGGATTTTTGGAATTTTTTCCTGACGTTTCGCTGGCGCGAGTGGCTAGCTTCTTCATAGGTTTAACCATCATGGCTTGCTGTCCGATGGCTACCTTTTAGGCTTCGTAAAGCGTATTTATGCCTTGTCAGGTAATCAGTTGTATTTGTACCTGTATTTGTACCTGCATTTGTACCTGTATTCGTACCTGCACTTGAACCTGGAACATTAACAATCTTGCTGCCTGTTGTCCTGTTCGTTATTCTCGAATTCCTTGAAATGGGGTTCCATATTTGATTGAGGTTCACCGCTTCTTCTTTTCTGTACCAGTCGGCTATGGTATCCCTGGTTGGGGGCAATTAGTTCTGGATTTTCAAACAAAATTCTGTGGTCTCCTTCACTCAGTGCGTGTTCTGCCACAGCTGACTTGTCTGTTTGGCATAGTCTGCAGTTCCTTTTATGCTCTTTCAGTCTTGTTCCCATGGATCGTTTGGTGGTTCCGATATATACCTTCCCACAAGTGCACCGAATGCGAAAGACCCCTGCTGCTGATAATGGGTCTCTTTTGTCTTTAGCCGACCTGAGGCTTTGTTGTATCTTCCTCGTTGGTTTGAAGACTGTTTCGATGTCGTGTTTGCACAATAGTTTTCCAATTATATCCGTGACCCTAGGGACAAACGGTAGATATGTGTGTGCAACCATCTGATCCTTTTTTGCTTTCTGAACCGTGTTACCCTTCGATCTCATGGCTCTTCTGGTCTCGGAGGCACTGTACCCATTCGATCTCAAGGTCACTTTCAGGTATTTCAGTTCTCTCTCCAGATGTTCTGGTTCACATATTCTCCGAGCCCTTTCCATTAGAGTGGAGATAACTCCTCTCTTTTGGCTAGGATGGTGGTTCGATAGTGCGTGCAAGTATATTTTAGCTTTTGCAATTCCAGCGACATGATCGTGCCAAGACATATTGGTGTCCATTTTAACCCCCAACAAACTTATCAAAGCAGAGAGTGGAATTGTCTAACCTGATATAATATCGCGTTTGGAGACATTTATCTTTTTGGAGGAAACCGGTGCCTGGGATTTCGTGGCATTGAATTGAACCTGGTTATTTTCACTCCAATTCGAAATTACTTCTAGATCCCCATTAAGATATGCAACCTCTTGTTGCCGGTGGTGATGTGCATCCGCCGCCGATGTCCTGGTATCCAAAGAGAATGACGTATGTCGTCAGCAGAGCAATATATTGAATTCTTGGTTTCTTCTAAGTCATTGATATACAATGAAAGGTGGTTTGAAGACAATATAGATCCCTGGGGAACGCCAGCGTTAATGGTAATAATATTCGAAAGATAACCGTCGACTGTCAATTGCAGGAAACGTTCACTCAAGAAGCTGAAGAGCCATACACAAAAATGATCCGACAAGCCATAGCTTCAAAGTTTGGCCAGCAAATCATCATGCCACGCATGATTGAAGGCTTCGGAAATATCGAGAGCTATAGTTCTTGGCTCTCCATGTTTCTCGATTGCGTTATTTCAAATATGAGTAACATACGATAGAAGAAAGCCTGTCGATCTTCGTTTCCGAAAGCCATATTGATGATCGCTCGAGATGTTTGAGCCTTCCAAATATTCAAAAATATGGTGGTTTACGGCTTCCTCTATGATTTTTGATATCACTGATAGCCAAGCGACTGGTCTATAGTTATTTTGAAAATTTCGCAGCCCTTTTTGGGAATAAGCTGAACGCGAAAAACCCCTTCCTTGCAAGACACTTCTTAAGTATGATGGCAGGCACTTCATCATCAATATGGCCTAGTATCCGTTTTAATGGAACTTGTTTTCTATAAAAGGAGCTCACCTGCTGAACCACGGCTCAGAAGTTGATATGTGACAGATGCTCCACCAGCACTCTGTCCCATGATAGTTACTTTCGCTGAATCACCTCCAAATAAATGAATATTGTCATGAACCCACTTGAGAGCAAACTGTTGATCTTTGAGGCCCATATTGCCAGCTATAACCGTGTCTCCAGTTGACAGAAAACCTGAAAGAGACTATTCACATAAAAATTGGAAGTCATTGAATACAGTTTGAAAATAATAATTCAACCTGAAGCGCTTCTAGTATAAGTATAACGCAGAAACAGTGTACATTGGACACAACCAGACTGAAGTGAGTTACTGATGGTATTTTCATCACCAGAAAGGAGATCAATTAACTGATACATAAGAAAAACAATTTTCTCTAAACTACTCAGTTGCGAAGTCATGTTTCAACATGGCAGTTTTGCTTTGGAAAGACTCGTGAGAAGAGATTTTATAGCTTTTCTCACTGAGTTAAACCTGACATACGTGTTTCAACCTAGCATTACTGATGAAACCTATGACGGTTCAAAATAACTCTGTTCAGTATTAGATCAAAATGGAATGAACTTAAGAAACTAAATATAATGTATTATTGAATAGGATACGCCACTGTTTTTGGTTTGATATATTTTATATTTTGTTTTTATGCGTTTACAAAAAGATCGAGGAGTTGTTTTTTGACAAACTGGTCTGAAAGGTCATTATAATATTATTCCAAGTGTTTATCTGTATAAGAAATATTCCTTGATGAATAAACCTTATTCGGGAAATGAATAGTTTTCTTTTAACTCGCACGTACATATCACTAAACATCTACAAAAATAAAAATAGGGAAATACCAAAGCATCTCAGTGACGTTAACTAACTGAATAATCATTTTACGAATATTTCAAAAAACATATTGAAACCCAATGAAAATTTCATTGATTTCTATTCTGAAAACTTGAAAAATGGCATCAATGGCTACTTCTTGTTCGAACATATTAGCGAAACAACGGTTTCGAATGTGATTTACAATATAAGTTCTGAAGCTATTGGTACTGATCGAGTCAATATCACATTTTTACATTTTTGCTGCCCTACTATAATTCCATATATAACACATAATAAATGAATATATTTTATTGTCTTATTTTTCTCTCTGCCTGGAAAATGGCCAACATAGTTGTCTTGCCGAAGGTAAACCAACCAAAAGAGTTCAATCACCTCAGATGAAAAAGTATTCTTCCTACTCTGTCCAAAGTTCTAGAAAAAATTATGGAAATACAAATACGAATCTTTGTTGAATAGTCGAAAATTCTACCTCAAAAGCAATCGGGATTCAGACCTCGTTACAGTTGTGTGAGTGCAATGCAAATATAACGGATGACATTATCAAAGGTATTGATGAAAATAAAGCAACTGTACTCATCCCACTGGACTTTTCGAAAGCATTTGATTCAATAAACCACAGAATTCTCCTATCTAAACTTCAGTACTTGAAGTTTGACCAAAATGCTTGCGAATTTATTACTTCATATTTATCAAATAGATTGAAAACGTGTTACTCTGAATGATAAAAGTTATAATTTTGCTCAAGTATCATGCGGTGTTCCTCAGGGTAGTATTTTGGATCCATTTCTGTTCACCTTATTTACTGCAACATTTCATGAGGCTCTGCAGCACTGTAACTACCACATGTATGCTGATGACACACAGATATATAAAACCTTTGAACCCAATAACGTCATGCAAACTAACAGAGAAATAAATATTGACTCACACTCTTCAAAAGATGTGATAAACATCTAATCAAAATAAATCCTCAAAAGTCATGTGCTATTTTGTTCTGTAATGACAATGTCAGGAATGATATATCTTATAATCTTATACTGAGGATTGGAAATGACACAATACCTTTTAGTGAGAATGCAAAGAATTTGGGTTTGATACTAGATCAAAAATTGAGATTCAAAGAACAGGTTAATATTATGTTGAAAAGAAGTTACACTAGCTTGAAGATGATTTACCCACATAGACACTATTTAGGCCAATATGTAAAAAAATGCTGTGTGATTCATTAGTGCTTTCCCAATTCAACTATTGTGATATAGTATATGGGCCATGTTTAGATGGCTTGGATAGTCAGCGTATTCAGAAAATCCAGAACTGCTGTTTGAGACGTATTTTTGGCATAAAAAGCAGGCAGAGAATTTTCCATAAAATTAAAGAAATTGAATGGCTCAATATGTCCAACAGGCTTACACTACATATCCTTTGCTACTTCTACAAACTTTTGAAATACAAGCAACCCAACTATCTCCATGATAAAGTCTTATATAGAAAAGACATACATGATAGAAATACTCGACAAACTTTTTTATCATTATTCCTCGATATAGAAAGGAAATTTTCAAATGTAGTTTTTCATATAATATTGCTAGTTACATGAATACGTACGACTGAATCGACTACAGTAGGTCGTGTATCTCTTTGAAAAAATACATGACTGTATGTTTGCGTGAACTATAAAAATTAAAAATGATTGAAAATATCTCCCAACTCAGAGCAAAAAATAAAATTCTCACAGCGTTGTCATGCAACCTAGCAGTTTCATGACACAAAGTAATCACTGCCCTCACAAGTGAAAATGAATTATAAAAATGATCCCTATCTTTTCTCTCTCTCTTTTATCTTTTTTTTTTTCTCATGCTTTTCTCTCGTCTTCTTGTTTACTGGTACTAGTCAGTAAGTATATTTTAGTTTCAAGTTCAGTTTGTAGTAAGGAACTGAGTGGAAGACCAGTTTCTCTCTTTCTGGTGTTGAAAGGAAAGTACAGTGTAGACCATCATCATCAATGACTTTATAATTGTCATTAATGTGTTATTTTTTCAATGTTTTTTTAAACTACTCGTGTTCTGTATCACGTGAGGTATAACAAGCCGTTGCTATGAAATTGCTTTCATTTTTCTTCAAAACAAATAAGTAGAAATACGGTTTCTGAAACTACAACAGAATACAATCAATGCACAACTGAATGGAGATATATTTGAAATTCACCGAATGGTCCAATTCTGTAGTTGAAAGAAACTACAACGATATCTTTCTCAAGAAAATTTTGTGGCTTCAAATCCCCCATTATGGCTCCTCCATGGATAAAAGCACCTCCGTAAATGTCAACCATAACAGATAACTGAGCGGAACTGCCAGGTTTCTGTAAGAAAGGTGAAAAACTACAATCAGGTGCATGAAAAAGAGACACTTTGAATATTAACAAAGTTTTGTATTTTCAGCCGATTTTGTTTTTTTTTGGGTAGAAGGAGAGAAATTCATCCCAGATTAGGTCACATCGAAGAGATTCATTGATAAATTTTCGAATTATAATGATGATAATAATAATAATATTTATTTTCAAAAGTGGCAAATGTGGCAGGGAGAAAAATGTTATCCAACTTTCAGAAGAAAAGTTCCTATAAACATATAACCAGAGTACCTTTGTTTCTAAAATACATAGCGTTGAATAATGAAAAAATAGCATTTTCAAAATATCATAAATATCTTTACACCAATTCCATTGGAATTATTCACAGTCATTCGAAGTAATGAGGCGCTAATCAATCCCAAATTATATTGCAATTATTAGCCAATACAGCCAATAATATTAAGTTTTTTTGTAATTTTAAATTTTTTCGTTTTCGAGAAAAAAATCACTTCTACAAACTATCCATGGACAATATAGAATAAAAACTAAAAGAAGATCATGAACAATTCCGACATTGATGTGAATGAGCAAAATGTCCACCTTCTGATAAAATACACGACTGCAATCTATTTGTCGTTGATTGTCTGACACGATCAAAAATACCTGGAGTATTGCTTAAAACAATACAATTGTCAGTTATTCGATTTCATAAACAAGAGCTTTCCGACGACCCCATAAATAGAAGTTTAGAGGCTGTGGTGCCACTCAGACTCCACTGGACCTAATAACATCAATCCAGTTAGGGCTAAATAAGCGACGTATTACTTCAAATAACGGTAGCAAATTTTAACCAAATCGGTGTAATGATATTTTTGATATTTCATAAATACCATTTTTTTCAACTTCAATGTCCTGTATCTCAGAAAAGAAATGACTCCGGACATATTATGTTCATCAACACATTCTTTTTTATTCGACCTAACCAATCACTGTCTGAAGTTTCTTACCGTAGTTAAGAAGCACCGTGTAAGTATATGGAAGAGTCCGCGATGGCATATTTATATCTTTTGAGGATGCCTGACTCACACAATGGAAAAAGTCTATTCGAAATGAAGGATAAGGAAAATCAAGAGAAATGGGGTACAGCAGATGTGATGGAAAATATAAAAACTTGAGTTCACAATGCCTCCTTAGAATATAAGTATCTGAACATAAAGAATACATTAAATTCGGTATCAGCGAATTGCTCAAAGTTCTGCAACAATTTTTCTCCCAACAATACTCACCACTGGAGTGAAAACATCAAGGTATAAACAATCTTCACTTTCAGTTGAGACCTGTTTCTGCACCTGGTAGCATGTTTTCGTCAGCTGTTTTGTTTGTAGAACCCCAGTCCAATTCCTGACGGGTTGAGGTGGCTGTGAAATGATTTTTATGAATCTGGTTTGAATTTTATTTGAGATTTCGCAATATTCGAAACATCTAACTGCGAGAAACTATTTCCGACAAATCAACCAAATGCATTATTGATTATTTTCAGTCTCATGAATATTTCATTTTTCATTCATTTTCCTAGACATAACAAATTCATGACTACACAAAATATTCTACATTGAAAGAGATTATACATCATAGTTGAATATTCGCAACACTGGTCAAACCATACAAATCCACAGCTTCAGAATAAAAAAAAACTCGTTAAGCGAGTAGAAGACTTTATTGATAAGAATCTGTTTGGCCGCGAAATTGATTTCGGTATCACTGAATGAAAAAATAATAATAATGATAATGTTTATATCACTTCAGAAATTTTAGATAACTTACCATTATCAAATAATTTTGTATGAGTAATGGACTAAGTTCAGTTCAGTTTTTGAATGAATCAATCCACCAAATGATTTTTCCACCCAACTGTTAAAGCTATCTATGAGCCTATACAGTGTCACACATAAAGTCCGCATCAAATGGGATTTTTTTTTGTTCATCTCTTCAAGCAACTTTTGATATCTCCATTAGGTTGTGCTTTAAAAATGATGCCAAATGACATGCATATGACCGATCAAGGGATTTTTCTTCCCTGTCCAATTTGACATTTTTTCCAAAAAATGTTCAGAAAAGAAGTTATTGCTCGAAACTTCGAAAATCGGTAATACCATATACCCATATACCAATTTTTAGCTCTCTAGTACAAATTTAGTTTTTTTACAGTTTTTCGAAAATTTGACATTTGCCGATTTCTCAAATTTAGCTTAACCTCAACAAAGTTAGTGCTTTATGCCTAACTTATCTTTTCAACGCATTTTTATTACCAATTGCAATTCTAAATACAACTCTAAATACAACTCTCATTTGATGCGGACTTTATGTGTGACACTGTATATAGTGCAAACGAAAATTATAAAAAATTAAAGAATCGAGTCTAACAGAAATATAGAATGATAGTCAATGATCTACGAACTGAGAAACCTGAAAAGAAGAACTTGAAATGAATCACTGGTAAGTATAAGGATTCTTGGAGCCTTCTGAAGTTTTCTTGAACACTCACATTCAAATGACAGTGGATTCAAAACTCCTCCAAACCTAACACCCATTATGGATGTCCGCATGAAGAATTATTTTTATGAAGGTATGAAGGCTATTCAATTATAATAATATGATGGCCAATGTTTGCTTCCTGCAAAAATCTCTTCTACTTCATATGCAGTTCAAGGCTGGTTAAGCTGAAAATCTGTTCATATCTGTTTTCCGCTAACCAACTAGACTATAAACAGTATTGGCATGAAAAGAGGAGATGAAACAAATGATTTGTTCAATATTAATAATTTTCCTGAAAAATATCACCTAACGCCGTTAATTAATTTCAATGCGTCGCCTAGCAAATCAGGATGCGCCAAGTTCATCACATGATTCATAGCCAGCCAATCAGGATGCGACAAATTGTCACGTGATGCCATAGCGGAAATTAAGGTGGGTTTAGCAGACTGTCAGCCAGTTAATCAGAATGATTCACATGGCTTCAAATGCAGTCAGCCAAACTACGGAACATGTTCGACGCCACCTATAAATTGGATTGGTGTGAGAATAGAACCCAGGCAGTAGGCGTTAACCTGGGTTGTCGGTGTGATCGGCTTGGTCCTAAGCCTCAACACCACCATGAAATCTTGGAGATGAAACGAAATTGGAGATGATGATGGGGCTGCGATTTTGGAATTGGTGTTTGGAAACGGAAATCTATGATTTTGTTCGAGATATTGGCGTGTTATATTTGGAAAATGAAGAAAATAATTTGATAGAGATTTTTGCTAACTTTTTGTGTGACTTAATTCACAAATAGGGTAATTTTGAATATGAGAAGTGAGGTTGTATGACATGAGGGGAAGGTTGGCTGAAGGTTTCTCCAATTATGATCATAGAATATATCGTAGAATTCAGCGTTCAGTTGTTAGCTATACATGCAATAATGCATAAAAGGGTATTTTCAATACTAATATGTGCGATCACACACTCGAACAACAAGTTGGCGATATGAGTTCATCAACTATTCAGTATTGAGAAATATCAGACCGTAAACACCTTCATTTTAAACTTGTTTCACCACCTTTAGCCACTCATCACTAATCCTTTCACTAATCCGCCAAATCATTTCATTTCAGGTCAAAATAATAAGATGTTGAATTTCTGGCCGTTGCGATATAAACATTGTCATGTTACGGACTACACAAAATAGTTATTTGAACTGTAATTGACTTGAGTGTTGTCCTCATAGAAGTATACCTTGCATTCGATTAAACTATTCATAAATTTCGATGAATACAGTGTAATTTATATTATTTTCAATTTCGAGCCTTGTGGGACTCCATATTGTAGGGAAAGTGATTTCAGAAATGATTTGTCGTTTGCAAATCTTCGACTTTTTCAACTGATGTAATTCCTAAGCAATATTCTCTCCGAAGTTGACAGAAAGATATGCAGCAAAGTTGTGGTGCCGCTATATTCCTTCCTTAATTCAGACTGAATAGAAGGCAAAAATACCAACTTCTCCATCGAGACAAATTCCAGTTGAAATAAATGATGAATAGACCATAATATACCGTAAAACATGCAAATAAGGAGTATTTTTAATTTATGGAGTGTGTCAATTTTTTTCTCAATTCATCCTATATATAAATGAAAGGAAATATTTGTGGATACATTGTGAACGTTGTCCAATTCAGTGATCAACTGATAACTAATTACTTTGTTATCTCTCATTCTATCAAAAAGATATAAATACATACAATACTGAATATATTGTTGAAGTCATAAATGATTTTCAGATAAGATTGTATTGAGTATCGTTCAAAATAAATTAAATGAATTCCAATGATATATTAATTCTATTCACCAGATCTTTCTGATTATGAAACGACTACTCAAAAAAAAACTTTGAGTCCATTCTGGAATAAAAACATCAATTTTATCTGAAGTAACGGGATTTTTCGAAAAATAAACTGTCAGGCCTTGTTTCATGAACATGATTCAGACTGATAATGAAAATCGATGGGTATATTATAGAGACATTATAGAGACTATTTTTTCCTTTTCAGTGCATATACACTACAAATATAAACATCAAGAAGTATTTCAAACTTTTCCATCGAATTATGAAAATATTAATTATTTGGTCCCCTAAAATCCTCCACCAAATATGGACTTTCTGTGGATATGCATTTATACATTTATATTGAGTCCAGCACAATTGAAACTTCACCAAAATTTGTTATACATATATTCTCTACAAGAAGAAACTAAGTCTAGATAAATCATATTTTGATCAATTATATAAACTCTATAATCAATTGTGAACACTTCTATTGAAGAAAGAACAGCTTCTAATGGAGACAACTTCTCAACACCAGGACTAATACTCATTCTATCAATATGTTTCGGTACTCAATTAAGCATCATCAGGATAAACAGATTCAGTCAAATTCTGATAATGCTGACTCAATGAGAATGCACAAAAATATTCAAAAACTATTCGTTTCAGTCTATCAATACATTCGATTGTGATACTGAAAGCTGAAACACTATAAAATAGATGAATGGAATGTATTTTCGAATAACTTCAGGTGGACCTGTATAAATTCTATGAATCGCACAAATCTGCAGACCTGCAATTACCAAAAGTTTGTGTGCTCATATTCCACTTTCAGAAAGCAATTTTCAAAGAGACTTGATTTTCCAAACATCAACCAAACATCATATCACTTCAACTTACTATGGTGATCCTACTAATAATATTGCTCTTTTTTTTTCAAATGAATGATTGGACTTAGCCTACAAATCATAATATGATTGAGATAATTCATTGAAAACAATGAAGGTAAAACTTCAGTCTCTGATATATCGGAAGTATACAAGTTGACTTGTGGTTCCAAAATTTTATATTGGACAAACCGGAAGAACTTTCTTTAAAAAAATTAAAGAGCATTGAGGTAGTTTTCCGGATGTATAGACCAATTCAACATTTGCAAACCTTTTTTTATAGAGGGAATCGAGGTCAATCATGATTATGACGTATTGCATTTGCAAAAGTCACGTTCCAAACTCAACCTTTTGGAATGTTTGCAAATCAATAGATGTAAAAATTCCAGATTATTGGTCAGCGATCAGATATGTCAATTGTTTCTCTTTACTGAATTTAGTTTTTAACGAGGAAATTGGTAATTAGGACAGATCTTGAAAGTACGTTGAATGATGAGTCAGATAAAAATTGCATTCATTTCTCTCCAGTCTTATGAGTTGTTCCTAGATAGGTAAATGTTCAATTAATAGTATAAAAAATTTGAGTGATTTTTTGTTTTCATAACTATAATGCAAGTATTTCACAAAACGAGTTACATCACTTACAGCTGTGTGAAAATTCAAATCAACTCCTGCGAATAATGAGAAAATGAAAATACATTTGATTTGAATTGGACACACTGTATGATGATATATGTCAGATGCAAACTGTAGTCTACTCAATCGACTGTCCCTTTCAATCTGGACGACTGGACATAATAAAAATGTTGCTATTATTCGAAATATCCAGCTCTGAACGTCAACAAGAGTTGCTTGTAAACCGTAACTTTGCCGGAACACATTTTCCACTTACTTTAAACCTCAAGTTTCCAACAGGTGGAGCGGCAAATGGAATTCCCAAGAATCCATAGAATGTCTTCCCATGTCTAAATGTTTTGTCCACGATTCCCTGGATTCTTCCATTCGGTAAAGTTACAATTGTATCGTCGGGAAATACCTGAAATGTAGTTGTAAAAATAAGTCTTCTCGTGCACAGAGAGGAAAAAGCAATTGTAGGATTTTTCAATCAAATAAATCCATTCGATCCAAAATTTATACTGGGTGAGTCAATAAAATTGAAACAAGTCCGGTAGATTCAAAACTTAATTTGTTAAATAATATTTCAGGTGAGCTGGAAGGAGTGGGAATCTACCAGAAGTTGAAAACCTGATCGATATCATCTCCGTCGGGGCAGGTACGGACCTGAAATTTCCTTGTGAAGAATATTCCAAGGTTGACGGCCCATGAGAGAGTTCGCACGACCTGGTGTGAGGGCCTGATCTGCAGTCTAATTGCGACCGTCCTTGGTCAGGTAGGTAACCATCACCAATTTGCGGCTGGAGAAGTGAGTCTCTGTATTACAGAGATATACTCAGCTTACTGCTCCCACCAACCGGTAAACACTCTCCTCATCCCTTGATTCAATCTGTAACTATCCAGGCTGTTATGTGTAGCTCTGAAGTCATCGATATTGGGATTGTCGGGTGTTCAAGTTGTAATATTTCTACTTTTATGACTGCAGTAACCAAGAGCAATTGAATAATGACTTGTCATCAAGCGAATCTTTTCTGGAGTAGTTCGTGGAACATACAGGGCTCGTTTTGTTTGCCTTAAGTTAGTTGGTCCTTATTGAGGTTGTCAAGAGATACAAGAATCCCAATGCAATGACCGTAGACACCTGGTGTTTGAACAGCACGTGCAAGTCAGCTATACTTTATGTTATGTGTTATAATTTTTTTCTGAAATCTTTGACTGGTTCTGTATGAATTCACTGGATCTAAATGCAGGATAAAATCAGTTAATACATTTTCATAAAAGTCAGAAAGAAAAGCCTACTACTCATGTGAGCATCATCTGTTTCTTTAGAGTAAGGCGGGTAAGTCCACAGCACTTAAGACACATGTGACCCATTATACATCCTCACGAGGAGTTGTCCTCCTAGGTCATCATCCATCCTGTCCTTTCCAGGAAAGTGGGTCACTAGGAGACATCTCGTTTATATCGGCAGGTGTAGGCCAAGACTCGCCGAACACATACTCTCTTATTGACGATAGCTCCGGACACTCGCATAGGACATGCCTGATAGTCTCATCTTCCTGTTTACACATCCTGCATAGAGGTGTTTCTGCTAACTCCATAATATGAAGGTGGTTCTTCAGTTGACAGTGGCCAGTCAGAAATCCTGCAGTTACGCGTAAGTTTTTCCTGGTCATCTCCAGATATTTCTTCGGCGCCAGCTTCCCAGGGTCGTCCAGGGTGATCCTGGCATGACTGATCCTTTGATTCCATCCCATCTGTTTAGGGATTGAGCATGGGTGTGACATTTGGCCTGGTTCCGCAATTGTCGAAGTCATCAGGCTCTAGGTGTCACTGGGTCCTAAAATTCTTAGTCCAGCCGTTTCCTTGGCTGAAGACAGGGCAATGCAATGACTCTCCATGTAAACGTTAATAATCTAGTTTTGGAAAATGAATCATGTGTACTGTTTCTGGGCCATCGATGAGTGATGACTGAGATCAATTTTAATGGCGCTGATGTTTCTCGTACCTCCCAATTGAAAATCGCAGTTTGCTGATAGAAAAAAATTTTGTAGTGAATATAAATTATGAATGAATGAAGTGTGTGTATTTTCTATATTGTTATTCAATTTGGTACTGAAGAGCCTTAGGGCAAGTGTCTTAAGGCGAAACATCGGTGTATACCAGTGAGGATGAAAATGTTCCATCTAAGTGCAATTTATTACCATTCATTTAAAGTAGAACTCATGTGAATGATATCTGATTTTTATTCCACAACGAATGTTTGAAATACAAACTGAGTAGAGAAAAGTATCTTCTGCATAATTCAGTGTTCATATAGAAGTATTTGTTTCGAAAGAATTTTTTGTATTCGTGTACATCAATGTTTATATGAAAGTAGCTGTTTCATTAGGACTTTCTTTCAGTTTGTGTCTGAAAGTTACTTCTTTGCATGATCTACACATCCATGTATAGAGTTACTTCCTTTCTTTCTTTGGAAGACTCCTCCATCCTTGTTTTTTTTTGTATCAAGATGGAGTAGTAGAAAGCCAAAAACTTTTTTCACAAAAAATAAATTATGAATTTCATACATTTTATTTCTTTGAAAATATACATATGAAATGAATGAAGCCTTATTCATGCTTTAATTACATCATTTCGAACATAAAACAATGACCTCATCGTTTCCACACTAATGAAAACAGTTTCCTCATTTTCATGACAGATGATGCTAATTTGTTAGCGAAATGTTCATTCTGGTGTAGTAGAATTCATGTTTTTCATTTCAAAATGATCCATGTTCAGTCTATCGTGTTTCTTAAATTAGTACAAAATTTTTAATCTTCACATTTTTTCGATTGAAGGGCTCCCGTTTTTTTCAACGGAAATGGTAGGTCTGCATGAAATGAGTTTCTCGTGATTTCCAATATGATTTCCAGCCTCTGTAGAATTCACTCCTATGATGCATTGCAGTGGATGTGGCACCTCTAAGGATTGTTCTGAAAATCAAGGCCTTACCCTATTCATGCTATAAAATTACGAGCTTCTCAACTTGAGAATTGGTACATTATTTATTTGCAGCCTTGTTGAAATTTTAATTTATGACATTAAAAATAAAATAAATACAACAGCCTGTTTTTTGGCCGGTAAAAATCATTCTGAAGAATGAAAAATGTAGATTACAAACTATCCATCTGAAAAACAACGCCCATAGGTTTTTTATATTTTGCCGTTACTTTGTTCACAGTTTGTATGGTATTCCAATGTACAAATTAATGTTCTCAGAATTATCATAGTATAGACTTGGACCCAATTCTTCTCATCCTTGTATATCCTTCTTGTTATCCTTGTATAACATCAGAACCTGCTTCATATTTGGTAACACTATCCTTAGCAGCCTCACGAATACCAGGCTACCAAACGCGGACAGCGATTCCAAGAATGGGCAATGTTCCTCAATTTGGGTTATTACAGCAAATTCAAGTTTGAACAAAATAAAGTTGAGTTCAATTCATGAGTTTTTCAAATTCACTTCGAAAAGTATTCAAATTGATGTTTCAAATGTTGGGTTTTAATTTTTAAAGGGATCGTTTCTAATCCACATATTGGCAACAGCGCCTATATCAAGTTGAAATATTTTATACGTACCCAAATATTCTACTTTAAAAAAAAATTATCTTTATGAATCAACAATTGAGACAGAATATAAATTATAGTTCAATACCTCCTCCACAAGCCACATAAACAACAGTTTTTTTGTTATTTATTTATATAGAGGAAGATAGGTTAGGTGCACAAAATTTCATATGTCACAGAATGTATCGAAACTCGGAACATAAGTAAACAGAACAGCACGCCTCTAAAATATGTCATCTTTGTTTTTCTCATACAGTTAACAGATTCATTGTCCTTTATCAGCTATAACCGATGTTGCCAAATGGTGAAATAGAAACGAATCCCTTTAAATGTTGAATGCATTATGTCATTCCTCTTTTTTAAGTATTTGAATAATTTTTTAAAGAAAAACGTTGAAATGATAAGTTTGAAATGCGTTGTTTCAGAGCCCTTTTATGAAAACTACTTGATTTTCGTCAGGAGAAACATTCCCCGTTGCAGTTACCAGATACCCTGCGAGTGCGGAGAATCATACATCGGTGAAACTAAGAGGCCATTGAAAGTTCGCCTTGCCGATAACAGGAAACACACACAGCGGGGAGAAACCAGCAAATCAGAAATAGCAAAGCATGTTTGGACTCATCAACATAACATCAAGTGGTCTCAAGCTGAAATCACATCCACAAGGTGGAACACTGGTTTGGAAGAAAATTTAAAGAAGACGCATATCCAACAATGCATTTAGCCAAGCTACGCAACATATGGAAACCTATAAACAAGGGAACACGACCAACTCCCGCCAAACGGTCTGCTCCCGCTAAAATCGATGAAGTAGAAAAAGGGAAGAGGGGATAGGTAGAAGCACTCGAATGACCATAGATAGTCAGATCTCGGAGGAGTAAGTCCAGTCATCACCTGAAGATAATTGTTGATACTAACGATCGAGAGGTCGTGAAGCAACTGGGCTTGGAATCTTTTAAATTTTAATTTTCATTTCTTATTATTGGTTCAAATTTCAACTGTTGCTTGTATTTTATTACATTGTGATTTCAGTGTTTCTATTTAATATAATTGTTATTATTCAGCTAATATTTTCAATTTTAATTAATTCTTTCAGAGATTTCAAATCAATTCATATCATAATAGACAATGGAAGTTCGAACTGATGAGATGCACTACGAAACATTGTCAACCATCTTCAAGCATATATTTCTCTTACAAATTCAGAAAAATGTTGGGTCACATGATGAGGTCACTCATTTGCTCACCATTCAATGAAAAAATCCAAAATATTGGCTTATGACTTACCCCTTGAATACATAAAACTACCACAATGAATAATAAAGTATCCATTTTCTCTCTCAGTTCTATTATAATCAGTACTACCGACTGGACGATGTACTTGTAGTCCAGAAATCAGAAAAAATATGTTTTCTACTCATTGTGATATATCTTAATAATTATCAATTAAGACACTTCATCATTCACTATCGTTATAAATCAGTTCATTAATCTCATCAAGATAAATTAAATGTTATGAGAACTCAGCTCGTTATTCTGTTTATATATTCTATATTCTATATATTTTTTAAAAAACTATTTTATTTATTCATTTCGAAAGTATGAATCCAAAACAAGCACTTTTCCTATTCATTAGAGAAGCAATGATCTTTTCGATGCGCAATACACCAAGTGAGTGAGAATAGTATTGCATTTCTGAGGTTCAGGAAATGGGTTTGCTTTGGATGTATTCTATGCCAGTTTCACCGTTTATTTGAAAGTATGTGTTTCTAGTTTTTCTTTTTTGATATCGTAATTGGAAACTTTGTTAGAGGAGCCATCATGCCCAAGTTTTCCTGAGGCTCCGACACTACAAAGGGAGCTTCAGTAACTCATGACCATCGTCTACATCATAAGATGGTCATTGTATGGATCCGAGAATGATAGCCTTCTGCATTTGCTGGGCAAAAAAATCCGCCATGGTGTGTGAGTCGGTATGATTTTGAGATTCGAAAGTAGGCAGGAAATCATTCCACCAAGAACTTCAATATTCATAACTACAGTTTCAAAAAAGTAGTTTGAATAGAGTCCGCAGAGTCTACGGAGTTCAAAGAGAACATCTCGATATTTCGTCCATTTTTCTCCTCTTTTCGGGTGGTACTTGCCTTATCTGGAGCTGTAGACACCAATTCGATGTTCGAAGAGAATAACATCAGCCTGAGGGTGTGAAATGAATAATTTCAATAAGTTTGGAACTTCTCATTACTCAAAATGTATTCAATATTCCCCAGAGCATAAGGCAACGCCGCTGCATCTTCAATATTATAGCACTGCTGATATTTCAAATATTCTCCTTACTCGTCTAGGTCTGCCGAATGAATCCCAGAAGCAATTTCCTCTCTGAGTTACGACAGACATTGAATTGTGTCTGATATTCAGTTGTATGGGTTTTCTCATATAGAAAAACTTGCCGATCCCACGAGTGCTATGGAAAACAGGTCTGGTAATGCAAGGCTACGCTTCACCGTGACAAGAGGGCACCACGGTATCATAAAGCTGGCATTAGTGACACAGATGATATCATGACAATGATGAGATAAGTGTTACATTTTCTTTCAGCGCGTATACACACACCTCAGGTTGAAGCCAACTTTAAGATGCAATTCGGTAAGAGAACATGTAATTTTGTGATTTTCACGATCTGTGATTCGTGGTGCTACGACGAATCAGAGATCGGAAAGCTGAATTTGCTCACCATTCTGCATCCCAAGTTAGAGGATACAAAAGACAGTCAACCCCGCATTTGTTTCAGCAAGATGGGTTGAAAAAAATCCTTCTTCAAGTTGCCTTGTGAAAGTGGGCATTGAGATATGAAAACCAACCATGTTAGTCATTTATTTTATAAAGATATAATCATTCATTTCAGAAAGATATAAATGGTTTTGGTACATATTTTTCGAAAATATCCACCCATTTGTAATACGAGGTATTCCTGGGATTGTGTTGAACGGTTATATTCGTATCAATATCCAAGTAATAGTACACGTCTTCGGAAACTTTTGGCCATAACACATTGTCAAACAAGTCTCTCTTTTCAGGTGTGGGATTCCTAGAAAAAGTAATATATAAGATTTTTTTCACTGAAGCAAATACACGAAATTGCAGTAAATGAATTTAACAATATTTGTAAATCAGAAAAACCCACATTGAAATTGGGAAAACTGTGCTCAATTAGCTGCCTAAATTTTCAAAAAGTATAAAAGTATAGAAATGAATGGTTTACGGTTTACGGTCTGTATTAGATTTATTTTCACTTGAGGACAGACGTAAACTTGCAATGGTTCTATTCCTTCATAAAATAATAAACTTCCACTACAATTGTTCAGCTATTTTAGATGACCTTTGCCTTTCTGTTAACTCAAGATCCTTAAAAAGCAATCGCATTTTTTCATTTGGGTTGCGATTCCACAAGACTAACTATGGCTCGATGGCAATAAGTTGTAGGCTTCAAAAAAATTTCAATACATACTTTTCAGAACTTGATCTTTTTCATTTGAAATATTCAAAATTCAAAAAAATGGCAATTAGACGACTTCATCAAGAGATTGTTCATTAAACTTCTGAATAGTCGTTTATTATTTCTTTTAATAAAATCATAACTTATTCTAGTATTCGTACATGTCTTTTTTTTAATTTAAACTCAAAGCAATATTTGACAAATGAAAATGCATACCTTTATTCAATATGAAGTAATAACTTGACTCTAGGGTTTGTTTGCACATTGATGTAACATTTGGGACTTTGTTACAATTCTGTAATGTACTTGACATTGTTACGTTTTTGTTTTATAATTTAATTATTCATTTGTGTTGTGCATTGTGGAAGACTCGATTCTCCTTTGCGGCATTATGAATAACTCTTTGATATAAATTGGTGACTTTGCTTCTGTTATGACATAAAAAACATCAATGAGCGCACAATCACAACTGTAATAACCTCACTTGTCTGGCATAACCTAACAATATGTGATGGAATCGGCAGATACTTGACCTAGCCTCACCTAACAAATCGAACGTCGTCAATCTGTTTAAATTGTTTGTGTTTTTCAAACGTCTCGATAGTTATTCTGCTATTTCGGGCAGAAATGCGTCCAACAAGTAACAAATCATGAGAGTTCCCAATCAGCAAAGTTGTTTTATAATTCCATGGTGTTGCAACAGTTTTTTTTATTAGTACTTTATAATTACTTCCAAAATGCTAATTGATTATATTTAGATGATTGGTGAACACAATACAGTTGTAGGCAATAAAAGTGTTTTATAAATTTGTCATAGAAACGTTTATGAAATAAAATTGAAAAACCATTATAAAATAGTCAGAAAATTATCACAGAAACGTTTTGCAACTAACTTATGAAACTTATTTTCCTATAGAATTAAATTGTTATGTAGCAGTTTTATTAACACTTTTCTGCGAATTTTAATGAGAGTTATAAAACTATTTCAAGCTTATTTTATAACTCCTTCCTGTAGCTTTAATGAAATCATTTTATTAGAATGCTTTCAGATACTATTTTATTTTCATTACCATAATGTCACTTCAATGATAATTTCCCAACTATTTTATAGTATGGTATATTAATTACAATTCAAAAACACTAATATAACTGTTGTAAAATCAAATTGCTTTTGCTGATATATATTTGTTGCCACCAACAATAAAATGCAGCATTTAAAAACAACCAGCTGACATCGATTCCTAATCACAGATTTGAAAAATTCTTCAAAATTTTAGTTATGTTTAGTAAGAATATTTTTGTTTAGTTATTCAAGGGACGCTATCGATATCTTGGTGGAATTTAGTTCGTCAGCAACTTCTAAATATTTGATTTCTATTGAGTATAGGTACCCAAGTAAATTCAATATTTTTAATTCATCCTTAATTTTAGACACTATGATATGCATATATATGTGTATATATATGTTATAATTTCAATTTGATAATAACTCCATTGTGTGGATACTGTATTTGGTCCTACTGAGTTGTTCTTCAGTTACAAATAGGCGTCTATGGATTCAAAGGAAAACAGTATAAAATAATTCTTGATTATTCGCAGCATTATTCTACAAATATAATTCTTTGGTGATATGGTAAAGGTGGAACAAATGTCTGCGTGAAATTGGTGCAAGTTTACAAAATTACTTGTGGTCTTTTTTGTGTGTTGGGCAGACATATGGAGAAAGAAATATTGAGAGCAGATAGTTGTTGGTTCACAGATGGATCAAAAACACCTTCCGGTTCTGGTGCAGGTGTTTTCAGGCACAGAACAGATATATCAACCTGCCTAGGAACCGATGCGACTGTATTTAAAGTGGAAATTTACGCTATTGAATTGTGTGCGGAGAGATTGGAATAATCCAACCTCATACACAAGTCAATAAAAATATTCTCGGAGAGTCAAAGTGCTGGTAGTGCAGCAAGCAGCTCCATCGGAACAGAACCTGTCATTGGCATCTCTTTAGGCTTTGCCAAATGAACATTGAACTCCTGGATGGCAAGAAGATTCTTCCAGGACTGGCTCACTCCAAGGCCTTTATTCACCCTTCGAAGCTTGCGATCTTTTTTTATGTGGTTGGGCAGAGACATGGCCATTAAAAATTATCTCCGCGAATTGCGAATTGGTTTGGAATATTTGATTTCAGAATATTATTGGATGGGAAAAAGGTGAGTCAATCAGTCTGATCATCCTAGGCTTTTTTGCAATATTAGTTGAATATATATGAAGTTGATTATCAATTATTTTTATGGTTACTTGGTTACTTTCAATTAACGAATCTGATCTATTATTTCAGTTATAGTGTCCTGTTCTCGGGAAATTTTGTCTTTGTATTTCATTCAATGTCGTCTGAAAGAACATTGTTTTCGAATCAATTCACTTCATTTTTACAGAAGATTCGTTTTGTTTACTTCATCAAACGAACATAAGTGACTTTAAATATTGCTTATATTCACTTGCGTGATTTTTGCTACCCGAATTTGTACGAAGTAATTGGTAAGGAGTATTTCTTTATTTGAACCTGACCAGTCCGTTACGTATCCAAGACTGTCTGCTTGGCTTATATAATTGAATTTCAGCTAACTAGGGCTTCATTGTAAAAAACAACGACGATAAAAGTGAATAACAGTGTGACAAATAAAAATACTCACAAACATTTGGCAAAGTTGGTCAATAAGGTAACGTAGCGATCCAGGGTCATCATATCAGATCTAGGAAATTCTTGATAGTCATCGTAACGTGCCCAAAAATATTTTTGATCCTCAGCATGAGCAACTTTACCAACTCCTTGAAAAACATAACGAAAAAATTGCATAACGTTGTTAAAAATATTCAAAAAATACGTTTCGAAACAAAAATGGAATATTTTCAGGCGAGACTAGTTTTTGGGCAGAAAAAGGTTTTGACTTCTTACTTTTCCATCTTCATGACAAAATATGTCTATATTTGAAAGTAACTTTATTGATTCATTTGCAAATTTTCGTAAAGAGTTTATTTCAAAATAAAATACTTTTTTCCTTCCTTTGGAAGATGGAGATGGAGAAGTATCAGGTTTTTTCAAAATTTTTGTTCCTCTTCATGAATCTAATTTGAACTGTAATATCTCAGTGAAAACTCATTAAATTCAATCGAAATAAACGTCATCTAAATCAGTAAACTTTTGTCAACGTAACACAAGTCGATTCCGTCAGCATAAAAGTCAAGTGCTAGGGATTCAACAAAGTCGACGAAGGCTGTTTCTACCTGGTCCACATTAGCAAAGATTCAATCGATGATAATGTTATCGAAGTGCTTGAAAAAAAAGTAGTCGGTTGGGGGGAGGTCTGCGGAGTATGGTGAGTAAGGAAGAACATCGACGCCTAATCCGTGTGATCTACGAACATTATTTCTGAAACATGCAGACGGGCGTTGTCGTGGAGATGGATCGGATCTTTTTTATTAATCAGTGTCGGCTGCTGCTGACGCAATTTCCGCTACATCTCATCGATTTCCTCATAATAGTACTCTGCTGTGCTGGTTTGACTCAGTTACAGAAAGTTATAGCGAATCACATCAGCCGCTGACCACAATACAGTAACTATGATCATTTTTTTTGGTGTTTTTCCGTCTTTGGAGAGTGCCTGGGTGGCTCATCGATGTCCAACCACTGTCCTAAACATCTCCTGTTGTCGTAGAGAATCCACTTTTTCGATCCTATCCAAAAAAAGATCGTTTCGGTTGCGAAAAGCAAAGAACAGACTTTGATTCCAGTTAATCGTTCAAATCGTGGGGGACCCAGTTTTCGAAATTCTAGAACTTTACAATACGTTTTAAACCATCATAAACCGCATGGGGGTTGACGCTCAGTTCTTTCACCCTCTCACGCGCCTTTTTGATAGGTCAGTCTCCACCAGGGTCCTTGAATCCTCATCCTGAATTACTGTAGATCGATCACTTTGGGCCACATTTTCGAGGCTAAAATATTTAGAACAAAATTTCTCAAATCAACGGCGAACAGTGCCTTCATTAACTCATTAACAGTAATAATCCGAAAAAAATTAAAAAATTCAAATTTGGAAAAAAAAAATAGCATCAATGTATAGAGTATAGAATTCTCTATTGTTCAGTATATAATAATAATACGTCTTAATTCAGCATAAAATACAAATGGAATAGCCAAAAATAAAATAAAACAGTATCCAGGAAAATAAAAACAAAAAAAACTTCCAGTATATGGTGTATAGGCGGAGTATCAGCCAAGGCTGTTTTTCAACTCAACCTGGGAGAAACTATAATTGAATAATATAAACACAGAAAAGAAATCAAGTCGAGTTAACAATATCAAAAAATTAGTTATTGTTTACTTAAGAATATTCATTTTAGAAATGCCAAGGTCGGGAACGGATAAGAGGCTAAAGAATTAAGTAAGTCTTCAGTCTTTTTTTAAAGTTTTCAATGGTGTATGATCGAAATTCGTAGGGTAGTTGATTATAATATTTGGGTGCATTATATGAGAATCAACGGGTGTAAATGAAAGATTTGTGTTTGGAGATGACCAGAACTGAGTTGTTCCTTGTAGTAAAGCTGTTATTCGTAGAAAATGTTTTAAACTTCTTCAGTAAGTAATCAGGTTGTCGAGTTTTCAAAACTTTATGTGTGTTGGTAAGAAGGTGTGGAGTTTTATGTTTCTCAACATTTAACCATCCTGTTCCTTGCATTGCTGGAGATATATGGTCGTATTTCTGTATACCAAACGAGAAACGTAGACAGCTATTCTAAATACGCTGTATTCGGAGAGCATCCGATTGTTTCAAAGCAAGTCCATAAATACTGTCGCATTAGAAATTTTTGACATAATAAGAGGCTTGCATAGTCTGAATTTTGAATTTGTGTTGAGCAAATCACGATTAGGAAAAAGCTGTCTGAGAACATTATAAGAAGATTGGTTCAGGTAACTGACATGTTTAGTAAAGCGAAGTTCCAGATCGAACCACAATCCTAAATTTTTTATCTCTGCCACGGAGGGAAGTATTTCGTTTTCGATGCAAACTTGAAAAGTAGAGTTGGTGAGCTCTCTGTTCTTCTAAGCTCCGAACATCATTATTGTGGATTTGTCAGAAATGAGCTTGAGCTCATTGGCTGTTGAAATGTCGAAGATGGCTTGGAGATCGATATTAATATACGACTAAGCAGATGTAGACTCGCCAGGCGAAAAAGATAAATATAACTGCGTGTCGCCTGCATAGTGATGTTTATTGCATTTCTTTACGAACAGATAAAAATCACAAATATACAAGCTGAAAAGCAAGGGCCCAAGGATAGATCCTTGTGGCACTCTCTTCATCTACAACAATTCTTTGAATATGATTCTTCATATAGTTTTCTAAGAGTGATACTGCTTTCCGAGAAAAACCAAAGTAGACAAATTTGTCACACAATATCTCATGATCTAGAGTGCCAAATGCCTTGCTGTAATCTAGAAGTATTAAACAGGTCAAATTTTGTTCATCTGCAGCTTGAAAAATATCGTCAGTAATTGACAGAAGAGCCGTGGTGGTACTAAACCTCCTGCATCTTAAGAAGTGGCGTGTTTTTCGAAAAGATTAAGAATGTTACCAAAGTAAAATGAATCTTCTTTGGAATACGGAGCAACAAAAACAGATGACAATAAATCGGACTTTATAGTTTTTTTTATCATGAAACCATTTTAACATTTCGTATTCAAGACTCTCGCAAATACAGAAGAGCGCACTTTCCAGAGAGCATATAATATCATCCACAGCATCAAAAATCCCAGCAATTATGACTTTCAAATGATTTTATATTACATGAACACAGAAATCTCAATCTATTCTCCAACGCAGACGTTTTATTGAATGTAATAAATGAAAATTCCCGATTTTCTATTATTTAATAGAAGTTACGTAATGAATAGACCAATATTTGGCCAACCACTTCAATAATTCTGGAGAAAATCATTCACAGAAAATATTTCCAAACGGAGTCTTACCATCTAGTGACACGGTGTTATTTCCCATTAAACCATGATAAGAAAATTGATAGAAGTACACATCCGTATAGTGAGACTGCAGTTCGGCAAATTTAATGACGGCTTTTGTGAATCTGTTGTCGCTGCTATACTGAAATCGAAATGAAATTATTGAATAACGAAGATAATTCATATTTATCAACACAGATACATCGATTGTAACCTAATGCGTACGAATATATAAAAAATAAAATGTTTCCTGTTCAGCCTCGGCAAAATTTATTCGGATCATTACTATTTTCAATAATACATTTTATACATTCATTTCAAATTAATGGTCGAAAAGTATGAAGAAAATCGTTCGAGTGCATCGTAAAATACGATTTGAAATCGCTTTAGATTCGAAAGAAGTTGCTATCTATCATCTCCGACACAGCTGACTGGAAATTCAAAAAGTATCACCAGTTAATGAACTGATGGATGTAGCCATCACTACCACTTGTATACAAGTAAAAACATAAGAGGTTTCATTTCTCATTTTTCATTTTTATCGCTAGTTAGGTCGTTACAACCCTTACAACTGCAATGAGAAAACTGTAATGTAAGACCGACGATAGGGAAAACTACCGTACCCAACCAAATTGTCAACATTTACTGAATAACCCTGTCTAAGTAAAGTTTCACATAATATTTCAAATACTCTCAGACGGTACTGTAATGATATTCATTTTTCATTTTATACTATGAATCCTATTTTCAAATTGTAAGTCAATACTGAAGATGAAGTACCAATCTCCCAGACGTTTAGAGAATTTTGTGTTCATAACCAAATTGTTTTTCTTAGTATGTCGAACAAAGTGGTAGGAAAATCAAAACGAGAGTTCTTCAACATGTTGAACTAATTGACAATTTCAGAAACCTACACTTTGATAATCATAACACTAAAAGTTCTTTCCCTAACCACATTCTTGATTACAACCATAGTTGATATCGATTCTGATTTAGATATTTTACACGTTTGCCAAAAAGGTACTTTACCTAATTTATTTGAAATTTTTGAAATCAACTCTAGTATTAATAACCCTAATGTTATATATCTTCATGAACAAGTACAGTTTGATTGACAAAAGTTTTTCAATTCTTTCAATTTCAATTGAATTTCCCCTTCCTCAATCTTCCACAAACCCTTATCTTTGTAACACGATGGCACATATAGATGTTATGGGATCTGTTTGCTCAGAACACCAGTCGATATGTATGCGAGTTTCTTTCTCCTGTTTTGTTCTGTGGTTGCTGATTTCCAGTCACTGTTCCATGTCATCTCGATTTTTATTTCTTTATATATTTTTGACAGTTGATTCTCATTCATTCCTTACGGATATTTTCTTTATAAGTCGTTTTCAGATTTTGATGTTAATGAGTGGGTATGAAGGCTTCAAGCCTCTCATAGTTCAATCACTGAGAAATATGTTGTTATAAATTTCTCTGTTTCGCACTACCTTAAAAAAAGAAATATTTTTTTTTATCGAAGAACCGCTTTAATTTCTAAGTTCAATATTCTCAGCGGAATGAACCTTACTACTAACAGAGCATTATTACTTGACGTCATTATTAACCACTCGGAAGTAATAATTGGAATTGAAGATATTCTGTTTTAATGAAGGCATATTCATGAAGCAGTATCTGTAGGACTGAATTTAAATATCGGCGGGTTTGTGTATCAGACATTCAACCTCATCTAACGATTGAAAACTGAACTACTCTAGTAGTTCTAACGCGAATGTGTATTTTTCTGGAAAATTTTTTTTTGAGGTTGTGTCTAATAGAAGAGATCTACTGTGACGATTGTGGAGTAGGTCAGAAAATGATATCACAGTTTTCAAAACTGACTTTGCAAACAATGAACGGATAAGTGGCAGTACAGTCAAACAACACCAGTGAACCATGAACCGAAAATTGCAAACTACGTGTGAAATTTGGAACACTCTCCATATAACTCCAACCTTGCATTCGAAAAAGTAACTTGATTGACCATGTTTTTGAGATGACGAAGAACTCAAAATGGCTATTGTCCACTGATTCAATTCCCAAGCGGCCAACTTATATGCAGCTCAGAGAGAAAAAATAACCCTAGCCTTCATACTCATGAAGATGCATATCCCAGAGGTCAATGAATTGATAGGACACTCCAATTGAACGACATTAATCCAGAAAAACAACAAATATAACAGAAAACCAATCTCCTGAATACCGATTAGAAACAACCTGGTAACTAAAAACAACACCTACTGAACAGTATTTCCTCACCAGAACAAGATAAATGTCTCTCGTCGCACGTTTCACTAATCGAGTCAGCATCATCAGGAAAATGATTTTTCGGCCATCTCCAGATTACTGAATAGTGAATGTCATCTACCGAATTACAGTCAAGCAATTTATGGATAATTAGAAGTATGTCGAGAAATACATAACAAATATTCAACAAAGACCGTTCATGTAACAAAACTATTGCATTGAGTGTCGGAGAATAATGAATGATAAAATGTTATAAGCCCATGTAGATGCAGGGTTTTTCTTAAAAAAATGGAGAAATTCAATACCACAAGGCCAAGTTATTTGAATCATTTTCCAGAAATATCCAATCTCGGAGCCTGTGAGAATATAATACTCAATTAGCTCTAGAAAATAAATTGTTACTTGAACTGTTTTTCCAATGTCATCCTGAAACAATCCGTTCGTATAAATTCCTCTGATACTCTCTCCAATAGCAAGTTTTTCGTCTCCATCTTCAATGTACATATCATCATCCACAATCAGCTTTGGATCTTCATCATATTTTACAGACTTTGATATCAGCGAATCGATATCTGGAACAATATGTTACGAGTTCAAAACTAATTAACTGAAATTTCATTATGAATTTACTTGCTGCTTTATTGATCTCTTCTTCAGAGTTTATTCCAATCAGCAGTGGAACTCTATTGATATCTCCTTTCTCAACTGTTTCATACATGACATCAGATATTATAGCCCCTTCATGAGGTTCCTCTATGACTGGAGCGAAAACCTAAAAGGAAATTTGTCAGTTGTTATTCAGTATGAGTGTATTTTGTAAAAGTTCTCAACTTTCGAATCTTGAATATTGATTCAGAATTCAGACACATAAAAGTTTCTTGAAATTATATTATTCCCACTCACTCCTGAAATAAAAGCATAATGAAAATTAGGCTAATAATGTTCATTTGTTTTTAAAGTTGGAATAGTTCAGTGTCGACCGCTGTGTCGACCTCTATATTCCTCCTGCTTGGTTCTACGTTTGAAACAACGGATTTTTCATTAGGCTCTTCCTATCCTTGAATTTGAATAAAAAAAAGTGTGTGAGATATCATCAAAATGTTCAAGTCATTCAATAGACCCATTGATGCCATTATGTGTGAAATATAACATCGTTCGCCACGGCTTCTCTGGGTGAAGCACATTTGGAACGTCCAATTATACATGACTCTGGCACATAAATCAGGCTAAATTCGACCGATGGCATGGGTTATGTGGACTTTGAAAACCGTTGTGGTTTATTCGCATTCACCTGCGACTTGCCACCTGCCGCAAGAAAAAATCCAACGGGGTCAAATCGCACGATCTTGGTGGCCACATCATCTCTACGTGAGATGACCATGCCCACAAATCGCCTGTGCAGGGTATCCAATGTGACATGAGCTATGTGGCACGTAGTGCTGTCCTGTTGAAACTACATGTCTTTGGTGTCCAGATCATCCAATTCAGGACAAAAGAAGTTGCTAATTATCGACCTATAGTGCTCGCCTTTGACAGTGATGGCCTGGCCAACGTCGTTCTCAAAGAAATAATAATATCAATAACGTTTTTATTTTTTCATTTTCCAGTACATTCAAACAAAAATAATCTTTTAAAATTTACTTGTGATGCACTGTTTGGAACCGTTGGTGTAGTAATGAATATTACTGGAGTTTTTTCCCAACACCAAACCGTTATTTTAACACTTTGACAAACTGTTCAACGAAAGTCATTTTCTGTCAAAACTCCTTTGACATCTGTCGAAGAAGCAAAGAAATAAACAATCAAAAAGGCCATATATTAGAATTTTTTGTCCATTTCTGAAAACGGAGGCAGATTTTGGCCTCCGAAACGTGAAAGATAATTATTGTATAATTTCTTAACATTTTTTTTTGATAGGCAAAATTGTTAAATACGACAAGTTACTGATAAATGGAAGATTTTTCTTTGTGAAAAATACTTTGATTTTTACGCAGTAACTTATCGGAGTAAACTAAAAAGTTTACCCTTCTACACTTGTATAAAGTTCTCCATTATAATTTTTCTATTCTTCAGATTATGGAAGATAAGAAATACCCAAAGAAGGTCGATAAAATCAAACTGGTTTTTAGTTTGATCTTCCTCTTGAAGATGATCACTTATTGACCGAAACACGTGTCGAAATGTTAAAATAACGGTTTGTTGTTGGGAAAAAACTCCAGTAATATTCCTTTAAAATATGTTTAAGCAAATAAAGGGCAACTTGGCAGCGGAGAGTGCTACTCTGTTGTTCTTCCACTCCACCCTGAAAAATACCTATGCGTACCTATTGATATGATGAGAAAGAACGAAAGAATAATTTTTGGTGAAAGCGGCAGTTTTCAACCATGGTATGTAAAAATAATTAATAAAAACCTAATGAGTCCTGAACAGAAGGTTTTTGAGTTGGGTTTTGGAAGTTTGGATATGGACCGATAATAATAATAATAATAATAGGTCTTTATTTCCATAATGATACAATAAATAAATGTGAACATTTACTGAAACGGGAAAGGCTGAAGATCAGTTGGTTGCATCAAAAAATGCAACCTCTGTTTTTCATCTTAGGCCAAAAAAAAAGAACTATTTATACATATATACACAATGCATATACACATATATGTACCCATATACACACATACACATATGTAATGCAAAAAAAAAATCGGCAGAAAAAATAACAGAGAAAAATATTCAAAACTATTTACAAATTGTTGAATGAAAGTAATAAATAGATATATAATTGACACAATAGTTTATTAGACGTAATTATAAACGGTTAGAAAAAAGAAGGTAGTAATGTTACGAACCACCATTCTTAACGCCGCCAACCCAAAATCAACACCAAACAGTGACTTTTTCAGGATGCATTGGATACTCTTGGATCTCATGTGGATTGGTATCATCCCAAATTTGACAATTTTGTTTATTCATGTACCCATTCATCCAGAAATGGGCCTCACAAGATGATTTTTCGATAAAAATTAGGGTCATTTACCCATTCAACGAATACACGTCGTTACCTGAGGTCGTTCACCTTCGGTTCCTGGGTCAGTTGAATTTCGTACGAGTGTAGCCCTAGGTTGAGTTAGGGCTAGGTTGAGTGGGTCTATTCGACCCTCTACCGCAAGGGTTTATTGTGGCCCACACCCATTCACACTGGACCAAATAAACCCAGCTTCTTAACGAAGCCGATTAGTTTCTATGGTGAGTGGTCTTTCAGGTCAGAACAGGTCCGAATACAGACGACACATACTGTCCTTCGACAGTGCGAGTATCTGCATATGATGATTCAAATGAAAGTGACTTGTAAGAAGGCCTGTTAGACATCGCAGTTCATCCCTACTGTAGTCCAACAACTGTTTGGTATCAAGCTTCATCAAAGGGTGAATAAACGGCTTGGAGTGAGCCAATCCTGGAAGATTCTGCCCCAGAAGTCCATGAATCTTCTTGCCATCCAGGTGTTCAATTTTTGTTTGGCAAAGCCTAAAGCGATGCCAATGACAGGTTCTGGTCCGATGAAGCTGCTTGAAGAAGTACCTTTCTCTGCAAGGGAGTCAGCAGCCTCAATGCCTTCCAGGCCAGTATGGCCAAGAATCTAGACCAGAGACAATCCGGTTAAGTCTTTCCATCGAGGAGAGGTTTTTGGCAATTTGCTGCTCGGTAGGAGCCAAGAGCTTTCAAAGTCGCTTGACTGTCCGAGAATACTTTTATTGACTTGTGTTTGAGTTGAGAGTAGACTAGTGTTTCTTAAAGTGTGCACCGCGGCACCTTGGGTGCCGTGGGCCACGGGTGAGTCTTACAACAAAGATGACTGAGAGTAAAGGTAATACGTCGGTACCTATTAATAAAAATCCTCTGATAATATGATAATATCGGTAATTGCAAAATGCAATCCATTCAGATAGCCATCTATCTACTTTTATCAATTGAATATCTAATGTAGTCTTTACGTTCAAGGCGCCGCGATAACCTTCAAAAAACATAAGGGAGCCGTGAATTCGAAAAGTTTGAGAAACACTGGTGTAGGCCTAAGTCACGATGCAAAATTCACCAAATTGTAGTCTACGGATAAACGAGTTCTTGTCGACTTTCGAGTGTTGGTTTTTCGTTTATTGAAAAGACGATTATGGCGACCGTAAATGAACGAAGCGCATGATACGTTTCCTGAACAGAACACCCATTTTCACGAAAGGAAATTATTATTTGCACAAATTGTTGAATGTTATGTTCATCCATGGTGATTTATCAAAACAGACTGAATAAATGACAACTAATTTGACAGATGAAGCTTCAACAAGATGGCCGTTACCAATTGTCATAGTTCAGAAGTCCATCACGAAGATTGCAATGTTCCATGAATAACTAAGTACTGCACGGATCTGATTAGCACTCCGTTCAATGGAATGTGATCTGTGTTATCCGATAATAAATGAAATAATCTACTTAAGTAGACTCTAGATAGCCTCTACAGTTTTTAAAATAAATAATTTTGCTGATTAGAATTGTTAGTATGTTCATATCTTTCTCAAAAGCATCTCACCGTAAATCTATCATAAGTTTTGCTGATGGATTCAGCATCAACGCTCAACAAAAACTCTAGAAGATCTGCAGAGGACCTATTTCTGGAGAAACTGGGATCAATTTCTGCAGCAATACCGTATGCTGTTTCTACTGCATTCCTTTGATGGGCCCATGTACACAGAGCTGATCCACTGTTTGCTATGGCTGCTCTAAATAATCCTGAAATAATACGACAGTTAGAGTATACAGTTTATGTTATTACGTTCAATGACTTTTTGCATTTCAAAGTAAATCTGACAGATTCACCTCTTGAACCAGGACTCAATATTTGGTATGTTACTGAGGCTGCTCCGGCACTTTGTCCCATCAAGGTCACTTTGGCAGGATCACCTCCAAAGAACTGGATATTCTTTTGAACCCACTTCAGTGCCAGTTGTTGATCCTTGAGGCCCATGTTTCCTGGGATTACGGTATCGCCAGTAGACAAAAATCCTGAAGAAGTCAATTCAAAAATGGATCAATTCAATTCAATTCAAAATCACCACAACATAATAGACTCGCACTATACAACTATATATCAAATAATGTAAAAGAATTATCGCACCCTCTCTTTAGGAAAAAAATTTTAAAAATGTTGACAATGAATGCTTTCTACAGCCTTGAAGAATTTGTTAACTATTGCAAAAATACCTAATTTATTTCAATACTTTTATGTAAATATGTCTCTGTATGAATATTGTACTTTCAAAATAATTTATCAAATTCCTAATTTTTTTCAAATTGTTTTGCATAACATTAATAATGTGCTACTAAGTGTAATATGACTTGTCATATCCAGGCACAGCTATGTAGGCCGTTGGTTACAGGCTACAAATGGTTAATAAAGAATCTGAATCTGAATCTGATTTTTCAATGATGAAGAAAATACGGTTTCAAATATGATAATGACTATGTAAGTTAGTACTATATTGAAGAATTTGGTATTGTTCAAGTGACACATGAGGAACGGAATTGATTGAATAACATTTGTATTTTTCGTTTCAGAAAAAAAATTGATTTTTTTCGAACCAACTGTAGCGTACAGAGTTGTTATTATCAGAGATAAGTAGATAAGTTTTGCAGATATATTTGATTAAAATCGTATCTTCACACTGCAGCCAAATCGTCAGTAATTCTTCGATAAGGATCACCTGGTGATGGAATTGTCTTAGAATTATCCAGAAACATATTCCAAAGTATCAACAATACCTTAACTGAGCGACCAATCAAATTATTCCAGCAGAATCAATTCTTCTACTCATCAGAAATGTGATGTGTGTTTCAACAACCAAATTTTATGTCACCAATGAATACAGTTCATCCTATTTTTGATCTTCTCTTGCTAATTACCTGGTTAGGAAACGAGCACCAATCATCACCATTTCTTTTTTGTGATGCAGACTTTAGAACTTTTGGTGAAGTGATGAATATTACTGGAGTTTCAACTCAACACCAAACCGTTATTTTCAAAACTTTGACTCGTGTTTCAACCACCAAGTGATCATCTCCAAGAGGAAAATCAAACTTTTTGAGTTTTCTCTTGAAGATGATTACTTGGTGATTGAAACACGTGTCGAGGTGTTGTAAACAATGGTTCGGTATTGGAATAAAACTTCACTAATATACTCCTTTTTTTTTGTTCAGTGAAAGTGCTTGTTTTGGATTTATCCTTCGCCAGAGGTTCAATTTTCACTTTTCGCCAAGTTGTTGTGTGAATATTAACTGATGATTTTCTTTTCTGGATCAGTCTTCAGTTATCCTGAAGACTGATCGAGTCTAGAAAATTCTGGAATAATCAAAACATTCTAGGATATTCGAAAGCATTCTACAGCATTTCAAAACATCTCGGAACTACTGGAATATGTGAAAACATTTTGAAAAAGCCCGGAAACGATCTCCTTCCATATAACGGCTTGTAAAAAGCATACTGATCGTATTTGGAAACTTTGGAGCCAGTTATACAAAAAATAATTACAGATTTCAAAATGGATCATATTATTATGAGAATATGAGCCTTAGGAGTTTTTGAAGTGTTCGATAAGGTGGAAATTATCACTACTAACTCTTCATGTGTCAACAACACTACTTTTGATTTGTGTAATTCAGAAACTGATGATGAAATATCAAAATGAATGTGTAGCAACAGAGTCATCAGTATTTTAACAAAACGCCAAGACCTGTCCTGCGTTTTCCTGGAGTACTGGCATGATAAGGCATCGAGGAACACGAAATGATATGGAAATAATTGAAGCTGATCGAACATTATTTTCATCAATGAAGATACTAAAAAATCATCATTATCAACTCACCAAATGGACCCACACGATAGTTGAAGGTCACCATTAGAACTCCCTTCTCTATCACAAAAACTGGATCCTTATGTCCGTATGGTGCATGACCGTGAACGAATGTTCCGCCGTATATGAACATTATAACGGGAAGTTTTGTATTATTCATCGGTCCCTTGAACAAGAAATTGTATTCATGAATTTTCTCAACTGAGATAGCAATATGAATCTTTCAGTTTTTTAGTGGCCTCAGCTTACATTAGCTAGTTTTGAAATTTTTGTTCACAACACCACGAACACGTATTTCATTATACAATTTTTTCCGGCGTGTTCATACATTACACATGATCAGTAATTTATATAACATTCTGAAGCATGTGATCTTCTACCTTCTCAATAACAAATACTTTTTTTTGAGTTTAGGTATAGACTAATTGAAATTGTGAAAATTATATGAAAATTCCACCAGATTAGGATAGGTTAGGTCCAAAGTGAGTGGGTCTATTCGACCCTCCACCGCAACATCCAAGAGTTTATTGTGGCTCACACCTATTCACACTCTACCAAATAAACCCAGCTTCTCAACGAAGCTGATTAGTTTGTATGGTGAGTGGTCATTCAGGTCAGATTCTGCCGAACTCTAAAAATCCGATTTGGTCTCCAGCGAGATAGGTACGAAGGATGTGCCCTGCTGTTTCATCATTTTTTGAACGGAGGCGACACACACTGTCTTCCTACAGTCCGAGTCTCTGCATATGATGATTCAAATGACAGTGACCGGTAAGAAGGCCTGTTAGACATCGTAGTTCATCCCTACTGTAGTCCAACAACTCTTTGGTATGAAGCTTCGAAGAGGGAATGAACGCCTTAGAGTGAGCCGATTCTCGAAGATTCTACCAGAAGTCCATAAATATTCTTGCCATCCAGGTGTTCAATGTTTGTTTGGCAAAGACTAAAGCGATGCCAATGACAGGATTTTTGTCCGATGTAGCTGCTTGCCGATGTAGCTGCTTGCCCTCTTCTACAAGAGAGTCTGCAGGCTTATTGTCTTCTAGGCTAGTATGACCAGGAATACAGACCAGAGACAATCTGTTAAGTCTTCCTATTGAGAAGATTCGATTTTGGCAATTTGCTACCAATTTAGGCGTTGCTTGGTAGGAACGAAGAACTTCTAACGCCGCTTGACGAGAATATTAATATTGACTCGTGTATGAGGTTGGATTCTTCCCAATTTTTTTGCACACAATTCAATAGAGTCAATTTCCGCTTGAAAAACAATCGCTTAGGTTCCTAGGCAGGTTGATATCTCTGTCCTGGGTCTGCGACTGAAAAGACCTGCACTAGAACCGGAAGGTGTTTTTGATCCATCTGTGGACCAACAATTATATGCTCTTAATATTTCTTTCTCCCATAGGATCCAATCCTCTCCACTCGGGGGACAGTACTTTATGAGGCATAAAGTCAGATGTCATTTCCAAAATGCTGTGACTTCCAGCCAACAGTCTGTTGCACTCTGCATTAAATTGATTTGTGCAATTGGCAATGTGCACAAGTCCATATATAGTCCATCTAGCCTCATTCTCCAGAAAAATGTGGAGAGGAGGAAGATCTAGAAGACTCTCCATGGTCCGTTGTTTGTGACCTGAACCCCAAGTTTTACCACGAATCCTTCGACATGTCCATAGGGACAGTCTGGCTTTGTGTGAAACTTTTTCCAAGTGGTTTTCTATCAAGAGCTCTAACGTTTCTTTACTAGAGGTCGTGAATGTTCCATATAGTTGCCCTGTCGAGAAATCTACAGAGACAGACAAAGAACAATTTTCCATAGGTAGTAAATGTGAAAGCTTAGCTCTGCAACCAAGAAAGGTTTACATTTTTCGGCTATCTTGTAGCCTCCATCGTAAGGAAAGATTTCTTGCTTATTTTTCCCATGAAAATTTTCATCTACCAGTAACTCCACGACCAATTCTCAATCTGACTTGAAGAAGAAAATTGAATACAGAATTTGCTTGTGTCTTCAACAAACTGGAGAACAACAATTTTTTGTGATTTGCTCACAGTAATACTTGAATCATTGGCCTGTTCAGTCTCCTACTAGATTTTGATTACTCTTCTACCAGAAAAGCCATCTGTCATTCAAATTCCTACTACAAATCATAGCAAATGGATTTTTCTCATTCATTTTTCTGTTACTTACCACCGTGGTGTAAACATTCAGGTAAAGACAGTCTTCTGTTTCATGTTTGTCGTATCTGTCGGTCTGGTAACACGTCACTTCGTTATTTTTTGTATCCAGAATTCCGGCCCAGTTCTCAACTGGCTGGGGTGGCTGAAACATCAATTTTCTGTAATGTATATATTCTTCATTATTCATTGAAACGATGAATGAACATTCGATGAATATTTCTATAATTCTCAAGAAAGAACTGCTGTCCTGAAGTGAGTACCAATTCAATCAAATTCATAACGAACATAACAATTCACGTGCATCACTAATTTCACCAAAATCGCTTGAATTTCGAATGAATAGAAAGGAACAAAATCGGACTCTCAATATGATATAGATGTATCAATCTGTAACTTGGAATTTGACAAGAATGACAGGGTAATTACTCACTTTGAATCTCAAATTACCAACCGGTGGAGTTGCAAAAGGGATTCCCATATAGGCATAATATGTCAGATTATTTAGAGATGAGTGCGCCGAAATTCCACGAATTTTTCCATTCGAAATAGTGATGACGGGGTCCTCAGAGGATACCTGAGTCATGAAAAATGGATACATAAAATCAATGTTATTGAATCAATGATTTCGTAAATGATGTAAATGACTTATTCTTGAACACAAAATGAATAATAGTGTAATACATACAATAATCTATAACCTATTTTTTCACAAAGTCTGAATCAATTCTCATGTGTATCTTAACAACGTATTCAAAAAACAACACTTCCATTGTGAAATATTCATTGAACAGTCTTACAAAAACGCAACACGTGTTTCGCCATACATTGGCTTCTCCGGACGTGAAGTAAAGACACGTGTTTTTGTAAAACTATTCAGTGAAAATCTCACAATGAAGTGTTTAATTAAGGACAAAACACAAGCAAGACAGGAAATTCCTCAAGGCGCTCCCAGAGCGGTTCCTGTGCGAAAGTAGCGATTCATATTGGATTTGGATCGCTGGACATTAAATCCATTTGAAAATACATTCTCAGGAAGTTCATTCCACATACACGCAGTTCTCCAGCTGGAAAAGTTCTTAAACAGTGGAGTTCGAGGTTTACTGAGTTGAACCTCAAAATAATGAACGCGTATTTCTGATATGAACCGCTCTTGGTGGAATCAAATGTGCCAAGTCACTTGAACACTTCCCGTGAAAGTATCTATGGAAAAGTAAACAAATCTCCAACCCTTCTTCGATCTTCCAGGCTATCAAGGTTGCACGTGATGTGCAACCTTATAAAAGAGTAAAGATATGAAAATATCAAACAGAAGTATGAAAAAACATGAAACTGAAAAATATGACAATGGAAAATAGTACAGTCTAAACTGTTGCAATCAAGTTATTGATATTTCAAAATCAGCCTGGAAGTATTCATTGAGGAAATCAAATGTATTGTCATGTAACAGTTTTTTAAAATTTTTTTTGTAGGAAAGCAGGTTTGATAGCTGTTTAAGAGAGATAGGTAGTTTGTTGTATAACTTGGTAGGCATAATTAGAGGGCCGTTTGTTGCTTTCGTCAATTTATGGTTGGGAACAATAAAATTATAGTTAGATCTTAACGTATATTCTGTGGCGAGCCGAAGATTATCTCTTGATTCAAATTTGTCGAGATGAGTTTTAACATAAACAACACAGTGGAATGTATAAAGTGAAATGAAAGTTAGAATATCCAAATTGGTAAACAGCTCCCTACATGAGTGATCATATTTTTTTGAAACACATTGTTCTCATAACCTTTTTGAGCTATTAGTAATAATAATGGTTTTCATTGGGTGAAATAGGATATATAGATTTGAAAGTGTAACAAATATTGTAAACAGTTGTAGCAGATATCGTCAGAATTGTTGTGTTCTACAAACACGCCATACTGATTTGTACTGTTACTCTATTACATGTTTGCCATACTCTTCAAGATTCAATTTGCTAGTGTTTCAAGCCAGTGCTTCACATTAGCATAAATATGTTAGGATGTCTTTTTTCTTTTTCTAGATTGTCTGAATCTGAAGTGAAGTGAATGTTTTAGGAATGATTATCTGGAAAAAATTAATTTTCACTTACCTCATATAGTGCAAAATATAAGAAAACTGATAATTTCAACATAATCACTCGGAATTGTTAATTTACTGGAATGTAAAAACAAATTCGATAGGTATATTGGTTTATCAGCACTCAAGATTATCTCAGTCACGATAGAGCTATGACGGCAATTTCCATAATGAGCAAAAAATAACGATTTAGCAGTTGTTGTTAGGCACAAGAGTGCACCCAAAATAGGGTCACTCTAGTTTGCGTACACGGACATGAGGGTTACAAGGGCAATGTTCTACCCGGAAAGGACATCCAAGGTTATGATTGGCACAGAACCCTTCTGCGGGGTAGCGAAAGCATGTATAAAGACATCCATAAACTCATGTATACAAACCGAATCGATAGATTAGTGGCATAAGCTACCAGGAATGAGGCAGGTGAAAGAGTTCATAAAAATACCATTGCCCAGATTCACGGTAGACCTGCTAAACCACAACCGTGAGTTTGTAAGGATAGTGTTGGGTCTACTAACGGGGCATAGCTGGCTCAGCAACATGGGTCTGACAGAAGAAACCCAATGCAGGTTCTGTCAAGAAGAGGAAGAAACCGCACTGCATGTTCTCTGTGAATGCGAAGCGATAGCAAAGCTGAGACACGCGGGGAAGAAAAACCAGAGACTGCCAGCTATATGAAGGGGTCATTGTCAAGGCTAAGCAGTCTCATCAAAGAGATTATGCTAGATGATGAGCTCTAACAACCAAGGAGCATCACAATGGATCTGAAAAGATCGCAGCGAATCAGGCCATGGGCTAGCTCCCCGACAATCCAATCTAATCTAATACTCATCCATGTTAACGAAATGACGCAACAATTTTGCTTTGTTGCTATGAAACTTTGCTAAACACTCCGTTGGAATATCTTCACGACACTGTTTTTGCTCGAGTGTGTACAAACGCGGCACCCATCTTGCACACAGTTTTCTCATGTCCAAATTTTCAGATAATATCTACGATGTTCCGCACTTTTTGAAATGCCTACTCAGTCTGCTAGCTCACGCAGTTTCAGTCGACGATCCTTAAATACTGCTTTGTGAACTTTCTTCACCGTTTCTGAAGTCGTCACCTCATTTGGTTGACCACTACGATGCTCGTCCTGGTAGCACGTACGACCTCGTTCAAAGTCTGCTCCCCAATATGTTGTAAACGAAGGAGCAGACTCACCTAAAGAAGAATCCAGTTCAGCTTTCATTTGGTTGGGCTGAGGCCAATAACCAATTTTGTCCATTTTCACAAATTCATCGAAAACGTTCGCTTCTGGTGGCTGCCAAACAAATACTAAACAACGCAGCGTCTTCAAACTTGAAACATATGCTTCATAGATTTTGTACTCTCTAATACAGTGATATTTTCAAACAAAGACCGCCATCTCTAGGTCAGGCCGGATACTTCTGGGATATTCGAATGAACTGGAATGAGTTGAATGATTTTCTTCTTAAAATTACGATATTATTCTTTCGTTTGCAGATTCTCAGAACAAAAACAAAACTGGTAATTACTCTGGAACAGCAAATTCGATTCTCAACAATACAGAGTGTATTGGATATACACTCAAAAGACCTCCATTCATATAATAGTAATGATAAAAAATCGTCTTCATACATCTTTGAACACATATCTAAAAAGATAACAATAACAGGTATTCAACAAAGATAAAGTGGCGAAGTGTCACTCGAGGGTGTTTTTCAACTTAACCGTGGAAATACAATATTAATTTACAATTTTCTTAATTGTCTCAGCTATAATATCTACGATGAGAATAATTCTATTACATTGTAAAATAATGTTGGTGTCTGAAATTAGTTAGTACATTGAATTCATAAAGTGATTGACTGGTCATTATTCGTTCTGTAGATGCAGAGTTCGACATTTGTTAATTATATTGAGCTTTCAATCATATTCAGCCTATAATGAATTTATTTCCGTGATAACGTGACTAAAATCCAACATTGTTCAATATTAGAATTGATATTCTACCTTGTAATTGAGAGAATTATGGAGATACATCCCTGTTCCTCCTCCTCAACCGTTAACATCAGTTCTGTCAAATCTTATAAACTTGTATGGATCAAAGGTGAGAACATCAGAAGATGTTGTCATTAAGCAATGTTTCGGTAACAACAAACATTTCGAACTGTTGTTGCAATATGAAATTTTTCATTTTATCAAAGTGTGCCCTCAAAGACCTCACGTTCAAATGTCCAAGATGCATATTTGAATTTGACTGAGGGTAGATACATTCAACAAAAGTATTAAGATAAGATAAAGCAAACTCAAAACAAAGTTCAACGTATTCAATACCAAATACACAAAGGAAGTAGGACGTAAAGAGAAGATTCACTTGTTCTTGAGATGAGTTTTCTTTTGTTGTCTGGTTGCGATTTTGTTGATAAATTCTGTGTTGGTGTCCAGATCTCGTAGTTTCTCTTTCTTGGACGTTCTATCGGTTTCTTCGGGGCTGTTTGTTTGGGGAAATGAAGATGTTACCCTCCTCTATTCCACTATTGCCTGCAGTCACGATTTCAGACGGGTCCGTTTCGTTTGTGAATTCCTCGTAGGTATATACTTGGTTGTTGATGATGAGGTTCGTTCCTACTGATTTTGCTTTTAGGTTTTTCTGGCAGGCTACTCTGAGATGCTCAAGAAGAACTTTGCGCTTATTATAATCACTCTGTATAATATCTTGATAGATACTGATATCATTCAACTTCAGTTGTTCTGCTTGAGAGCTGAGTTTTGAATAATTGATTGTTTCAGGAAGTAGTGGGTTAGCTCAATAATCACTGGTCTTTTTTTATTGTCTTCCGATTTCCCGATTCGATAGAAATATCTTATCGCTGCTTTGTCACAACTCACTTTAATCACTTTAAAAATTTGATTGAATATGAGAAGTACTTCTTTTTAATCGTATGTGAAAAAAATAAGTTTGGAGCGCCCTCTTGGCGGCGAGTTATACAGCACTATCACCTTTCTTTCGAAAAAGTACTGAAAATAATACTTTTCCATGTAAATTTTATCCGACCTTGATATTATGTTCAAACGTTAAGAGGGTGGGAAACTATTTAAGTCTTCATTGTATATTCCAGAAAAATCCTTCATGTACCAAATATCAGAGTCTGAATATTTCCGCTGAAAATATCAATAGCGGTGAATGAAAATTGACCTTCAAGATCCACAACAATTATCACTTAATCAGTTAATTGTAAGAGATGCATGGGCCTGTTATTTCCACCTACGCTACGAATATCATTACTAGAACGCCTCTATGAATAACATTGTACGAGTACCTTCGTGTCGGGAACTAATTGTACTCGTTTGGTCTCATGTGTCATCCGTAATTGGAGCGGGAACCTCAAAGATCATTAAACATATTCTTGCGAGCCAAAGTGTCTTTCCTGGCGAGTGGTAGTGTGTTATCCTGGAATTTATAGTGAAAAATGAAAAATGGGTGAGTGTTCACGTGACCGTCTTTTTTTCCATCCCCGAATATACAGGGTGATATGTAAGATGGATAACTTAGTGGGTGAACGAAAGTAATTTTTATTTTATCTTACTTATCTTGCCATTGCGAAGTCCATATTCGTTTCAAAATTATTCAGTTATTGAGAAATAACAGTCGTTTTCTCGAAATTTAAGAGAAGTTGTTTGTTGATTGAAAAAAAAATTCCTGACTTTCTACTTCCCCGTCTTTATACAAAAATGTGGAAAACTTCCAACAAAAGTAAGGAAGCTATCAAGTTCATAATAAACTCTCACAAAGATGTGTAGATCATGCATAGAAGTCAATTTCTGATATGAACTAGAAGAAAAAACCCTTTTGAAACAACTACTTTCATATGAACATCGAGTTACAAAAATCACTTTTGTCCGTTCAATTTATTATGCAAATATTCATTATGAAATTGATCTGAAACTTCACTGAATCATAAATTTTCATAAAGGTTGAATTCTATTCAAGTTCCGTTTGGAGTAGACACTGAATGGGAGTAAGTGATTTTTGTGTAATTCAATGTTCATATAAAAATAAGTGTTTCTGAAGTACTTTTTCTTTTGTGCAATTAAATTTTCATGTGCGAGGGATCTTTTCTGAAACCTTCTCTTTCAAATTTATATTCTATAAAATCTCAATAGCATCACCTTCACATCTTTGTGATGAGTTTATTGCGATTGGGGAGCACAATGCTGGTCCAATTGTCAAGATATACTACCTTCATGCTTGAAGTGAACGCATATAGCACTGAAGATATTTCCTGCAGAAGCAGACAAAACGTTTCGTATTCCAAGCGATCTGAATTTTGTTCTCTATAATTGTGACACCAGCTATAAAAACCTATCTTCTTATAGTTGATTTTGAACTTAATTAATTTCTTCCTTTCTTTGGAAGTTTACAACTGATTGTGACATGGCTGTGAAAGCCTATGTTCCTATAGTTCATTTCGAAACTGATGGGTTTCTTCCTTTCTATGAGAGTTCACAACTGATTGTGACACCGGCTGTGAAAGCCTATGTTGTTATAGTTCATTTTGAACCCAATTGATTCATTTTTTCCTACCGATTACCGATACCGATATCTTATAGTTCATCTTGAACCTAATTGATTTTTTCCTTTCTTTGGAAGTTCGCAACTAATTGTGACACTGACTGTGAAAGCCTATGTTCCTATAGTTTATTTTGAACTCAATTGATTCATTTCTTTCTATGGAAGTTCACATCTAATTGTGACACCGGCTGTGAAAGCCTATGTTCCTATAGTTTATTTTGAACTCAATTGATTCATTTCTTTCTATGGAAGTTCACATCTAATTGTGACACCGGCTGTGAAAGCCTATGTTCTTATAGTTCATCTTGAACCTAATTGATTTTTTCCTTTCTTTGGAAGTTCACAACTAATTGTGACACCGGCTGTGAAAGACTATATTCCTTTAGTTTATTTTGAACGCAATTGATTTCTTCCTTTCTATGAAAGTTCACAACTAATTGTGACACCGACTGTGAAAGCCTATGTTCCTATAGTTTATTTTGAACGCAATTGATTCATTTCTTTCTATGGAAGTTCACATCTAATTGTGACACCGGCTGTGAAAGCCTATGTACTTATATTTCATCTTGAACCTAATTGATTTTTTCCTTTTTGTGGAAGTTTACAACATTACTGTATGGATATAGCGGAGTAGGAAGCCAAAAAGTCATTAAATATTTCCCCCTTTCAATTAGTCGATTAATATACTACTTTTCATATATTTTTTCGCTACAGGTGCAAACTATTTCCACAGAATTATATAACCTACATCGATCAGATTTTATTCACCAATTCTTAAAGCTCAAGCTGAAAGCTTATATCCATAGAACATTGTGAATCGTCCACAAAAGTTATCAAAACTGATGAGATATCACGGAGGGCAAATACATTTTTTTTAATTTGGAAAATGTGATCCCACCACTACCTTATAAATTGAAATAGTGGAGAAACAAATGAATCAATGTGAAAAAATCAATATTTGAATGTTATTGTTATCATATACAAGGTATCAAGAGATCCTAGTTGGATCAGTGAGAGAGAACCCATTCCGTCATATTGTGTGATGAACCTTCAATTTCGATTCGACTGTTATCAATATTTCATTCCATTGACTTATAAGCAGCTTCTTTCTTCAGAAGATATTCACAAAAATAGATATTTTTTACAATTTCATCAGAATATTGATCCCAATGGGAACTGAAACAAACACTTGGGAACTGAAACAAACACTTTGGAACTGCTCAGTGTTAGGTTTCCACATCTTTGTGTGAAATTATCTCCTGTGACTACTAATTTTTTTCTCTTTCAGTCAAATTACATCCGTACGAAGAGATTCCGAATCTCAATCATATGGACTGTGTTGCAAACCCTTGACAAAACGACAAAAAAACTGTTCGATAACAGTTATTACTATAGCCATATTCATTGTAATATTGGGTTTATTCTACCTTGGTTTCAGAGGTGAGTTTAATATTTTCAAACAATACATATTATTCAATTAGGAACTATGAAAATCGAAAAAACAGAATGGAAAATTAAAAAAAATATATCAAATGAAATACTTGTTGCAAGTGTTTCATTCAAGATCAATATCGAAAGAAGTGGAGGAAAATTTTGCTCAACCAATGTCAATGTCAATGATAACTACCATGATACCAAGAGAAACTAATATGGAGACAACATTTTCTGTTGGTATGGAATGAAAGCAATGAACAATTATCGTATGGGAACATTTGATGATCTGTGATTCAAATAAGATGTTTGTTTATTTGATACCCACTTCCCACAAAATTCTAAAGCTGATTTCCAATAAACGTGTACGAATATCTACGAAATTTGTGCCACAAGCTTTCAGTGGATCACATTAGTGGCAAAGTATTCAAAAATACACAGATTACCTTCAGAAACCGAATGTTGAAAAGATTACGTAACCATATTTCACAATATCTGCACTCTTAGCGCATTGGCAGAAAAATAATTTATGTTGAAGTAAAGTTAAGAGTTGACAAGCTCTTTTAACTATATTGACATTTTCAGATCTCAAGAATAGAAAAGTTCTATGAATTACCTTCGAAGTTACTTTTTGTCGACAATTGAACTTTTTTTTTTTAATTATGAAAAGTATTAGCAATGGAATGCCATTAAAGAAAATTTGATAATAGATTCAATCGAATTTCATCAGTTCGGACTTCCATTGTCTGATATAATATAAATTGATTTGGAATTTGAAACTACGTCACGACGTTTTGATTGTAAGTATACACAATCGTCTTCGGGTTATAACCACCACCATTGCTATATTGTCCACTTACAATTATGTAATACATATGTGTTTATATATGTATATATATATATATATATGTGTATATATGGACACTATCGTTTTGTTAATATATATCACATTCATTGTCAACAACATCCATATCGATTTCACCATATTTTTATATATTATTAGGGGTACAGGTATTTTATAATTGTGATTTTATACTCAATTGTCAATTTAATTTTATGTTTGTATAATTTTATATTTAAATGATATTATATATCAAAACTGGCTACTTTTTTATATTTATACTTATATTTGTGATTTTATATTATTTTATGTGTTTTTAATTTATATAATAATAGATTATTTTCATATGCGAATCTCCTCTCCATAATTCATTCTCATACTGAATAAACATTATTATTATGAACATTCGGAAAGTTCAGAACCAATTATATTATCTATATGCAGTATCTATAATTCGTTATTATATTGCGATTAATTTAATGTGTATAAGCGTACATGTTATATGAAAGTGTGTGTATTTGTGTAAATATATTGTATGGGATGGACTGTATTAATAATTATACTGATTTGGCTCTCACGATAATTGTATACTTGATTTTATTGTTACTCAGGGCCGTCGCCATGGGGGATGGGGGAACCTCCCCCCCTGCTTTTTCGATTTGGGAAAAAGTTGGGAAATTTTGGGCCGTGGAGATTAAAAAAAATAAATCCCTCGGTTTTAATTTTTTCGAATGTTGGGAAATTTTGCTGGTGGGGTTGGGAAAATTTGAATTCCCTCCCCCCCTGGTTTTTCTTTTCGCTACAGCCCTGTTGTTAGTAATTTTAGATTAGTACTCTCGAATGATTTGTTTATGTATACTCATGGTATATACGCCCACACTTACGCAGTACCTACTGTAACTATACCCTTACAGATAAGCGAATTACAGATATGCGAATTTGCACATTACCAATGAAAAGCGAATTATAACTAGATTTCCCAGAAGTCTTAGAAAATGTTCAAAACGCATCACGATCCTCAGTTCCTGCATTCCCCATCATAACTGAATGGTTTCAATAGTGCATGAATGCATCTACACGGCTGAACGATCTCATAAGGCTATTTCCTAGATAGTCTAAGCTTCCTAATGCTATTAAACGGCCCATTTGACGCAGTTTAGTGGAGCAAACCCCTCTGATGGTTATTCAATTAGGAACGGTTTACATGACTTGCCGAACACGAGGAATCAAGGTATGATTTCCTGATGAAGCGGGTAAATTTATTCATAACTCAAATCACTCTCTTTCTGTGTGCGCTCATCGAACAGCCATGTGAGATGTGATAACGCAAAGACGGACGATTCCAGTGACGTCCAGATACGTTTCCTTTGGAGGGTATATTGGAAAAGTCGAAATACTGTTTTCATCTATGGAAAGCTTGCATTCAGTAGATAACTGGAATTACTTTTGAGCGTGACCACACTTTATATCTATATTTGTGGTGTGTTTTCTTTCGTGATACATTTTTGTGTTTATACACTGTGTACAAGATAAGAATGAACAGCATGGGGACATCGAAAACAGTAAGTGACACGGGGTCGATTGAATTACAGAAAAGTAGGGCATTCATGTGCCTAATACAGGGGTCTCCAAACTTTGAAGCCTTCGGGTCATAATGATTTTTTCAGTTTGTTCCAAGGGCCAATTTCTGCCCTTAACTATATTTCTAGACTAGGATAGTCGCAAAGTGCGTGACCTAAGCAACTTACGCTTTTTTTGCATTTCAATATTAATATGAATTTATTCAGTTTTCAGTTCAAGGATCAGTCAATAACAATTCAAAAAATCTGAACAAATTCAGGAAACCCACAAAGGAGACCCTGTACGTGGCTGTTACTGTTTCAGTCACTTATAACTTGCTACAAACATATTTGAGTCTGTAGCGTAGTCAATACACTTACCTCACTTTACTTTACTTCAAAGCCAACATAACCCATGTCATCGGAAAAATTCAGCCTGATTTATGCGCCAGCCATTGAAAATCGGACGATTCGGATGCGCTCCACTCAGAGAAGCCGTGGCGGACAGTTTAACGATGTTATAATCCAGACATAATAGCATCAATAGGTCAAACGGATGAAAAATGTCGATGATATCCCACACAAACTTTGTTTTATTCAAGTTTGAAGATAGAAAGCGCTAATACTGGCAGACATTATGGAGTTTCATTAAGTATTGGCCAATTACATAACATGTCTTCAATTATATCTACTGCACTCATAGGCGACACATCAGGCTTAAAAACCTGCAAAACAGCCAGGAAAGCCGGAAAATAGATTTGATACAACTTCAATGTTGCTCCAATGCACTGTCGCAATCTGCACTGACAGCAGACAAGCCCTATTATCCTTGAACAGACAACGTGTAACCTCAGGGCTAGTACTAAAGTGTCACCAAGATTTAGCCAAAGCCTCGGTGGATAATAACATTATCCTGAGATGGGTTGAAGGGCACGACAGGAGGAAACGTGATCGCATTGCCAACCCTTTAGCCAAGGAAACGGCTGGACAAAGAATCTTAGGACCCAGTAGCACCTATGGACTGATGACTTCTACAATGGCAGAACTAGCCAAACCTCACACTCATGCTCCATCCTTAAAGAGATTAGATGGAATCAAAGGATGCAATCTTGCCAGGATCACTCCGGGCGATCCTGGGAAGCTGGCGTCGAAGAAATATCTAGCGATGGCCAGAAAAAATCTACGCTTAACAGTAGGATTTCTGACTGGCCACTGTCATATGAGGAAACACCTAGTGGGGCTAGTGGACACACCTCTGTGCAGGATGTGTGAACGGGAAGATGAGACTGTCAGGCATGTCCTATGCGAGTGCCCGGAGTTATCGTCAATAAGAGAGGGTGTGTTAGGCGAGTCTTGGCCTACACCTGCCGATCTAAAGGAGATGTCTCCCAGTGACCTGTTCACCTTCCTGGAAAGGATAGGATGGACGATGACCTAGGAGGACAACTCCGCGGAAGGATGTACAATGGCGAACATGTGGTTTAAGTGCTGTGGGCTTATACTCTAGAGATACAGAATGTACTGTTGCTATTGTTGAATCATCTGAAAATGGAACATTCAATGGGTTATGATTGCCAAACATGTACCAAACTGACTGACTATTATGGGAAAACAAGTATAGCTGAGGCACCAGTCAACCAAATAATAATACTGATGATCTTCAAACATGACTCAGCCTCTGACGAAAGCACCAAACTTTTACAAAGGTTCGAAATAGAACAACACTTCAATCTAGCAGACCAATATTATAATTTTCATGCTGTGGTTCTGGCATTGAATCTGGTCATCATTACGCCTTGGTCAAAGACGAAACGGACTGGTTTAAGTTTAACGATAGTCATGTCTTGAAGTGTTCTGGCGATGTATTGAATCTATTGGAGCCTCTGGAGACACCCTACATTTTGTTTTACGAACATTGGCAAATCAAGTTCTTTAGATGTTATGGTGCTGCAGGTTTTTTCGGGTTTTCTTGCAGCTGAAAAAGCTGGAATCAATGAAGTTGCCCCGGAGCGCCAATTAATTTTGTTGTTCCATAATCATCATCATCGTTTGTATTACTTTCTTCTTCAATATAATTTTTTAAATTAATATATGTTTCTGAGCACTTTCGCAACGTGCCTGTTTTACGAATTCCTTGACGAAACTAATCACACGCTAACTCGTTGAAGCATGCCCTTTTCGAAACAGTAGTTCAGTAATGATATTCATTGCAGCATATTGCCACTGATCCCTGATTTATTATTTTCAGCGGAAATAGAAGTGTGCACGACACCATCTTGTGTTCGTTCGGCGACCGAGTTTTTAAGCCACATCGACACGAAGGCAGATCCTTGCGAGGATTTTTATCGATTTTCCTGCGGTAATTTCCTGCAGAATACAAACTTGGATAATCGCGGTTCCCGATCGGTTCAGGACGTTATGGAGGATGAAATCCAGTCCGAAATTAGAAATATGCTCGAGCTGCCGATACACACCGAGGATCCTAGATCCCTAAACATAGCGAAGAAATTTTATCGAGCCTGCATGAACGAAAGTGCAATTGAAGAGGAAGGATTAAAGAAGATAAAACAAATTTTCGTGCGACTAGGCGGATGGCCAACGCTGCAGGGAAATAATTGGCGGGAAGATCAGTTCGATTGGATGGATGCCGTACATAAACTACGCAAGCTGGGAGTTAACTCTCATGTCTTTTTTCGAGTTTCGGTTGACAGGGATGAAGGCGACGATTCGAGATACGTTTTAGGGGTAGGTAAACTTCATTGGAAATTAATAGCAGTTCAAGTCGTGCATGAATGTGAATGAGCGAGGGTGAACTACTATGATATTCGTTACGTGTTCAGATATAGAGTGTCCATAAACTCTCTACTACCTACTACTTAAATGTTGTTGAGTTTTACCTGAGTTCTTCTTCTTCTTAAATGACCTCATCTCCCCGTTAAGGTATCGAATATGAAATCTGAAGTTTTCACGAATAGGAATATGCTGAACTGGTTTTTCGGGTATTTGATCCGTGTATGTGATATCATCTCTAATTTCACCGACGTTTCGACAAAATCTCATTTGTCATTCTCTAGGTGTGCTGTTACGTGTTCAGAAGTTTTGTTGACCCTGCTCAACTCACTTCTCACTATACTGGTAAACGTGACAAATAAGATTTTGTCGAAACGTCGATGAAATTAGAGATAATATCACATACACGGATCAAATACCCGAAAAACCAGTATAGTAAGAAGTGATTTGAGCAGGGTCAACAAAACTTCTGAACACGTAACAGCACACCTAGAGAATGACAAATGAGATTTTGTCTCTTTCCTCTCTTTCCTCATCATCATTAGATTTCTGATTTCCTATTGAACCAAAAAAAACCAGGAGGTTTCAATCATGAGTAGCCAGAGAATTTTGGGGAACTTCTTTTTACTAATCACGTGGGGATTATTTGACCGGACCGATCTGCTCAGACAACTCTGGCATTCTTCTTGCACTGTTTTTTAAAACTTGTGTCCCAATTTTACAGACCTTTTTTTCCACTTGAAATAGTTGTCATGTTTCTAGATTTCAATCGCCTCACCAACTAACCGCCATAACGAATAGATTAAAGGTTGGGTGTCCCCGAAGTATATTTATTCTGAGCTCTTTCGTGCTCAGAGTTTGATTTGCCACAGCTGATTTTTCAAAAATTGAAAAAGTCGTATCTGTTGATGGTTTGAAGAAACTGTGTAAGTGACAGGTGTAGGAATGCAGAGTCAAGAAGTGACAGACTCATTTAAATTGATTCTATACTTCTGACTGGATACTCAAGAATCCCAGTGCACCAAACATGGATCATCAGCTCTATATATTAGTCCTAAACCAGCTGAGGTGGTACTGATAGCTATGCATCAATGAGAAAAAAATTCGAAAAAAGGATTGAAAAACTGCTGAAACACACCAGACAACAAATATCAGCTGGGAACAATTATGAGTTTTCTCTCTGGTCATCTTTATTCTAGTAGTTACATGAACAAAAAACCTCAACTGAAAGCATTGAGAGTAAGTTTCAGAAAAAGCCCATCATGCGAATATAAGATACTTGATCGTAGAAAACAAGCAATTAGACAAAGAACCTGTAAAAACTAGTTTAAAAAACAAAATTTTTGGGAGAGAAGTTTTGGAAGTCAAACGGCTTTCAAGTATAGAAAATATTTGTTTCTGAATGCATTTCAAATATGAAATATTGAATGGAGTTGTGATTTCTCTGAAGGAATTGATTGTAGTACCGCATTGTGAAAGTACCACCTTATCTATGCCCAAAAAGGTATCAATGAAGTATTGTTGTTTTATGAAGTCAACCAATCAGAATGCGTTTCGAAGTGAAGTGTATTTATATGGATTGTATTGAACTTTCAGTATATACACACATCGGAAAAGTCTAGGGATATTTTTATAACATACTGAATATCATAAAAATAAATGCATGAGGTCGTTTAATTTCGATGAAATTGGTACACTCGACCACCCCGTAGATTTCTATGGGTTGAACAAAGCCTGCAAAAACGGTAACTAATCTTTTATCAAGTTTTTTACAAACTGTAGGTTTTCGGCTAAAATGAATAATCTGAAAGTGTCGAGTTTGTACATTCTATGCAGTTCTTGCTCAGCAATTAAACTGGAAATATTGTGCTTTAACATGGAACGCCATCACTTACCATTGGCTGAGATGAATAGTGCTGTAGGGCTTCTTCAAGGTGGCATGCGACAAAATGATGTAGCTCTTCGTTTGGGGGTCTCCCGAAGTGTTATCTGTCGATTGTGGCGGCGTTTCCGTGAAACTGGCAGTCCAGCCGAACAACATCCAGGGCGAGGACGCGCTACAACTGCAGTTCAAGACCGATTTTTGGTCTTAACCGCAAGAAGACAACCGACAATCACAGCACCTGAGTTGGTTAACGTGTTGCAGCAGACACACCAGGTAACCATTGGTCGTGATACTGTCAGAAATCGACTGCTTGAAGCAGATCTCCACAACAGAAGGCCACTTAGATGTCCACCTTTGTCGAGAGGCAATCGCGGTAGAAGATTAGAGTGGTGTCAAGAACATCAAAACTGGGATGCAAATGATTGGGCCACAGTTTTGTTTACAGACGATTCCAGATTTGGATTTCATCCAGATTCTCGTCGAGTAAGACTGTGGAGACGACCTGGAAATAATGAACGTTTGAGACACGTCCAGGAAGTCCACACATACAGAGGTGGTACAGTAATTCTATGGGGCGGAATCATGATCGGCGGCAGAACCGATCTCGTTTTTCCAAATCGCTCCCTCACAGCTCGACAGTACCTCGACACCATTCTTCTACCTATCGTCCGTCCGTTTGCTGGTGCTGTTGGTGAAAACTTCCACCTAATGCACGATAATGCTCGTCCACATGTCGCGCGTCTAGTGACTGACTGGCTCACCAACGAAGGAGTTGATGTATTGCCATGGCCAGCACAATCACCGGACCTGAATCCCAACGAGCATGTGTGGGACGTGCTTCAACGAAGAATTACTCCGCATATGGGGAACATTCACACAACGTTTCAATTGAGAGAGCTTTTAATCGCTGAATGGGAAAATGTACCTCAACAAGACATTGACAATCTCATTTTGTCGATGCACGATAGATGTAGGGCCGTAATAAACCAGCGTGGAGGCCATACTTTGTACTGATTCCAATTTTTTTTTGTATCTTTTTTTTCCCTAAAGCGATCTAAAAAAAATTATTGCAATTTTTAAAAATATCCCTAGACTTTTCCGATGTGTGTAGTTTTTATTTATCTACTACTATCTGTCATCATCAATCTACATCAAGGCAACAAGTTATTAATCCTTTTGTTATATTTTTGAGTTGATTATGCTGGTTGGTAATATATGAAAACGTACTATAACATTTTTGAATTTCCAGTCAATGCAAATAATTCCATCTTTGAGTTTCCAGATACACGAAACGTCGTACAGTCCATCAAGTCTAAGCAGCGAATTGGAGAGCTCCTACTTGAATTACATGGTTCGCATTGCTGTTCACTTTGGAGCGAGCCACACGACAGCGAAACGCGATTCAAATGAAGTTCTCAGACTGTTCCTGGAGTTGGCAAAGGTATTTGTTAGAGTCGAGAGTCTATGTAATCGAATGAGCGCATCGCAAATATTATTTCGCAGAACAATTTGGCTTTGAAGTCGATTGGGTTCGAATTGAACTCGCGGAATTGTTAGCTGACGTGTGTTTGCTCGAATTGGCCGAGACAAGGGAATTGCAACGTGCAGGGTAGATTTGATAGTATGAGTTTTTCGAAGCTATTTATCGTACTTCGGCCACACAATCATTCCAGCTCCTCTCTAATGTTTAGATGCCACTTTTGAAGAAAGATTTATCTTTTGCCTCAAAATGAACCCCAATTTCAGGTATAACTTCTCCATTCGAGCGAAATTTCTTACCGGCTAACATTTTTTTGAGGTCTACGAATTAACAGTGGTCGCTGGGAACCAAATCTGGCGAATACGGTGGATGTGGGAGCAATTCGAACTTCAATTCATGTAGTTTTGCCAATGTTTTGATTGACTCGTGAAACAAACCTTTTTTGCCGTATGCTGACCTTCCACTGTCGATAGTATTTTCCTTCTCAAGATAGTCGATGAATATTACACTACGCACATCCAAAAAATATCAAGGTCATAACCTTTCCAGCCGATTGTTGTACTGTTGTGCTTTTGGACGCTTTGGACGAGGTTCATCAGTTGCTTTCCACTCAGATGACGATCGTTTTGATTCCGGACTGAAGTGCTGGATCAATGTTTCATCAATTGTCACATATCGATGGAAAAATTCCGATTCGATATGATTGAACATGGCCAAACACTGTTCAGAATCTTCAATGCTTATGCAATATGAAGCCAACGCGTTTCTTTGATATCTTCACAATGTCAGCTTACTAACGAAGGTAGTATCACTCTTAGCATAATAACTCACAAACGTATCAGTAGAATATCATGAAATTTCAACGGCTTTCTTTTAAAGGTTAGTACTAACTGGGGAAGCGGTGAATACAGTGAGTCTAGCGCCATCTATGTGTTAGGCCCGAGACTTTTCAGTCCATGTTATTTTATGTTAGGTTAGGTCCAACGTGAGTGAGTCTATTCGAACCTCCACCGCAACCCGCGAAGGTTCATTATGGCTCACACCTATTTACACTCGGCCAAAAACTCCCAGCTTCCTAACGAAGCCGATAATTTTGTATGGTAAGTGGTCTTTCAGGTCAGATGGTGAGAGTACGGCTCTGTCAAACTCTAAAAACCTGATTCGGTCCCCAGTGGGGTAGACACAAAGTGTGTGTTTCATCATTTTCCAAACAGAGACAACACACACTGTCTTCCGACAGTCCGAGTCTCTCCATATGATAATTCAAATGACAGGGACCTGTAAGAAGGCCTGTTAGACATCGTAGTTCATCCCTACTGTAGTCCAACAACTGTTTGGTATCAAGCTTCGAAGGGTGAATAAACGCCTTGGAGTGAGGCAATCCTGAAAGAGTCTGTCAGAAGTCCATAAATCTTCTTGCCACCCAGGTGTTCAATGTTTGTTTGGTAAAACCTAAAGTGATGCCAATGACAGGTTCTGGTCCGATGGAACTGCTTGCAGCACCCTCCTTCACAAGGGAGTCAGCAGCCTCATTGCCTTCCAGACCAGTATGGCCAGGAATTCAGACCAAAGACAATCTCTTCAGTCTTCTCTTCAGGGAGAGGGCAATTTGCTACCAATTAACACGGTGCTTGGTAGAAGCCAAGAGCTTCCAACGCCACTTAACTGTCCGAGAATATTTTTATTGACTTGTGTATGAGGTTGAATTCGTACAATCCTGGTTCTATGACTGAAAACACCTACACTAGAACCGGAAAGTGTTTTTGATTCATCTGTTAACCAACAACTGTCTGCTCTAAATTTTTCCTTCTCCCGGAGGATCCAGTCCTCTCTACTCGATAACGGTACTTTATAAGGCAGTTCACTGCCTTATAAAGTTTAGTTTACTGTTGGAGGCATAAATTCGGAGGTCATTTCCAGAATGCTGTTACTTCCAGTGTCAACCAACAGTCTGTTGCTCTCTGCATTAAATTGATTTGTGCAATTGGCAATGTGCACAGGTCTATACGCAGTCCATCTAGCCTCTCTCCCCAGAAACATGTGGAGAGAAGGTAGGTGTAGAAGGATCTCCATGGCCGCTGACGGAGTGGTTCTGATGGCACCACTGATGGCCAGTCAAGCCTGTCTCTGTGAGCCAAAAAGCTTCGCCTGGGTCGTTTTCTGTAGAGCCTTCGGCCACCAGGCAATTGCACCATAAGTTATCATTGTTCTGACAATCATCACATAAATCCAAATGATTTGTTTGGGACCTAAACCCCAAGTTTCACCACAAATCCTTCGACTCGTCCTTAGGGACAGTATGGCTTTGTGTAAAACTTTTTCCAAGTGGGCGTTCCTAGTGAGTTTTTTATCAAGAACAATTCCAATGTGTTCCGCCTCCGTTCCAAATGGAATGACCTCATCATTGAGGAAAAGTGGCGTTAGATCGTCTAATTTCCTCCTCTTGGTGGAAGGGATTATCACAGTTTTGCTGGGGTTGACAGACATCTGCACCCTCAGGCACCAACTATGAACAACGTCCAACGTGTTGTGGAGGATATCACAAGTTACCCTTCCCGACGTGGACCTTGCCAAGATGACAAGATCATCTGCATAAGCTTGCAGATCTACTTTTCTTCTGTCGAAGGTATCAAGCAGACTATCCATCAGGAGTAACCACAGAAGGGGACCCTGGCCCTGGTGACCCTGAACCTAATGGCTTCGTCTCACAGAATCGTAGTTGCAGTTCAGCATTGCATAGATCCAGCCAGTTATGGTCGATTCTATACCTTTTCTAGTCAGAGATGATCCTATAATTCAGTTAGTACATTGTCACATGCTCCTTCAATATCGAGAAATACAGCAACCCCAATCAGTTCATCACTAGGTTGAACTGAAATAACCGTGTGAAATGATACAATTTCCAGATTTCAGAAGAATCAGCAAGGAGCAACAGAACGACCAATGAGCGCCTGAGCCTTTCTGAACTCCAATATGAATACCGAAACATTCAATGGTACTACTTCCTGAGTGGAATTATCAATCCAACAGCTACAATCAGTTACGATGATGATGTTGTAGTAACCGCGCCCGTTTATTTGAAGAGAATAGATATTCTGCTCACCAAAACATCAAAAAGGTGAGATTCTATTAATGTCATTCTTCATTATAGTCTCAACTTTTTCAGAATTCTGGCAAATTTCGTAGTATGGCATACTCTTCAATATCTTATCAATTTCCTACCCTCAGAAATATTGAGTGAAGCATATGACTTTCTTGAAAAAATTAATAAAAGAATGATGAGACCATCGACGCCACGATGGAAAGTTTGTCTAGAAGTTGTTGAAGATCGGTAAGTCATTCCAACTAATTTGAACAATTCAGTACGGAATACTTCAATATTAAGAAGAAAACAATAAGCTTACTCATACTTCATTCTTTATTTTTTTTAATTCCTCAAAATGATCACTTCACAATGATATACGAGTCGTCAATGGTAAAAAACATGAAATGTTCATTAACATTAGTAAAACAGTATTACAAAATGCATAAATTCAAGACATGAGAGTGCTTGTTTCAAATAAACAATCAAAAGTGTTTATTCATGTACATAATAGTTGAAATAGGTAATGCCGGACATGATATTATTTGTTGATTGGCGAATGTGGATATTCAAAGTATCCATTAATATTGTAAAAACAACCATCTACAAGATATACTCTGATTCTCCGTTTAAATACTAAAATTGATGCTACACTTTTTAGGCCGGAAGATGAACAATTGAAAGATTTGGAACCTGCTAGAGATGGCGTCTTTTCGAATAATAGTGTACGATGTTGTTGTAGTTTGATTAAATTCCCGTTCTTTGTTGTGTATTTATGACATTGGGATTCAGTTTCTAATTCGAGTTTGCGTTTTTTCATATAGAGCAGACAGTTATCAATATAGAGAGAAGGTACTGTTAATATATTCCTTTGCTTGAAAACAGGTTTTTATGAATCAGTTTGACGTAGATTGTGAAGCATACGAATTATTCGTTTCTGAGCAACAAAGACCCTGTTGATATTTGTTGCGTCTCCCCATAAGACCACAAGATAGAACAGAATTCACAAGAGCATAGTAAACATCCAACAGTTGTTCTTTACTCAGTAGTTTTCAAGCTGCATATAGGCATAAAAACTGCTATTAAATCTATTATTCACGTAGTCAATTTGAAATTGCCAGTTCATTGAGTGGTCGATGAAGGATATATATTCGTGTTATTCATAATAATGAGTATGGGATGTTCCACATATTTTCTTGGAGAACACTGTACCAATACTGTTTTTTTTCTGCATTGACCATAAGTCTATTTCTTTGACATCACTTTGAAAAAATTTGACTTATTACATTCAATTTTTCTTGAAGTTTCAAAGGACTGTCGGAAATAGAAATATCATCGGCAAAAAGGACTTTCGAAGTAGTGCCGATATGTTGATTTCTTCGTCATTTCAAATCTGTTAGTTCCGCCAGGTGTCGACTTCTGGCTCTGTGTCTCTTATGACAAGTCCCATTTGTCTCATTTGTTCCATACTTTCTTTCTGCTAATACTCTGATTCCCTTCAGTATTTTACCTTTCGTTTCGAATTATATTTGTTAATGGTAAAACGTGATGCGGTTTCTTTATTATCTCTATCTCTGTTATTTCTCTCCTCAATTTCATGAGTAATTGTTTTTTCTGTTACATTCCCCTTGAACATTGTTTTCCTGTAAATTTTCCCTTTCTTTCCACTCAACCCACCTCGCATTGCATCGTATCGCATCACAATTTATCTTCATCACCAACGGCACTAGCACAAGAAGAGCTAGAAGAACTCTATATCACTCACATGATAATTGAAAACTTAACTCCTTCCATAACCAACTCTTTTAATGTTCGAAAATGTAACATATCACCTTCAATTACAGAACGTTGTATATTTATTATTTCCGTCACAGTACCTGTTTCGATTCAAATGAAAATATCTGGAAATACCAATAATTTTTTCAGCAGGAATTCACATTAATTCACTTAAAAATTCCAATGAAAATGCTTGAAGTGCCAAGAATATATCATGAATAATTTAGATCCGTTTTCCATAAACTTGGATTCATAAATGAGGTTAATAAAAATTCATTGCTGGAAGGGTCTTTTTCAATCAGTCGGATCATTTTATAGCTGACGAAATTCGGGAAATATTTATTTTCAAATTGAATTTCAGGCGTCCCCAAGTACGGTATTTCTGATGAGTTCCTAAAGAAATAATCAACGTTTATTCAATACAGAGCTAAAAGTGAGATATATAGTTTGAGAATAATTGTGAAATGTTCTTTATTATATCTTCATTCATCTTCTAGCTAAGTATTTCTTGACCTGTGGTCCGCAAGTATGGATATTTAAATTATTAAATAAATTCCAGAACGCTGGCTGATATCTTCGATGCCTTAACGAGCTGAACTAAACCACAAGGACGTGATAACATTATCTCCCAAGTTGAAGATGAAATAGGGACCATGATAAAAAAGCTTGATCTTTGGACTTATTATACAATTGGAAAAAAACCTGTCCACACTGGTAGCGGTTTTGGAATCCTCTGGTAGGGCAATGTTGACAAGGCAAGTAACAGACGAAACGTTGGAACATCTTTCCAGTTTGAGGTCTTCTTTTCTGGATCATTCTCCAGAACACGACAAAAATAAAAACTGAATTATAGACCCTTTCAACACAGATGTTTCAGATATCATTGACTTGACAATGGTACATAAAAAGCAATCAATAGCTTGAGAAATGGTTCTTATGGAGATTATGTGAAACATGTTCTTCCTTACGAATCATTAGAGAGTTGTGCTGAAAATCTAGGGAAGAAAATTGGATTGGATAATTCAGGAAACACTTGCTACATGAATAGCATTTTACAAGTATTGTTCATGACGAAAAATTTCAAGAACGAGGTTTCAATTATGAACGAGAACGGGAATGTTCCCCTCCTTATTTATCAAACTCAAACACCTGTTCATGCAGCTGCAGTTTCGTAACTGAAGTCTTTGAAATCCACTAGATACTCGTTAGGACAACAAGAGGATTGTTCCGAATTCTTGGGATGCTTGTTGAATACTCTTCGTGAGCAAAACAATAGCAAAATCACTACTCCTGACCGCTCTGGATTGAATGATTCCATACAGTCCATCTCGTCTTGTGTTTATAAATCTTTTACTGGAAAAATCCTCACTTGTTTACTTCGCAGTAAATGTTGAAGAGGTAGTGAAAACTTATGTGAATTTTTGGAACTTCATCCAGCGTTTCCTAATGTGACTAATAACCAGTCCGTGCAAAGTTTATTGTTAAATAATCTGAAAATGGAATTTTTAACAGGTAATGATCGACTGTATTGCCAAATATGCGCCAAATTAACTGACTGTTATGAGGAAACAAGTAAATCTGAGGCACCAGTCAATCTAATAATAACACTGATAAATTTCAAGCAAGACTCAACCTCTGACGGAAGCAAGAAACTCTTTCGAAGGTTCGAAATAGATGAACATTTCAATCTAGCAGAACTCTTTTACAATATTCATGCAGTCATTGTTCACTGTGGTTCTGGCATTGATTTTGGTCATTATTACGCCTTGGTCAAAGACGAAACGGACTGGTTCAAGTTTGACAATAGTCATGTCACGAAGTGTTCTGGCGATGTATTGAATCTATTGGAGCCTTTGGAGATACCCTACATCTCATTTCATGAGAGAGGACATTGGCAGATCAAGATCTTCAGATGATGTGGTGTTGCAGGTTTTTCCGGGTTTTCCTGCAGCTGAAAAAGCAAATGCGCCACTGAAATCAATAAAGTCGCCCCGGAGCGCCAATTAATGTTTATTATTGTTTTTTATTTTATTAATAGAAATATCATGTGATCCAGCTTCAAAACGTTATTTCAAAGAATGCCTGATGCTTCAGCCACCATATTTATCAGATTTGGTTCCCTGCGACTTGTTCGTGTTCCTAAGATTGGAGAGACCCATGGAAAGACGGCGTTTTGCGACGATTGAGGAGATAAAATCCGAATCGCTGAGGACATAACAACATATTCATTTGAATGGGACAAAATAGAAATTGTTGAATAAATGAATTTTCTTTGAGAAAAATTAAAATTGACCTCATTTTTTTAAAAGACAACGTATGTAGGGGTAGAAATCCGAAAAACTGATCTCTCCTGACAATATTCCTTTATAAATTCAATACAATTTTCTGTTCCACATCATGTTCTCTTTTCTCAATGGAAATTTTTAATTTCTCAAGACATTTTTCAGTATGGGTCCTGTTATATCAGCATCATATATGCAGAATTTCTTTCCCGAGGACGACAGATATCAAATCGTGGAGATGATACGGAAAATAAAAATTCAATTCCAATCCAATCTGCTGAAACTAGAGTGGATTGACAAAGAAACGAAAGTTTTGATATTGGAACAACTGCACGCTAGTACAGAGGAAATTCCTTCCTACGGCGATCTTCTGAACATGCTCGACAAGAACAAAATATATGATGAGGTAAGTGAGCCGAAGAACTTTGATTTCAAAGTACATAGTATCCATAAAAGTATCAAATTTGAAAATTCACAAGATGTCGCATAAATGTACATTGTTGAGACACTCTTTATAGGATTCATTCACATACAGGGAGATCTATAAGGGCGAAATAGAATAAGAAGAAGAGTGAGAATTATAATAAAATTTTGTACGATTCAAAACAATGAATATATTACAAAACTTTTCGAAATACACACACACAGATATACTATATGATAATAATAATAATAATAATATTTATTCAGTTGGATCATCTATAGATGATATTGAGTATGTCAAAACGTGTACAAATACAAAATTAAAAATACAAACTCTGCGCACTTGGAGGCACAATATACAATTTACATAGATGATATAAAATAATATACAGTGTGTAATAACGAAAACTTAACAGAGCCGTTTTTACATATGAAAAGTAATATTTTTAAAAAAGGTGGGACACGTCGATTTCTAATTGAAGGGGGACACCTTTCAGACTAATCAGATTTTTTGTAGTACGTACCCCCTAGGAGGGGTGCGTCCGACGACCCTTATTTAGATAGAGAAAGTAGGTCGTGTGGCACCTTGTTTTGAATGTCTTTCGAATACCTTTACAACTCTATTAAAAGAAAATTGCCATGTTAATAATACATTAGACAGACCACTCGGTAACTTGTATGCCTAAATAAAAAAATGTTCGAGCAGTTCTTCTTATCAGTTTTTTGTTGAATAAAATCCCTTTTTTGAAATCAATACCCGTACATCGTTCGATTGTTTTGTTTAAAAGGGTCGTGTATTGTTATTTGTTTAAAAATGCCTTACACTACTGCTGGAAGGGTTTCAGTTATTGCTTTATTTTTTGGCAACGACCAAAATGCCAATTTTATTTTATTTAACGAGCAAAACCCTGGTAAACACCTAAGCAGAAATTACGTTCTGGATCTGGTCACAAAATTCAGGGAGACAGGTTCGGTTTTAAATAAGAAAAGAAATGTTCAGAGAAGGGTAGTGAATGACGATAATGCGATTGAAGTGATTGGTCAAGTCATCGCCAATCCCAGTTTATCAGCAATGGCCGGAATAAGCCATATGAGCGCATGGAGAATCCTTAAAAACCACAAATTCCATCCTTACAAAATTGAACTTGTTCATGAACTCAATGAGGATGATTTTGACCGAAGACAGGAGTTTTGTGAGGGCATGAGTGAGAGATTAATGCAAAATCCCGAGCTGCTTTATAACATCTGTTTTTCGAACGAAAGCTCATTTTATTTAAATGCTCACGTGAACCATCACAATTGCCGTTATTGGTCGAATGAAAACCCAAGACAATACGCAGAAATACATACAGAACATCCCCAAAAGTTGAATGTCTGGGCCGGAATATTAGGCAATCTTATCATAGGTCAATTTTTCATTGATGGAAATTTAACCGGTGATTCTTATTTACAACTTCTTGAAGAGACAATACAACCTCGTATAGTTGAAATAATTGAACTGGATCCAAGATGTCAAGATGAATTTATCCATTTTCAACAAGACGGTGCACCACCCCATTATGCGCAGCAGGTTCGAAATTTTTTGAATAATCATTTTGAAAGACAATGCATTGGTAGGAGAGGTCCAATTGAATGGCCAGCACGATCAACAGATTTAACACCACTGGACTGCTTTTTGTGGGGATATTTAAAGTCTAAAGTTTATGCTACATAGCCAGCCAATTTGAATGAATTACATCGTAGAATTATTGATGAATGCCGAGCTATAACTCCTGAGATGTTGAATAATGTGAGAGCAAAATTCGAACAAAATCTTTTTTGTTGCATGGAGCAAAATGGCGCACATTTTGAACATTCACACTCAATTTCCTATGTGAGTTACCTTTATTAGGTGTTACTTTTTTGTGTGTGCTTTAAAAACAATTATTGGGATTCATTAACCCTAAAACAGTTTTTTAAACTTTTCTGTGTCATCAGCATTCAAGGAAATCAGCAGGTTGTATTCGATGTGTGGGTAAGTTTTTAGTATGATTCACTTTTTTATCAGAAGCATAAAATATCCACGTCAAAAGGCAACCTTCATAAGGAGGTACCACTCAATTAACCTAAAATGTAAGGGTGGTAACCAACCTCATCCCCCAAAAAAATATCCTCGTATTAAACAAATAATTCTCACTTTTTCACGAAATCAAACGGACACGTATTAGCAGGTTGTCATAAAAAGCAAAAATTTATTTTTTTATGAAAGTTCTGAACGTAAATTGTACCTTAAAAACAATTTGATTCATTTTAAAAATAGTTGAACTCAATAAAAATACCTTTAAATCTTCAAATTATCTCGGAAACTAATCATTACAAAAATTTTCTTTTAACAGAGATGTGAAAGTATTCGAAAGACCTTTAAAACAAGGTGCCACTCGACCTAGTTTCCCCATCTAAATAAGGATCGTCGGACGCACCCCTCAGAGGGGGTGCGTACTACAAAAAATCTGATCAGTCTGAAAAGTGTTCCCTTTCAATCAAAAATCGACGTGTCCGAGTTTTTTTTTTCAATCTCACTTTTTATATTCAAAAACGGCCCTGTTAAATCGACGTGTCCGAGTTTTTCTTTTATATCTCATTTTTTATATTCAAAAAAGGGCCCTGTATAATAGTCAAAACCTAAAATAATCCGCTATTTATGCTACGGCATCGTTAATAAAATCGGCCTAGAATGTTGGACATGTACATACTGTATAAAAGTCAAAATCAAAAATAATCTGTTATTTATGTTACAGCATCTCTATTAAAATCTTCTTAATATGTTACACAGGATCATGAGTTATCATCCATACATTCTTTGAGAGAATAATAGGATTCATCCACGAGCAACTCTTTGATTTGATAGTTATACTGTTTTAGAACCAGATATTTTATTGTACTTAGAAGTTTTCTGTACAATTTAATGGCAATAAGTCTGGGACAAGATTCAGATATAACTAATCTGTGTTTCCGCACTTCCTACTGTAGGGAATTTCTAGTATTATAATTTTTATTACCATCAAGAGTTGGAAAACTGGTTATGTGCAATTTTACATATTTTAATATCTCATAAATGTATACACTTGTAACAGTCAATATTCTGAAATTTTAGAAGATGAGTTTGCAACTTGTCCTTCTAGTAAATCCTGCTATATACCTTATGGTTCTTTTTTGAATTTTGAGTATCCTAGAACAATCACTAGATGCTCTCCAAGCTATAATACGATAGGAAATGTTGCAATGAAAGTATGCTTGGTAGTACATTAATAAGAGTGATCTATTTAAATTCCAGTGTAGTTGTTGAATACGATAATATCTTGAAGATATATTTTTACAAATCGTATCAATATGTTTGTCTCATTTGAAATTTTCTGTTTTCTTCAAACTCAAAAATCTCTTGTGGTTGAATTGATCCATTAATTGACGTTACCAGTAACCTGTGATCTGGAGTGGTTCTTGAATGATTAAAATGTAAAAGCACAGTTTTTCTTCCACTTAACAAGAGACCATTGTCTGAGAACCACTTTTGGGTTGTTTTTATTTCTTCAGATGCTGTATTAACTGTGGCTTTGAAATTTTCCTGAGTTATCAATAAAGATGTGTCGTCAGCATACATAACGAACTGATTAACGTCTTGGAGCTCATTCAAAAGTTTTTCATATGCATATGTCACTATATTTACAAAATATTTGTGGTATGCCTTTAAAACCTATGAAATCTCTTTATGAAATCTATAAGAAATTGTTTTTTCGTCAACCAGCTGTCGCAACTTGTGCGAGCTTAAGACTAACGAGGTCTTACCTTTTAACGTAAGATTCCTAACACAATAATGAAAGTCTCCATTCATTTATTTCATTTTTCGAGTATAGATTCTGGAGTTTAACGATAACCAACACAACATCACTGAGTATGTTCGATACTGAATTGAAAATGTTTGTTTTTTCTTGTTGAAACATGTCTCTCCAGTTTAAATGAAACTATCAGATCCGATTATTACAATTTCATGAAAGTTGGTGATTTCATTTCAGGCAAAAGTTAATGAGAGCAAGTACCTTGAATCAGCTCTGAATCTGAATCTCATAAATATGAATCACAATTATGATCTTCTGAGAACCACGGTGGAAGATGAATGGTTCATGGATAGTGAATTCATCAAAGGATTTGTCATAAAATATTCCCCAAAAAAGAATACTTTAAGTAAGTAAGGTATAAGTTTTTGAAATCGATCATATAATTCAGTTTCGTTATTTCTTGTATTCATGTTTGCACAAAAAATGTTATTCAATTCTACCCATTTCTTGGCATTGTCGTTGATGGAAAACTCGCCTGGAATGCTCACTTGGAAAAAGTTTTACACAAAGCCGAACTGTCTCTATGGACATGTCGAAGGATTTGTGGTAAAACTTGGGTTTAGGTCCCAAACCAATCCATTGGATTGATGTGATGATTGTCAGACCAATGATCACTTATGATGCAGTACCACACCGTCAGCGGCTATGGATATCCTTCTAGATCTAACTCCGCGCCACATTTTTTTCTGAAGGAAGGAAGAGGCTAGATGGACTGCAATTGCAATTGCACAAATGAGTTTAATGCAGAGTGCAACAGACTGTTGGTTGACACTGTAAGTTACAGCATTCTGGATATGACCTCTGACTTAATGCCTCCAACTGTCAACTACGAACTGCCTTACAAAGTACTTTTGTTTGAAGGTGGTTGACAATGTTTCGTGGTGTATTTCATCAGTTCGGACTTCCATTGTCTAATATAATATAAATATAAATTGATTCGAAAATTTATAAAAAATCAATGATATTAACCAAAAAATAACAATTTTATTAAACAAACTGAAATTACAACGAAATAACATGCAAGCAACAACCAAACAAATATGAAAAAATATAAAAAATACAAAAAAATAAAAAAATCAAAAAAATAAAAAACAAAAAAATAAAAAATTGAAACATTATTAAAAGCTGATAAATAAAAATTCAAAATTAAAAGAATATTATCAACAAAAAATGAAAAAATTAAAAATTATAAGATTTCAAACCAAGTTATGTCACGACGTTTCGATTGTTAGTATCCACAATAGTCTTCGGGTGATAACTGGACTTATTCCTCCGAATACTGTTCCCAAGTAGAGAGGAATGGATCCTCCGGGGAAAGCAAATATTGAGAGCAGATAGTTATTGGTTCACAGATGAATAAAAAAAACCTTTCGGTTTCGGTGCAGGTGTTTTCAGTCGCAGACCCAGGATAGAGATATCAACCTGCCTAGGAACCTATGCGACTGTATTTCAAGCGGAAATTTACACTATTGAAGTGCGTGTAGAGGGATTGGGGGAATCTAACCTCATACACAAGTCAATGAAAATATTCTCAGAGATTCAAGCGGCGTTGGAAGCTCTGGGCTACTACAGAGTAACGTCTAAATTGGTAGCAAATTGCCAAAAACGACTCTCCTCGATAGAAAGACTCAATAGATTGTTTCTGGTCTGGATTCCTGGCCATACTGACCTGAAAAGCAATTAGTCTGCTGACTCCCTTGCAAACGACGGAGCTGCAAGCAGCTTCATCGAACCAAAATCTATCATTGGCATCGATTAAGGCTTTGCCAAACCAAGATTGAACTTGCAATGGACTTCTGACAGAATCTTCCAGAATTGGCTCACTCCAAGGCGTTCACTCACCCTTCGAAGCTTGATACCAAACAGTTGTTGGACTACAGTAGGGATGAACTACAATGTCTAACAGACCTTCTCACAGGTCACTGTCATTTGAATCATCATATGCCGAGACTCGGACTGTCGGAAGACAGTGTGTGTCGTCTCTGTTTGGAAACTCATAAAACAGCAGAGCACATACTTTGTGCCTGTCCCGCTGGGGACCGAATCAGGTTTTCAGAGTTGAGCAGAGCCGTACTCTCACCATCTGACCTAAAATACCAGTCACCATGCAAACTAATTAGCTTCGTTGAGAAGCTGGGTTTATTTGGTCGAGTGATTAGGTGTGGAGCACCATAAACCCTTGCGGGTTGCGGTGAAGGTTCGAATATACCCACTCACTCTGGACCTAATCTACTCGTTTCACCTACTCATTTCACTTATGAGAAAGAACGATTTTGGCTTACTACTCCTTCATGTTGATACAAAAAATGTGGGAATTTTCCAAAGAGAGAAGGAAAAATTGATATCAAAATAAAGTATTTACACAGATTCGTGGATCATTCAAAAAAGTACTTTTCAGACATAAACTGAAAGAAAAAGCATTCTCTAAACAACTATTCGCATATAAACATTGAACTACTCGATAGAAAAAAGTACGTTTGAAAAAACTACTTCCGAATGAATATTGAATTACAAAACTACAAGCTATAGGAATCTAAGAATTGGAAGGGGTATATTTTTAGGAGAGATTAATTTTTGGAGAACCAAGGTTTTGACTTTCTATTTCTCCATCTTCATATAAAGAATGTGTGAATTTTTCAAAGAAAGCGGTTGATTCCAAAATAAACTCTTTACGAAGCTTTATAGATCATGCAAAGAAGTAACTTTCAGACACAAACTGGAAAAAAGTTATCTTGAAACAACTACTTACATATAAACATTGAAATAGGTACTTGAAAAAAAATACTTTTGAAACAACTTCTTCTATGTGAACATTGAATTATACAAAAAATACTTCTTTTCATTGATAATGGAGCTGGATAGATTTCAAATGTTTTATGATTCATTGAAGACCGCCTCTGGGTTCCTTTGATATTCAAAGATTGAGTCTTCTGAAGACAATATTAATACTTTTTTCAATTGCCCAAATGATATATAGTTATTTTTTCATCTTCAGAACTCACTTTGCTTTCTTCAAGTCAAACTTGGGATCAAATCATCAACAACAATTTCAATGTTCACTAAGTAACCATGCCAAATATGGAATACTTTTATAATTCACAAGAGCAGAAAAGTTTTGTTGAAATATCTGTTGGATTTTATCAGCTACTTCAACTTCACTGAAGCATTTTGATAAAAATGAAACTACTTCAACCTTATTGTATAGAAACATTACTTCAAATCCAAATAGTGTTTCTCAACTATTCGTGTTTAATTGAAATTGATTTCAGGAAACAGAAATTCTTCTCAAGACATCAACAGGAAACGTGTTCCACTTTATTCAGGAACTCATCGCAATAGCTAATGTTCATTGAAGAGAAAATTCTACTTTCCAGTTGATGAACTTTTCTGAGAAAATAGCATGTTCAGGTTCGTCTTTTTGAGAAAACTTGATATAAGGGAGTATCGTTCTCAGTAACGATAACAAGGGAAGGAATATTCCATACTTGTGTATTCTTGTATTTCTGCCGTCTGGGTTTGAAAACAAAAAATCAGTTTCTGATTATCTCATTAACATCCAATAATGGAAAGTTGGATCTTATGGAAACTAAGTGTCCAAGCAGTGCTATTGATATATCCCACACAGTTTTCAGCTATCCAGTTTGGCAAATTACAAAAGACCCTCTTTATCTCTTCGATAGCATTTGTATCATTCGTTTCGCTTTTGAACTTTGGCTTTTTTTAGTTTCAGGACTAGTTTCATTAGTTCTGTCAGAACTGTAATATAACTGTGATGACAAATTACTGAACGGATTTTCAGGACTCCAAATGATGAGACTTCTCAAAGTTGTTTGCAAGTCATAGAAATTTCCGAATCTTTCTTTCACGAATTCCATCACCATAAAAAATTATGAGAATTGGGATATTTTACTCGACCCCAAAACTGCCTCACTTCCTCAGAGATGGTATTTTCCTTCGAATAAATCTTTTCCATGAGTTTCTTCGTTTTTCAAAATCTGTAGAAAAAAACCATGCTCAGCAATTCATTCGTTGATGGAAATCTTCCTGTTGAAACTTTTTGGTTTAATAAATCTGGTTATTACTGTTTTAAATGCAACTTTCATTCATCTCGACTCACAGCAAATTCTCAATATTGAATTGTCTTAAAATCAATGATTGATCTGTCAAAATAAAATATCAAACTTATATACAGTGTCTTCAACATTTTCCACCCCGTGGAGAAGTCAAGTCGTCACCCCATTTCGTCATTTCTGAATGCATTTTCATCTATTACCACTACCATGTCTCCTATTTCAATAGGTTCACTTCTGGATGCGAGCTACTTCTTGGAATCATGGTAGAACGATATTCTTTGACCCAGCTTTTCCAATATGAATTTGCCAAACTTTCAGCGAACCGCCCCTGTTTTCTCCCAAGTATATCACCTTTGTTTTCACTGTAGATATCGACATCATCTGGTCTCAGCAACAGAACATGACTGGGAATGGTCGCTTCTGGGTAATTAGAGTCTACTGAGATATGTGTTTAAGGTCTAGAATTCAGTGTATATTCAATTTCGGCCATAAAGGTTTGAAGAACTTCTTCTCTAGGGCAAGCTGTTTTCAAAGTTACCCTGAGAGCCGTTTTTACGGAACGAACCATACGTTCCCATATTCCAACCATATGGCTAGCAGCTGGAGGGTTGAATTTCCACACAGTTCCCCGGCATGTAACTTCATCTGATAACTTCGTAAAATCTAACCTACTAGCAGCGTCTTTGAGCTCTCTTCCCGCTCTCCCACAAAATTTGTTCTATTGTCTTCATTTAATTTGATGATAATAAAGTTTATTCTCAGGTATTCTGTCCCTACGCTCATCACCTTCTCACACTGGTGAAAATAACACAAAATGTAATCTGCATCAGCAACAGTATATGTTTTATTCTATTATTTGCTGAATATGAAATTACTCATTATTATTAATATCATCATTGAATCCTTCAATGTAATTCGTGAAATTTGTGCAATCCTGTGCATACATAACATGTTATTCATGGTAGAGTAAGTCCCAAGGTCATAATTGTCAAATGCAATCTCTGTTCCAGCTTTTCCCATCGGCATATTCCGCGGGATCTATTACCGCCCCGACCGACCCGAGTACATGAACTACGGCAGTCTCGGTACCGTAATTTCCCACGAAATATCCCACATATTCGTCGAAGCCGAATATGGAAATTTTCCAGGAGAGCTCAGAAGCTGGTGGTCACCGAACAGTCTGTTAAATTACGACGAGAAACTACAGTGTCTATCCAATCAGTACGGAAACTTTGCCATTCCAGAGTTATTTGGCAAGCAAGTAAGTTGCGTCAGTTTTGGGTTAGTTTCGGAAGTTTCGAATTGTCGAGATCGACGTGTTTGTAATTATTATATTGTGCCATTCACAGTGTTTAACCAAAAGTTTCTTCAGTGTGTGGTGCCTTATTGTCAAACTGCTGCAATACCGTCAACTATAATTTACGTAATTATCATCTAAGGTTACAAAAATTTCTATAGGGACATACTTATAGCACAATTAATATAATTTATATTCTGGATGACGTTCCTATAAACATTTGATACTTTCAATGAGTCAGACAAAATGTGGAACAAAAGTATCTAATAACTACCAACATTTTCAGTATTACGATCTTCGTTCGGGTTTGAGGGTTTGGATCTGAAACCTAACGTTTTGCCATCACGAGTGGCTGGCTTCTTCAGAGGTTTTTTCATCCTGATCGATCACCGAAGACACCGAAGTGCATGCATATATTTGTCAGTGTGTGTCGGTTTTAGGTACACTTTATGTATCAGTCTTGTTCCACGCCTTTCGACGAGTACATTTAGAAAAGCTATTATTTATTCCTGTTCAGTCTCCATGGTGAACTTGATGCTAGGGTGTTGAGCAATTATGTGGTCTAGAAATAGGTTCAGTCTGTCTCTTCCATGTCTCCAGATAACGAAGGTGTCATTCACGTATGGTAGCCAAATGGTTGGTTTGAAATCAAAAGCGTCGTTTGCCTTCTGCTCAAACTTTTCCATGTAGAAGTTGGCTGAGTGGACTTTCCATCGCTACGCCGTCTAATTGCTCATAGAAATCTCCTCTCCATTGAAAGTAAATTCCCGTGAGGCAAGCCTTGAAGAGTCCAACAATATCACTAGGGAACAGGTTGGCTATCTCTCTCAAAGAATCTTCCAGCGGGACATTGGTGAACAAGGGCACAACGTCGAAACTGACCAGAATATCACTTGGCTCCAAGGTTATACTCCTAATTTTCCCCACAAAGTCTGTGGAATCCTTGATGTATGTGGTTGTTTTTCCAACGTGAGGGTGGAGGAGAGATGCAAGGTGTTTTGACAGGTAGTACGTAGGCGAACCCAGAAACGGAACTTCTTTTTTATAAAAAGCCGTCTCGCCAAGGCTCTATGGTCTTCGGCCAATAACAACGCACCAATTAGAAAGACGGGCTACCTGTGTCAATATAAATACAACTTACGAACTAGAAATCAGTAGTCATCGGTGATCCATCAGGATGAATAGACCTCTGAAGAAGCCATCCACTCGTGCTGGCGAAATTTTAGGATAAAGTTCCAAACCACGACGGTTTTCAAACCCGAACGAAGATCAAAACACTGAAAATCCTATATGAAAAGGATGAATATAGAAATATGTCAATGAAAATTTCTCACCAAAATGTGTGGGTGTGTGGCGAATTGTCTGGGGGTAGGATAAGGCAAAACTTTGGCGCTCAATTCGTTTGATTTTCGGACGGTGATTTGTGAATCGTGCGGACGAGTATTGTCACGGACCAGTGCTGGTTGCTGCTGGCTCAATTTTTGGTACATTTCGTCGATTTTCCCACAATAGGACGCTGTTTTGATGGTTTGGCACGGTTTCAGGAAGTTATAGTGAATCACACCAGTCGTTGACAACCATACAGTAACCATAATGGTTTTTTGATGGGTTCATGCCTTGAAAAAGTGCTTCGATAGCTCATCGGTATTCAACTACTATCTTGAACGTCTCCTGTTGTCATAGAGGATCCACAGATCCAAAAAAGGTGGTTTTAGTCACATGGAAGCAAAGAAAAACAAACTTCGAAACGTGCCATTTTTGTGGATTGTTCAAATCCTCGGGCACCCAATTTACGAACTTTATGAACTTTTCAAAACGTTTTATACAATCAAAAACAGCATGGGAGCTGAAGCACGATCAATCTCCACTAGGTCTTTGCCGTGTAGTCCAGTCATTTTAGGGGGTTTTGCCTAGGAAAGTGAACATACCAAGCTGTAAATTTGTATTAACCTTGTATTCTGGCATCATAAAAGTATTCTCAAAATTCACATATGATTCGACAGCCGCAACTTCAAAAATTGAGGGTCAAAAGTCAAAAAAAACGTTCTTGCCAATATCTCATTTCCAGTGAAAAATATATATTATATTATAATTCAAATCTAATCCATTCTATTTATTTTTCGATGAATAAAAATGAATAGAAAATAAATAAAATTTTAAATGATATTTCAATTGAAAAATCTCATTTGATACATTTGTGAATGTCAAAATTAAAAAAACAGATAAAATAATTGAAAGAATAAGTTTTAATTTCAATTTTCTTCTTCTTCATCGTCGTCGTCTTCTCGCAGCTGTAAAAATTCAAGGGCGTTATCATCTTCATAGTCATCTTCACCCAGATTCGTTTCCAATTCTTCGATGATTTCTGGATCAAAGGACCTATCTTCGTTAACATCGGTCTCATATGGTACAGCATTGAGACAAGCTTGCACATTACACTGGCCACAAGCTGAAGAGCATTGCAACCCCGCTTCCTGCATCCACATCTTGAATCACAACCACTTTTGCAGTATTGAGTAACTCATCTGAAGCAGGTGGTGAAACCAACCCCATTCCTGGGGTTCCGAATCATATCCTAACCAAGTTTGAACTTGGTTATAAACACGATTAAAATGTTGTTGAGCTGCTCCACTTGTTGGTGGGATATTTGATAACTGCACAGGTTTATTGAGCTTTGTTAGCTTGACATATTGTGAATAACGAAGATGATCGATAGTATTTACAGACAATCCATTATCAAATAATCTTTGAACCGGGCAGTTTTCTTCTTCAAATGCTGCGGCAAGCTCATCCAAATTAGACAGTTTCTCGAATGTTCTTAAAAACGTTTTTTCTCCTTTTTTAAAGAGCGCAGAAATCGTATCATAGCCGCTTAAAGCGTGAAGGAACAAAATGTGTTTTTCAGAACTTATATATTTTTCGAAACTCTTAGAGGAGTATATTTCAGATTTCACATTTGCTCTGCCAACTTTCTTAAAGAAAATTTCTTGTTTAAGGGATAGTGTACGCCCAAATAAAATCACAAGTAAATCAATATCTTCACCGACTATAATTGCTGTTCTTTAAAGTTTAGATTCTTCAATAGCTATCTTAAAAATGCGAACATCCGCATCCGCATATTGATAATAAATACAATTAGCATTAAACCCATTGGAAACGAGATATTGGCAAAAAACTTGCCAAAAGTCGTTTTTTTGAATTTTGACCCCCAATTTTTGAAGATGCGGCAGTCGAATCATATGTTATTTATGAGAATACTTTTATGATGCCAAAATACAAAGTTTATACAAATTTACAGCTGGGTATGTCAACTTTCCGAAATACAGGCCTAAATCGACCTAAAATGGCTGGACTATGGATTACTGTAGGTCAATCACTTGGGGGCTCATCATCGAAGTTGAAATCTCCAGAAAGAAATTTCGGAAACCAACAGCGAACAGTAAGTTCACTAACATTATCATTGGCGAACGCCTGAGAAATTTTTTGGGCTGTTTCGATACCGTATCCATAATAAGAACGGTCTTGCTCCTCAAAATAGTCATTTACTACCGACATCACTTTTTCATCCCCAAAAAATCTTTGACCAACGAGCCATTTTTTCGAATTTGGAAACAGAAAATAATTCAAGGGGCTAAATGTGGCGAATAGGGTGCATGAGTTAGCAATTCAAATGATAACTCATTAATTTTGGTCATTGCAATAATGGTTTTGTGAGCTGATGCATTATCTTGATGAAACAACACTTTTTTAGCCCATTGCGGCCGATTTTGCTTGATTTCTTCACTCGCTGTTGATAGTTTTTTAAGATAGTCAATGAAAATTATCCCACTCGCATCCCAAAAAACCGATGCCATAAACTTGCCTGCAGATGAAACAATCTTCGCCTTCTTTGGAGCCGGTTCTTTATCTTGATTAGACGGTTTTGATTGTTATTTTGTCTTGGGTGTAAAGTGGTAGACCCATGTTTCATCCATGGTTATGAAACGCCGCAAGAAATTTGCTTTGTTGCTGGAGTCGTCACGTCATTTGGTCGACCAATGCGATGCTTGCCTTGGTAGCGGCCACGTTTAAACTTCGCTACCCAATATTTTGCTGTTGTGAACGAAGGAGCAGACTCACCCAGAGTGGAATCTAGTTCAGCTTTCATATTGGTTTGGCTAAGGCCTCCCAAATGAAAGGTTTGTACTATATGGGGTGCCACAGGGTACATTATTGGGACCGGTATTCTTTAGTATCTACATGAATAATATACTCACCTCACAGACCAACGGAGATATCATTAGTTTTGCAGATGACACGGTAATATTCTACGAAGATACATCCTAGGAAAATCTGAGGAAGGAACTCGAAAGTTATATGAGTACAATTATAGATAGTTTCAATAAAAAAATTACCACTGAACTTTAAAAAAACTTCATTTTTATTTTTAGGTTGTTACTCATCTCACACCCCAGAATTTAATTACCTGGAAATAAAAATTGCTTCAATTGAATATGTTCAATATCTAGGTGTTTACATTGACAGACGTATTAGACGGGATGCTCACATGAAAAAACTGTAGATACATTGAGGAGTATCTTTTTTAAATTGTTATACTTTAAAGATATATCGAATACTCACCAAATGAGAATCCTGTACCATGCATTAATATGATCTAGATTGTTATATGGAATCCTAGGTTGGGGTGGTGTCGCCAGCAGTTACTCAAATCTTCTAGATATTTTACAGAAAAAGTTCCTGAAGATTTGTTTCAATGTATGTCAAACGTATTCATCGGCCCTACTATATTCTGAGAGTATAATACTGGACCTCAGACAAATCTACTTTCTACGTGTAGCCGTAGTCCAATACAAAAACAAAAGTCGCTCAAGAAATATTGATCATAATTTTAATACCAGGGCAAAAAAACGAACATGATGCAAACTGAGTACTCATCCAAAACTATTGGTCAGAGAACATATATTTATCTGAGCACGAAATTTGGAAGAATATCCCTAGGAATATCAAAGACTCAACATCAATTGTTTTATTTCAAAAAATAAAGCAGTACCTTCACGAAACAGAGAGGAAAAAAATACATGATCTGATAGACCCAAATAGAATTCCCTGCGGTAATTCATTGAACGATATAGGAAAACTATACAATCATGACGTCACAAAAATGGTACACATACACATTGGTGCATAACTTTTAACAAATTATTCACTGTACGTTATTATCATACCATGATTTTGTTTAAGTTGTGCAGAATAACACTATTACAATTTTGTTGATGTGTTTGTATGGGTATCATTTTCAAACAATTACACTAAATTGTGTTACAAAATAAAACGTACCATAAACATGCCTTAGCTTCTTAGCCTTAGTGGTAAATCAACCATTATTTTTGCCGTGATGAGAAGAAATAAATTAAAATCCTGAATTTCCAGCTCAATCCCAAGAAAACTCGCGACGAAGACATGGCAGACTTAGCGGGAATGAAAATATCCTACGACACATACATCAATCGGGTTCAGGAAAATGGGCCGGAACCTCTACTTCCCGGATTAAAGTACTCCCCCAACCAATTGTTCTGGATAGCGTCCGCCATCCGTCACTGCTCCAAGTATTCCATAGAAGACCTGGAAAGATACATCGATAATTATCGATGGTCCCCGCAGCAGTTTCGCGTCAATGGCCCGTTACAGAATTTAAAGGAATTTGCCTTCGACTTCGGTTGTAGAAGAGGCTCCACGATGAATCCGGAAAATAAATGTGATATTTGGTAGATGTCGGTGAATAACGGTAGTGGAAGATGATTATGTGAGACTGTTCTTCAAGAAAAGAAAGCGTATTGAACCTTGTATCAGAAAGTGATATTAGAGAATTTGACAAAATAAACGAAACGGGAAACAAAATCAATATGTAAATAAATTTTTCAATCTTACAGTGTTTAAGTTCTAACAGAAACCTTTTTCCCATACTTCAGAATCACAACACTGTGGAATTTGATTCGTTCCTTTATTTTTCATTGACACAAAAGCTCACATTTTTCCTTTTCTTCTTTTTATGAATTCTTAATTCTGTACCGTGTTACTTTCAGTCTTATTTTCGTCATATGTGATATTGCCATACATAAAACTAATGATATTGATAATAATATGTCTTCTCACTGTGTGGAGGAGAAACCCAACGGAGTTACTTCACGACGTTTCGATTGTTGGTATCCACAATCGTCTTCGAGTGATAACTGGTCTTATTCCTCCGAGATCATTATAGATCATTCGGGTGCTCTCACCTATTCCCTATTCCCTTATTCCGCTTCAATGGTTTTAGCGGAAGCTGACCGTTTAGCGGGAGTTAGTCGTGTTCCGCTTGATAAGAGGTTTCCATATGCTGAGTACATCTACGCTAGCTTGGCTAAATGCGTTATTGGACATGTATGCGGCCTCTTTGAATTTTCTCTCAAACCAGTGCTTCTCCTTGTGGATGATTTCAGCTTGAGCCCACTTGATGTTATGTTGATGAGTCCAAACATGCTCTGCTATTCCTGATTTGCTGATTTCGCCTCGCTGTGTGTGTTTCTTGTGCTCGGCAATGCGAACTTTCAATGGCCTCTTAGTTTCACCGATGTATGATTCACCGCACTTGCAGGTTATCTGGTAAATGCCATTCTTGGAATCACAATCCGCGTTTGGTGGCCTGGTTTTCGTGAGGCTGCTACGGATAGTGTTTCCAGATCTGAAATAGGTTCTATCGATACATCAATATTTATTCATTAACCAATATAGGGGTTACAAACAGATTAACAAATCCAATAGAGAACTCACTTTATAATTTTAGTTCAAGTGGGCTTTGAGAAAAAAGAATGTAAATTTTAATTTTTTGTAAATCACATTAGACAATCCAAGAATAACATAATTCTCATAAGAGTGACAGAGACTAGAGAAATTATCACAACTTATCAATACAAATTTTTCATCATCCTCCGTTTGAAATAGTCTAAAGAGATTTCAAAATATTGAATGTCATTGCAAATTTCGTTAAAGGTTTTAAGCATTCTATAAAGTGGTGAATTTTGAGCTGCATTTGTCCTTGTGCAAGTTAACTCAAAGAATTCTGTACGCCTCAACGTTCTACCCTGATCATTGAACTCTATTTTGGAATAGACTGACACGTTTTTTTGTGAATTGAGAAACAAATAATTATACATTATACTGATGTTATACTTCGACCTAATCCTTCTCATCCTTTCCGACAATCTTCTGATGTAGAGAAGTACAAGTACTGGTTGTGGCGGCTGCTCTTTCTTGTGGAGCTCTTGCTGTCTTGTAGCTGAAGCCTGTTCCACATCACTTTGGAGTAACCATTCCGTTAAAGGTCATTTTTGATGATGCCCAGTTCATTTTTATTACAAAGCACGGTCTAGTAGAGTCTTGATGATTTCTCTTTTAGTCGATTGATGGTGGTTGGATTTCTGATTCAGATACTGTCCTGTGTGAGTGAGTTTTCGATACACAGATGTTTCCATTCAGTGTCAGTTCTCTTCACCAATACGTCTAAGAATGGCAATTCGATGTGGACTTCGTTCCCCTTTGTGAAATTGATGGAAGGACTTCCATTCCATGTTGTTGATGTGCTCCATGAAGGTGTCTAGTTCTGCATTCCTATGGTTCTATATTATGAGGGCTTCGTCCACGTATCTCAACCAGACTTAAGACCTCTTGTGGGCTTCTTCAAAGGCCAGAGTTTCAAACCACTCCATATACACAGTATCACCATTAAAGTGCTCACCATATGGGAAACTTTTTTTTCGAAAAGTTTCAATGAAGTTTAACTTCGGCACTTATTTGTGCTTTACATTTAACTTAAAATGATGCGGCCAACTGCGACCCACTGACGTTCAGTGTTTGTCAAATTCAACTTTTTTTTTGAAAAAAAATTGAAAAAGTGCATTTCTAGATCGAATTTAACCAAAAGGTTACTTGAAAAAGTTATGTCTATGGCAATTTTATATCCATATGCCAAATTTTATGCAACTAGGATTAAGTTCGGTTAATTGTCATCAATTCATGTATACATAACAAAGTTATCATGGAGTTTAACTTTTCTGATACATTTTCACTTATATGGACATTTTTAGAGAGATAACTGAGGCTCTGAAGATATCAAAGGAACCTGTTGGAAATATCGTGCATGAATATTTGGGTATGCGAAATATCTGTTCAAAGTAGGTGTCGCGCGCGCTCACAATCAACCAAAAGCAACAACGAATTGATGATTCTGAGCAGTTTTTGAAGCTGCTCCACCATAAAGAACCCGAACTTATGCGTCGATATGTGACAATGGATGGAACATGGCTCCATCATTTCACAATACCATCGTCACCTGAGTGGGCTGGAAGGTTATAATAATAATAAAAAATGGGCTTTATTCATTGACATACATTGTTTATAAAGAAGAAGTAGATACTAAAATCAATGAAAGGGCGAAGTTTAGCCGAAGCTGTTTTACAGGTTAACCTAGAGGATAGCAAGTATTATATACAAATATAAAAGTAATTACCTAGTATACATTCGTAAGTGACTAGTTCATGAATCTTCGTGAAATTAACAAAAAAACAAAGGTTATAAATTCCAAAGTGAATATTGAAAAATCAATTGAGCTGACATAAGGTAAAATATGTAGCAAAATATACACAAAAGTGAGACAAAGGGAAAACCATATGAGCAAAGCATAACATGAACATATTATCATCTATCCAGAAGACTTCAGATATACTTTCAACTTTTTCTTGAAATTATATATGGAGTAGATCATTATATTGTTTGATAGAGTTGTAAATAAAACTACGAGAAAAACAGGCCGTAGAGTGTTTTGGAATAATAAAAGTGTGACGGTTTCGTGTCCTCGAATTATTCTGAGATTTGCCATAAAAATTTCAACATGACTGGTGCAAAGTTTCAATCACTTGGCTATTTTCTTAAACAAACCTTTGATTTCGAAAAAACAGAGGCAACTGAAAGAAATGCAAATAATTTCGATAGAACTATTATTATTATTATGGATTTTAAACAACAATAATATTATAGAAAATACAAATGGATACAAAAAATTACTTATTAATCTAAATGAGGTTGTCAAAGTCTCAAAGCCTACATTTCAGTATGTCGTCCTCCACGTTCCATACAAATTATGGTCCTTCTACTGACATCTGTAACGGCATTTTTAATAAATCGGGGATTTATATTTGCACAGCACTCGCGAATGGTATTTTCCAGATGTTGTATGTCAGTAAATGGTCTACTTCGGTACACTTTTTGTTTCAGGTAACCCCACCAGAAAAAGTCTGAAGGCGTCAAATCGGGTGATCTAGGTGACCAATAATGTTCCCAGTTACGTCCAATAACTTTGCCTCTGAACATTTGTTGGAGGGACTGTTTTACAGCAACCGTGTGATGTATTGGTGCACCATCAAGCTGATACCATAGGTCGTATTTAATATTTAAAGGCATATTATCTAAAATTTCACTAACCTCATTATTTAAAAGGTTGAGATAACCGACGGATGATGAATTTTCCCTAAAGAAAAATGACCTAATTATTTGGTCGTTAAGTATCCCACACCATACATTAGTTTTAAAGAAATACTGACCATCACATTCAACTGTGAAATTGGGATTTTCCTGAGCCCACCATCGTCAATTTTGAGAACTTACCGTTCCATTTAAATAGAACGTTGCCTCATCTGTCCATAAAATTTTATACGAAAACTTTACATTTTCTTCTCTCTATCCTTGAAACCAGAATGAAAACCCCAAACGGACATCAAAATCTCGTTCTTTTAATGTTGTAAGGCCAAAATTTATTCTTCAATAACATTTTTCTAACACTTTTTCTCTTGTAATCGGTATTTTTTATAATATCGGTTATGCTCGTTTGCCCGTGTTCAATAACTTTTAAACAAATGTTATGTTGGGCCTCATCATACACTTGGAGTGTGCTTTTTCTTAAATTGATTTGCTACGGATCCTGTTTCTCTGAATTTCGACATTATCCTCGACACAGTAGTATGTTGAACATTTTTTCCTGGATGCCGTTCATTAAAAATGTTATCTACTTGCCGGTATGGTGTATTCTCACCACATATTAAAACTAGTTCTATTCTTTCCTGAAGAGACAACATTATTGCAACAATAACTGTTAAAAATTTGACAAGTAAATCAACAACTTGACACTACCATAGCATGCAGTTTGTTTGTCGTGACCTACTCAAAAATGTTATTCAACATGATTAAGCTTCCTTACCGCCCTAGTTAGTGTTTATAAATAATCTGTAAATACTGAATATTGAAATTTTAATGTAACTTCAACTCTAGTAATTTTATTAATACTTTTCGCAGTTTTTGAGTTGTGTCTGCTTTTTCAAAATTGAAGGTACTGACGTTTGTTTAAGAAAATAGCCAAGTTAATGAAACTTTGCACCAGTCATGTTAAAATTTATATAACACATTTTCAATTTCTCTCTGAAAATGTCCGTATGAGTAAAAATTCATCAGAAAAGTTAAACTCCACGATGAGTTTGTTATGTATACATGAATTGATGACAATTAACCGAACTTGTTTTTTAAAATAAAGGGTTTATCTGTCAAAAATAAGCAAAACGTAAACTTTATCCTAGTTGCATAAAATTTGGCATATGGATATAAAATGACACAACTTTTTCAAGTAACTTTTTGTTAAATTCGATCTAGAAATGCACTTTTTCAATTTTTTTCAATAAAAAAGTTGAATTTGACAAACACCGAACGCCAGTGGGTCGCAGTTGGCCGCATCATTTCAAGTTAAATTTGAAGCACAATCAAGTGCCGAAGTTAAACTTCATTGAAACTTTTCGAAAAAAAAGTTTCCCATATGGTGCGCACTTTAATGGTGACACTGTATACT